CTAGGAGAGCTTGTCCGCAGTCCCCTCCTTTTTGTCTTTTATAATAGAGAAACATGCACATTCATTTTTTTAAATATTCATTTTCAGCCAGAAAGCAATGTGAGTGCTTTGGTCCATTCTGGACTGGCCAGGGGCTGGGGGTGGGGTGGGGTGTGGAATCGGGGGCCAGTACATTCTAGCAGGAGTCTTCTGGTACTGCCGATTGTAAAGGAAGTTTTCTAGTGAGGAAGGGGCACTTAAAGTCTCAATAACGTTCCCTCTCCCTCTCCCTTCCCCTCCCACTCCAGTACTTGTTGAGAAAGGCTTCACAGACAGAGGAATCTAAGGGTGATACTGATATGCCCCCTCTCTATAAATTGTCACATCCCTAGTGACCATGCCCATGGGAAGAGATATGTTGATTTGACTGACCTTGAACTCCAGAGGAGGGCAAGGCAGACCGGGCTGTCTGATAATAACAGCGATACAGCAGGTTCAAAGTTGCAGCGTCCACTGTGCCTTCACTGGCCTGCTTTTTAACTGTGAAAAAGCATGTGCTTTCTGTCCCCGCTCTCCTCGGGCAATGGCGGTAAGAAGAGTACTGCGTGGGTGATGTGTGCTGATCATATCACTTCATTGGGTGGTGTTATGGTAACAACAGAATGAAGTCTGGATAACTTTCTTATCCATAGTATAGAAGTTTCTTTACTCAGAGCCAGAGTCGGCAAAGACTGTGTGACTGATGAACAGCCGTCTGTTTTTAAAAATCTGCCTTTGGAAACCCCCACACTTAATGGGCCCAGTTGGTACCTGCTCGTGGGCACGTGGGCACGGCCTCTCCTGGCTAGGAGTCTCCAATCAGAGACCTCAATCTCTAGACTTGACTTAATCCCTTTCTACATCTTAAAAAGTTGTAAACAAGTAGTTAGGTGCATGGCTCACTCAGTCTTCTTTCCCTTCCCCTGCCTCTGGGTGAGGAAAGTGAAATACCCCAGAGGCTCTTGCTGGGAGAAAAAACCAAATCTGAATAATCCATGGGCCACCTTGTGCAACATGGCGTGTCCTGGGCTTGGAAGGGACAACCGCTGGTGTCCGTGCTTGCCTCAAGGGCTGCGGCCCAGACCACCTACTGGGGGAGGGAGGGCAGCCTGGTTGCTGAGGTCCTTCCTTAGAAGCATTGGGTCATAAAAATCACCAGGTAGTGGTGCTTTTATTTCTGACTTTATGTTTAGATGTTAGTGAAACTCATGGCTTGCCTGTGAGGGCTGGGAATCAAATCCCACTCTCATTGTGGGTGTGCAGAGGGGGCGTTCAAAGGAGCTCCAGGCTCTGGTCTGTCCCTGCCCTCGGGGAGCACACTCACCTTAGGCAAGTCATTCTCCCTCACTCCCTCCACCCTGTTTCTTTCTCTAAAAACAAAAGGGTTGGACTTTTTGAAATCCTTCTTTTGCTAAGTGAGGCCAGCTCATGCTGAGACAATAGGAGACCCCCAAGCCCCTGCTGTTTCCAAAGACAAAGGCTTGTTTCTTGCCCACGGTGCGTGTCTGCTGTGTCCACTCCCTCCTGCCCCGGGGATTAGGCTCCCCGAGTGAGCGAAGTCCCTGTCTGGATTCTTCAGGTCTGGGGGTGGGGGTGGGGGACGGGGATGGGAACGAGGCGCACGCTTGATCAGAAGGCTTCCGCTTGGGAGTGGCACACGTCACTGCCACATCCGTGGCGTGGACCCCAGAGCTAGTCAGTGCATGAGGTGGCAGGCATGTGACCCTCTGGAGGGAAGGCCGCCTGGGGAGCAGCAGCAGATATTTGGAACAGTAATAACCGCCTCCCACCCTCCTGCCTCCATGGTCTTGTGATTTGTGCTGAGAATGTTGAGTCCTGGGACAGGAGCAGGACCGCAATCAGATCTTCAGGCTTCCCTATTTTCCCAGCTATTCCCTGTTTGAGGCCCTTCCGCTGAACTGGACTTGGAATATTTCACTCATGGGAGGGGTGAGAGAAATATTTTGAAGGCGGCATGGACTTGGCCTCTGGGTTTCTTGCACCTTTTTGGAGGGTTCTGTGCTCACACAGGTCATACCTTTCAGGACAGCACATGGAATTTCTCAACCTGAGAAGCAGCCACAGACCTGCAAGTAAAACGTGGTTGCCTGAGTGCTTTGATAAATCCCTCACAGGCAAGTTAAAAAGAGAGATTGCAGATTTTAGCAGTTCATCTGTAAGCGTTGAGGGTAACGTTAAGGAGTGGAATTGTGCAAGGTTCTCTGACGCCCCTGTCGGAGGGTTTGCTCTGTTGACTGGACCAGGTATGGCACTTTTTGAAACTTCCTTTTCAAAAATCGCAGAGGGTGGAAGGAACACAGAAAAGTCACTTATTTTCTTGAGATCAGATAGAAATGTTTCCAAGAGAGGAGACTTCCAGAGACTGGTTAATAGTAACTGTCAGGTTCCAACTGCAATGTTGGATAGAGCTAATTACCAGGGAAGCTTTTTTGTTTCACCCATGGAAACCTGTGTTTAATCCATGAATGGAATCTTTCCTATAGGTTCAAAACAAAACTAAAACCGTTGAAAATAGCCATTTTACCTCTATTCAATAGGTATAATTGTGGTGACCAGTTCTTAGAAGAGGGAGAACAGAATCCTAACCTCGGTGCAGTCATTGGACCTCGACAGCCAGATGGTTTCCAGGTCTTTGAGTGCGAAAAATATTAAAAAGTTTTCCTTGTGAACTTGAGTTTTCAAAGAGGATCCCTTTGGAAAGTTGGCAAATACTTACTTTCCTGGCACGAAGATCAGGTTTTTTTTCTTTTCCCCTCCACCCAGAGCTGTGACAGGGTGGAGTATACTTCCATGAAATTGCATGTTTCCAAAATAGGATTCACTCTTATATTTTACCGCTGTTAGAATTGAATTGCTAATCAAAAATAAGCAAAACCCAAACATGCTAGAAATAGAATTTCAGCCCCTATTCTCTAATTTAGTCTTCCTCGAGGATAGAATTATTATATTTTATAAAAGTGCCTTTTGAGCAAAAATGTAGCAAATAGTTTCCAAAGTGGTCCAAATTTCCTTCTCATTTTGCAGTCCCATGAAGCACTATTCCTGAGCTCATGTGGTAATGGCACTGGGTCATGAGTGCTGCCCAGATTCTCGTAGCCTGGAAGGCTTCCAGGGAGGCCACTGTATTCCCCAGCTCCTCGGCTTTGTATCCCAGTACAAACCTACATCCACTCTCAATCACCAGGAGCTGGCCTGGTGGTCCCTGCAGGTGGGTGGGCGTTCACTGCTGCCTAGGATGGCGTGGGTCTGTTATGGAACCTGCTCCTGCATCCCAGAGGTGATCATTGCAGAGAGAAGTTGGGATCAGGAAGGTGAAATAACTAGAGCTGTTGCTTCACTGGATCCTGTGGATTAATTAGTGGATGGTCTGTTCCCAAAGGTATCAGTTGATCATTTTTACCTCCAAGGTGCTTTGCGAAAAAAGGCTCCAGCTCTGGCAGATAATGCCAGGATAACACCTTTGAAAATATTTTACTCATCGGTTCTTAAAAATTGAACCCTTAATAGTGCTCTAGGGACAGAAACTTGACAGCAGCGGTCAGGAGATGAGCATTTCTGTGAGGCAGAGCCTGTCTTAGACCATTCCAGGACGTCCCCTGGCTTCTCGCTAGCCTAGACGTACAGGAAGTGCTTAGTATGTTATCTACTTGTAAATGACGCGGACTGGAAGTCAAAGTGTCTATCCAATAGTGGCCCGTAAAGAGATTATAAATATTTTAGTGAAAAGATAGGATGGGAGCAGGAAAAATGGGTTGTTTTTCTATGATGTATTAAGTTTGACCAAAATGGATTTTTAACCGACTCCTGGTGTTGTTGGTTCCTCTGTTTCGAGGATACATTTTTCCCAGCAGAGACTGACATGGTTGTCTTTACTGTGTCCAGTGGACTCAGAGGAGGGAAGAAGGAGAGGTTACACTGGAGTAGGCGGAAATCCTGGTTATTCCTTCAAACAGGCAGTAGATCACTGGGTAAGGATGTCCGCATCAAGCGAGGGCCAGCAATAATTCACTCTCACTGCCGATTGCCTCTCTCCAGAGGAGCTGGGCTCTGGGTCACTCCAGACTTCCCCGAACTGACATGCCAAAGTTAAGAAAAAGAAAAGAGTTTTGGTTACCAGGAGTTAAAAGGTCGTTAGCATTTGCCAGGAGTGAATGCTGGGAGAGTCTGACTCTTGCAGAGGTGACTGTGTTTTAAGAGTGTGGTCAAAGGAAGTAGAGTCCCGGGAAGGAAAGGTTTGGGGTGAACAGATTTCTAAGTGTTTAGGTAATTCTGAGAGTGCAGTTTTATTGGCAGGGAGACAATACACTGTATTAGCTGCTGAGAACAGTGGTCTAGTCTGAGGTTCGCTGATGTGGGTGGACATATTCTGTCCGTCTGCAGTTTGCTGGCTTGAGAACGCACTTGGGCTCGGAAGGCTCAGGGTTGTATTAGATTTGATTTTTTTGAGTCACTGATATGCGGGGCGAGCCTGGCTTTGAAGAGTTTTATTCTGTCCTTCCGCAGACGTCCAAAGAGTTGGCCTGTGTATGGTCTACCCTTCCAAACGTTTGAGTTCAAAAAATGGTGCGTTTCCAGCGTTTTCCCAGGAAGCGCACTGTTGACTGTGGGCCTGGTGGCTGTGGCTGTGAGCGCCCAGGCGTGGAAGGGAGCTCTCATTCTCGGTCTCTGTTAGGAAGGGCTGGTCCTTATCAGCCGGTCATCCTGCTGGCCCACAGGGAAGTGATTTGATGAGCATGTGCTCCAACTCGGAATGAACGGGATGTGGCACCTGCCACATCAAACGAAGGTAAACAAAGGCAGAGGTCACTTTCCACCTTTGAGAGAGCTGACCTTTATCAACATCACCTGTGTGTCCTGCTGTGGACACAAGGTTTGACATCCAGGGACATGGATGTGTTGGGAATATATTCCAAGTATGTGTTTTTTAAGGTTATTTTTGTTCCTTTCTTCCCCAAAACCAGGTATCAGTATTACCTGCAAGTCAAAAAAGACGTGCTTGAAGGGCGATTGCGGTGTTCATTGGAACAGGTGATTCGGCTGGCCGGCCTCGCCGTGCAAGGTAAGAGACGGGGAGGACCAGGGTGTGAATTCCCAGTTTCTCTGTGATTATGGTATTGCTGGCCTCGCAGACGGAAAAGGGAAATGTACTTAAAGATCCCTCAGTAACTCTCCCATTTCATTTCAAGACAGCTTACCTTAGAAATGCGGAGTGAGTGAGTTTTGTGGCAGGATGGTGGATTTCTTTCCCAAAGCTGTTTGCAAATTGCCTGTGCTTGTATGGTCTTCATTTTATTTGGGGGAAAAAAAAAAACCCAGCAGTTTTCATCTTGCCTTTAATTAAAGCTACATTTCAGGGTTTGTGGGACATTTTCTCAGAATTATTCTACTGCCCAATGTGGTCATATTTTGTGGCAAAAATGCTATGACTGTGTGACTTTCACATCGGTTTCAAGTGTGATAGCTTTAAACATAGTATAACTTATTCTTATACAGTTAAAGAGAGAAATTAAAAAATGCACAGTTGTAATGTGAAACAACAAATGAATTGGACTAAATTCATTTTTTTACCTATCCTGTGTAGATTTATCAGACATATTTTTACATATATTGATATAACATAGTGTTACATAATTTTTACATGTGTTTCTATATATCTCCTTATTGAGTGATAGCTTGTCTTTACTCATATTCAAAACAAGATAAAAATATAATTTTTGAAGAGAAACTTGTTTTCCTTTCAGTCATTATTTTCTTTAAAATCAGTTAACATCCAAACGTAAGCCTGTCAGCTGCTGAGTCCTTGCTGTGTGAGCTGTTATTTTAGAAGCTGTGAACTGAACTTCCCATCCCAAACTCTGAACTGCAGTTGAATCCCTTGAGTTCTATAATGTCTATAGAGGAAGCCTTCCCTTGACCTCTTTTCATTCCTGGGTATTAGCAGGTTCGTGATTTTTGTTGGCTCTACGATTCCTAGTTCGCTTCTATTGTTACCCTCTGGATGGAAGGACAGAAAACATGTTGTATCCCATCTGCCCACTTAAAGACTGGAAAAGGAAGGAATAGTGCCCAGAACAATGTAACAGAACAATCAGTGGTTATAACAGAAAATCATTAAAATAATAGAAAAAGATACCCTTAACAGGAAGAAGAGAGAGAAGATTCAGTGTGCTTCTCATCTTCAGATTGGATCTTTCTCCTTTTAAAAGGCTTTCTATTCTGTTAATTTTATTCACACACACCCTCCGCCCCCCGCCCCGGCCTTCTTCAGCCATTGAATTGGTTGCGGGCCTCCTGGATCTGGGGAGACCCTGGTGATAGCTTTTAGGCTGAAGGGAGTTGGTGAACTTATTCTCCATTCCTTTCTCACTGGGTCCTTGAAGCTAGCTCTCCAGTCTGATGAAACCTGCTGTAGCTGTAATATCTGTAAAATCCTTTCCCTGAGAGCCTTACCGGGCGGTTAGGAAGACACATCGGCAGAGATCGATGTCATGATGGAATATGGTAACCGATGCCTGTTCTTGAAAACCGGCAGAGCACGGGACCTGCGCTATTCCTGAAGGCCTCACCTGGTTGGTGCTTAGTCATGTGCATCTCCACCTTCTTGGCAGTGTCCCGCCCCTGGCCTTCTGGATTCTTTATCTGCTGTTACCTTCAAGTGACCTGAACCAATTTCTACCACTGCTAATTCTTTGACAAGAAATTAAATTTCATGCTGCTTTGATTTTTTTTTTTTTTTTTTGAGAGTAAGTGGGATTAAAAGCAAGAGATTTATAGATTTATGATACAGGCCTGCCGGGTTCATTCTGCGTGGGCTCAGACGTAGCATGGGGAGATGGAAACAGGGCAAAACCGAATTTTTGGCCTCTTGCACCCTGTGGAGACGTCTAGCAGGAGGTGTAAAGATTTGCAAGGTTGCTTGCCAAGGGTGATTTACAGTGGGAATTTCCAGCTGCAAATACATGAAGAGATACAGATGGGCTTGGCTCTGCAGTTCTCGAGATGAACCTTGAGTTAGAAAGTCCCCTTGGCAGACATTCTTAAGACCTGTGCTGATGTGTATTTAACAAGAAGATAAATACAGGTTTGGTTTAAATTTTAAGAATAGCTTAGGAATCACTTTCAAATTTCCCCATTCTTTCTAGAAAATCATGTAGCAGTGCTCACATGCTGGTGTTTACAGTATTGCTAAGTAAACATGGTAACAATATCAAACACATCTTGGCCCTGTTTTATTTCATAGTAGTGCAGAAATAGGATGCCGTGGGAGGAATAAATGTGGTGATAAGTCCACCCTATTTTATCCCATCTTTAATTTCATATAAAAAATGAAATTGTTACCTCTTCCCTCTTCTTTTCAGCTGATTTTGGAGACTATAATCAGTTTGATTCTCAAGATTTCCTCAGAGAATATGTGTTGTTTCCTATGGTAAGCATAATTTCCTCTTTCTTAATTAATTTTCTGCCTTCTTTGCATATTTAATCCTTTCCTTTGGAAGTCTCAGAGTATTTTACACACACTTATTTCCTGGGGAGGAAAGTCCATGAATTTACAAAGTACAGGCAAATTTTGTAAAATACCGAGAGAGTAAAGATGCCTCTTCCCCACCTTTTCAAAAAACTTCTCTGCCAACTCCCCTGTCCGCACCCCCCCCCCCGGCCCCTGCCAATGCCTTGGCTCTCTTCCTTTCTAAAACCAGAGCCGTTGTCCTTTGGTTCCCTCTGCGTGGAATGCCCTGCCCTAGACCTTCCAATGACTTGCCATTTGACTGAAACTCTACCTCCTAAGACAGGACGTTTTTTCCCTTGACCGCCTCCGTGATGCACTCCTATCGTCAACTCTGTCCTGTGAACCATCCCCTTGGCTGCATGTGCTTGAGAGCGCTCTGTAGCTGAACTGGTTCTCTCTCAGTCTCTCATCAGCTAGAATGTCAGCTTCCTGTTCCTCAAGCTGGGACCCCCTCTGTCTGGTCCACGGCTGTCTGGCATTGGACCTGTGCTCATAAAATTCCATTGAATGAGCCATGAAGTAAAATGTCCATTCCTATGTTAAGTCAGGGATGAGATTAGGTTTTAATCCCTGGGAAGTTTTTGATTGTTTATTTTTTGGTAGCTTTGGGGTACATGAGAAGAGTTTTATTGAGAAAGGATTAAAACTGTTTAAAAGCCCTGCAGGGGGAGAGCTCTGCCCAGGCCAACGTTCTGGCTCTTATTTTTGAAACCATAATCATTCAACACTTGCTTTTTTGATCAACCGTTTGGCCCAGAGCACTGACCTGAGTAACTAACCCCCAGGGGATGAAGTTATACAAGAAACAGTGCTTGTTCTCAGGCAGACAAAGAGTGGTTGAATCAATCGGAAGTTTGCAAAATCTAAACACAAGGTCAAGCGTAGTAAAGTACACCAGGGTTTTATATGGGGGAGAGGGTTACATGTGCTTGGGGGATTATGGAAAGTTTAAAGGCCAGTGTGTGAGCTATGTCTTAACAGGATGGGCAGGATTGCAGAGAGGAAGGGGATAAGGAATGATCCAGACCGAGCCAAGTAGCGGAAGCAAGGTGGCGTGAGTCATTGGGTAAGAGTATGCTGGCCACTCTGTTACGCGGGTGTGCTGGAGTGGACCTGCAGGTGGCAGACGAGACTGAAACGTCGAGCAGTTAGACCCTGTGGGCTCCATCCAGGCGGTTGCAGACCCCTCATTTGAGCATTGGTGGAGTAGAGCAATGGGACCGTTTGTGGGAGCTGGTCAGATGAGAATCCGTTGTGGTGTTCTGGGTGAGAGATAGGAATTAGGTGTTAGCAATGAAGATAAAGACAAGAAGGCAAAGTAAGCGATATTCTGGAAGTTAAATGGGCAGAACTTGGTGTGTCATTGGCTGTGACATCTGGGAGGAAGTCGGGTGTCTGGTGGCAACAGTTTTGAGAGACTAGGAGAAGTTAGGCTGCAGTTATCGTATATCATCAGTGCATGGGATGAATTTAAATTGGTCCACAACCGATGTTATTCTTACAGGTTAGGAAATATTGCAAGATGTCTAACTTTGCATGAATAGCTCTTTCCTTATGCTTTTTCCCTGTAAGGAGACAGCTGTTGTATGTTTTGGGTCTGCTCTCTTTTATGCCTTATTAACCTACCAATTAAATCAACTTCTATTCAAACCCTATTACTTAGCACAGAAATTCTTCACAGGATTTAGTGTCCACATGTTTGAATCAACATATCTAACCTCTGAAAAGTCAGGATGTTTTTCAGGATGCTTGGTGGGAAGAAAGTGAATTTCAGACCGTGAGCTTTGTGTGCGTGTGTATGTGTCTCAAATGGAGGCAGTGAATTAGGTTGAAAATTTTCCACAATTTCACCTTTCTCTCATTAATGGTCTTCTAAAAAAAATTTTTTTTTTTAAATTTACTGATTTAAGAGAGAGAGGAAGGGGGCAGGGGAGAGAAACATGGATTTGTTGTTCCACTTATTTCTGCATTCATTGGTTGATTCTTTTATATGCCCTGAATGGGGATCAAACCTGCAACCATGGCTTATCAGACCAATACTCTAACCTACTGAGCTACCCAGCCAGGGGTCTCATTAATGGTCTTTATCACATAGCCTTTAAACAGAGACCAGGCTTGGGTGATATTTATGAGTTTGTAGGTGGTAAAATGCCTTGATAGGTTAAAGTATGAGGAAGTAAAGGAGTTATTTTGTGTACTTTTTTCAGAGTAAGACCTTGTCCACTGAGCCCTAAGCAAGTCAGACATTTTAACAGCATAGGCCTTGTTAAATCTTGCCATGGAGAGACAAATATTGATGTTGTTATTCTTGGATATAAAACTTTCCTTTTCAGGGTAGTAGCTGCCAGTAACCCATGGCTATTTATATTCAAATTTAAATTAAAGTTTAAATAAAGTATAAAACTCAGTTTGTTAGTTGAATCAGCTACATTTAAAATGCTCAGTAGTACCTGTGACTTGCGGCCCCTGTGCCGGAAAGCTCGGATATAGACCATTCCCGCCATCGCAGGCAGCCCTGCTGAGCGGCCCCGAAGGGGCCGGGCAGAAGCCGACGTCAGTATGTACGTCGGAATCAGGATGTTCCTAGGCTTTGGCCATCAGTCCTGTATCTTCAACATCTCCCTGTCTCCTTCTGCACACATCGTGGCCTGTGGTCAGGAGGTTCTGAGCACAGCAGTCAAGCATTCTGTGCCCTTATCCTATCTCTGCCCCTTACTGGCTGTACGAACTTGGGCAAATTAACTATTTTTTTAATCTAAAAATGAAGATAAAAGGCCTAATTTGATTGTGAGTATGAAAGGAGAGAATGCCTGTGAAGTGCTTCAGTTGACATGTGGTAAATTCACAGTGTGTTTATTTAGTTGTCACTGTCGTCATCATCATCATATTACTACTATTATTATATCTAGCATTATTATTCTGTCTCTGTGTGCAGCGATGAGTGTGCTTTCCCATTTATAATGGTATAGGCATCTTGAAATGTAAGCAGACAAGAGGGCAGGCAGATGGTACCCACAATTGTTAACCAGTTTGCATAATTAAAAACTCCTGTTTGACAGTATGAAACTTACATGTGGCCTATTGAGTTGGGTTTAATAAATATTTACGGATCACTTACTGTATGTTGAAAGCTTATATATGCTCCATTGTATAAAAGCCCTGTGACAGGCCCTGGAAATGATATGGGGAAGAAGACATTGGGTGCCTAGAATCCAGGAGAGGGAGAGAGACAAGGACAGAGCATGCAGTGGGTGCACAGACTCTGTAAGGAAGATGTAGGCAGACTAGGTAAGGGCTCCAAGAGAGGCTCCAGGGCCTCTCAAGGCTCCAGAGCAGAAGAGGTGAGCCCAGCAGGGGGAGTAGGGAAGCCCCGCCGGGAGTGGTAGCTGAGAGGGGTCCTGAAGGGTGGGGTGACATTTCACACAAAGGGATGTCCTGGGTCCGGGTGGTGCTTCCAGGAGGGGTCGGCAGGAGTGTGAGTGGAGATGTAAATGCAGTTTGTCCCAGGAAGAGGCGTTTGCCTGAGCCTTTGAGCCCTTGAGGGAGGAGTAGGGAAGGCCAGGTCGCAGTTAAGTGGCCTGAATGCCAGGCCCAGGTGTTGACCTAGTTGAGTAGGCAGCGGGGAGCCATGGCAGGTTGTAAACTTCCTGCTTGGTTCCACAAGACCTTTCAAAGAGAAGAATGCATTCCTGTGGTGGGGGAGGGAAGATGGGATGAATGGCGGTGTTTGATCTTAAAAACTAACCGAATTTGTCAAACGGCATTTCTGCAGCAGAGAAAAGAACAAAGTTAAGTACACAGGGCGCTCCGCAGGTGCGCGGCTGTGTACAGGCATGCACGTTGCCATTTTTCACTGGTGCGGGCCACTTGCAGACCCTGTACGGTGGGGCATGTACCTCCGGGAGGCCCCAGGCCTGGAGTGAGGCTGTTGAGTGAGGAGAGCAGCAGAGGGGTGCCTGTGGACATGTTCTTCTTTCAAAGGAGGAAGCAGAGGTTTAATGGAGCACTTTTTGATCTTCACTTAATCTTTTTTTATTTTATTCTATTGCCACATGCCTTCTGTTAGCTTTTCAAAATCAGTTTCGGGTTATTACTGCTACTCAGTGCCTAGATGCGCACACACACAGCTAAATCTAAGCCATGTGGTGTCTTTGTTATTCCATGACATAAAACTGAAAATGTTGAGCCTATTTCCTATCATGGCCTTGACTCATTTCAATGGATGGCTAAACAGGAAACCACAAATTAATCAGTTAGCACATGAAAAATAAGAACTGCTAGCAATTCCTCTATCTTCTCTAAAATTTCTCATGACCATCTGCAGAGCTGAAGAATTTCCAGTATATAGTTACACTCCCATTTTTCAGCTCTACAAAGAAGTACTCATTTTTCACGCTTTTCACAATTTGAGATGGGATATTTCTTGTAGTTTTGAGATATACGCTTGTAGTTTTTGAGGATAGCGCTTCATCAAGGAGAAGTTAAACTGGAGGCAATCTTTGTATAAATGGTGTTATGGAATCAAGGGAATGAGGCATTTTAGGTGTTTTTCCTCAGGCAGCGCCTATGTCACAATTGGACGAGCCCCAGAAGGCCGCACGAGGACACATGGCACAGGGCCCCTTCTGACACCCCCTCTGGAGATCAGAGGAAAGTGGTGCACGTCTGTGGCCTCCATGCTGGGAAGGGTGGCCGCCGCTGGCCCTGCCACGGGAGCCTCCCCAGGCCACCACAACCTCTACGCTCACTGTCTATCAGTGTCCCAGGAACCGGTTGCTCCGGTCTCCCTGTCTGGGATTTATTCTTCCAGACTCCGTCTCTCCATTGCAGACTGAGCTTTGCTGGTAGATGTTTATTTTAACAAGCCCCGCTAATACACTCTCCATCACTGAGGCAGAGTTGGGGAAGAGATGTGCGCAACTGGCGCTAATGCCGTGGGAGCTGGCACACCACCGGTGCCAGGGGCCTGGGATTCAGGTGGTCAGGACGCCCGCTGGTCAGCGACACAGCTGTTACCTTACAGGGCTGCCTTGACGCATGTTAGGCGGCCTGGCCTCTGGGGCTCTCAAGGCCCCATCAAGCAGGTGTCTGTGTGAGCAGGCGGTTCTGGCTTGGTTTGCTGGTGGTGTGGCGGTGGACAGAGGGGCCAGGCACAGTCCCTTCCTAGGCTCAGCTCTTGAAGGGACGGTGGCCTGGAAACTCACCTGCCTTGTCCCTGTTCCTGCCAAACACATTTGTACTTAGAAAGCATTTTTTATAAAAGTTGAGTCTGAGAGGCAGGCATACAGGGAGGAAGAAGGTGAGTGAAAGAAGGAGCTATTCCCAGACCCCGCGGAATTTAGGTGGCAGCCTCAGAAATGCCTTGAAATAGTCTAAATTATAGTGGAGGGCCACATTAGAAAAGTAAAAATAAACCCCCGGTTCCTAAAAATCACAACTTTTAGTTCAAAGGAGTGAAGGGGAGGTTGAGGAGGTGAGAGGCGAAGGAGGGCGTGTGGAGAAGAAGCCAAACGGCAAACTGCCTTAACTGCTTTCTGCGTTGCTAGGATTTGGCCCTGGAAGAGGCCGTTCTGGAGGAGCTGACACAGAAGGTCGCCCAAGAACACAAAGCCCACAGGTGAGATGGGTGAGGACAGGGCTGCCGGGGCCAGCGCGAAGCCAGAGCCGCTGTCCTGCCCGTGGCAGGAGGCTTTCGGCCCCTGGCCTGAGTTTTATTTCTCCCAGCCTGTGATTCAGCTCTGCTCTGCGAGGTGTGCATAGATTTGCACTACTTGTCCTCCTTCTTCTTTCCGGGGTTTTTTTTTCCCCCTCTTTCACCCTTCCTCTCAGCCGCCTCCCTTTTTCCTTCCGTACCAGTAAGGCCACACAGATGTGGAGTTGGTGGCCAGGGGAATTTTTTTCTGTGACTTTCCTAAAAATCTGTTGCCAGGACTGGGAAGCCTGCAGCCGCCTGTGCCCAGAGTGAAGTCGTGAAAGAGCTACGTTGGGTGGGACAGTGAAAAACACAAGGGTAAAGGAGGGTGACAGTAACTTAGGAAGCACCGAGTGCTTGGGATGGGGGCTGCTCGGAGTTCTGTGGGAAACAAAGGTCCTTCCCTCCCAGCCTCAGAAGACCCGTGCAGGGGCCCTAGCATCTCCCATCTTGGCCACGTGGCTCCCAGAATATCATTCTCATAAACTTTAGTGTTTTCCTTTTGCCTTCTTTTCTTTTTAATAGTGATTTTTTCCCCCCTAGGTGGGAAAAAAACCTTTTAAAAGCAGGCAGCATTATTCTTAGGGATGTCTAGAATAATTATTAGGCTTTATAGGGCTGTGGCTCTTAATTGAATGCTTCACCTTCCTCTTATTCTTCCCTGGTGAGTAAAAGGCTACTAGTGGGGAATATGTTAATGAATTACTTCGTGAGGCACCGGGCCCTCACAGCTGGGCGATGATTGCTTTTCTCAGGGCTGCTGCTAACCCTAAACCACAGCTCTGGAATGTGCCTTCCAGAGGATAGGCTCTCCCCCTGACTTGGTTTGCCCTTAACCATTTCCTCCTTTGTTGCTTTTTGATTTTAGTGGAATCCCGCCAGCCGAGGCCGAGCTTATGTACATCAACGAGGTGGAACGTTTGGATGGATTTGGACAGGAAATCTTCCCCGTGAAGGTAGCCTACCCTGGCCTGCCCATGCTTCGGCCTTCTGAGAAGGGCGTTTGGAAAACCTGTGTTGATAGCAGCAGGCCAGGCCAGCCTGGCTTTCTTACTGCCATGTGGGATTAGTTGGCAAGTCCAGTTTACTTGAGTAAAGCAAAACTTTTTTTGTAACTAAGAGATTTTGAAGTTTTCCGTGGACTTCAGCAGAAGAATATCTCTATAGACAACCAGTTTGAGTGAGTGCCAAACACCAGCCCATGCTGTGCAGAAAGGGATAGGCTCACACCCAGTTTTGCTCTGGGACAAGTAGCTAAGGTCACGTGAGCCTTAATAGAGACCTTAACCCCGAGTTCTCTTCCCCTCACTTATTCCCTCTTCTGTTCTTGAAGCCGACACAGATGGTGTTGGACGTAGAATGAAACATTTCCTCATGCCATCATGCTTTATTTCTCTTGTCCTGTGGGTTTCCAGCCCCTTTGGTGTTTTCTGGAAACTATGCCCAGGAAACTGTTATAGCACGTCCCTTCCTTTGCCCCAAACCCCCTCTTGAAGTGGGTGTGGCTGGGGGGGGCGCATGGTACGTGGGCATTTATAGAGCTGAGCCCATAATCCAAACTCATTTTCTCCTCTCTGTTGACCAACTTCACAAAAGACAGCTTTTTTATCAGAAACCTAAAGCAACTGGCACATTCCAGCAGTCTGGGAGCCGCCTGCCATTTCAGCGCAAACATTTCGCTCCAGGCTGGCTCCACTGGCTGCTTTATAGGTGTTCTGGTCCCCGCCGGCCGCGCATTTGCAATTTGCCTTAATGAGAGCTGCCCGTGCGCATCAAGTAGAATCGAGCAGGGTGGCCGCAGCTTGCGCAAAGGGCTAAATGGCTCTTTTTTAGATTTGTTTAATTTTCTTTTGCTTCTCTCACGGCTGCCCTTCATAGGGTTGTAATCCATTTTCCTTGCAATAATGCCTCAGAAGCCATCTGCATCCCACTTACATTTCAGCAGCCCATATATAGTCATGATATTTTGGGTCATAGAAATAGAGGAAACTTTTCTCCACTGCTAGAAAACTGACTTCCAGCCCCTGGAAGTCGGGGGGTTTTGTTGTGGTGGTCATTTGCTTGTTTTGTTTTTAGTACTTCTGAATTGTGGGAAGTAGGGGCAGTGGAGATAGTGTTGGAATCCACTGTGCTTGGTTCTGATGCACTTCTAGTGTGTTCTTTAGTGGCAAAAGCCCAAGGAGGACACTCTACCTTACTCTGAGTCGGCAGGCAGGCATTGCTGACTCACTGCCCGTGGGCGTAAATTAACTGGGCTTCTTTTTTCTTTTTTTCCTCTCCCTGCACATATCTGTTCATGACTAAGGTGACCACCTACAGACCACAGGATTCCTGGCAACCCCAGGGTGCTGGGCGGGTCGGCAGCACTGGTGGCGGGGAGATGGCAGCACTGAGGTGGCGGGAGAGCAGCTGGGAGTGTGCACAGGACAGGCTGTGGCGGTGCTGCTCCTTACTGACCCAGCAAAGTATAAAACCCGGTTATGGTGGATTTGTCCTAGGGAGGAACATTTCCATGTAGTGGGGGCTTTTCCCTGAGTGGCACCTCGACAGTTCTCAAGGTTGGACGAGTATCAATCCATTTCCCGACAGGTGTGCCTTCCTCTTCACACACCTGTGTGGTTAGAGCACACGGACACAGGGAGGGTGTTCTGGAAGGAGTCAGACAGAGCATGGAGCCTTGACCCTGCGCCATGCTACACAGCGAGCCCTTCAGTATGGACCGGTGCAGTGCCTCGGGCGTCAGTGCTGAGATTTTTCCACTGCCCCGCCCGGGGGATCTGCTCCTTCCTGTGCCCACCCCCGCCCCCGGACCACCGCCACCAGACTGCCGCGATCTGCTGGCAAAGTGCCCAGGAAAGCCTTTCCGCAGAACTTTCCTTTCTCTTCCCATCTCCACTCCATCTATCTTCTTTTCCCATGCATCTACTGTCACGTGACTGACCTCTTCATTTCTCGTAATGACAAGGCACCCTCTCTCCTTCCCAGCTCTTACTCTGTTAACCCTGGCTGCCCTGGCCCCCAGCAGTGGCTCACCTTTCTCCACCCCCGTGCGAAGGCTCCTCTTCTAACGTTAGCTTTGGTAGGTAGGTTGAGAAGAGATCCCTGAGTGGGGACCCTGTGTGTCATCTTGGTGCCTTAAATGGGATCAGAATTCTGAGGAATGTTGAGGCCCTTCTTTCCATCCTGGGCCCAGGCGTGTGTGGCCTTCCTCTCACTCCACAAAGAGGATGTCCCCTCGGTGAACGCAAGGGGCTGAGTGACAGTTCATTCACTGGATGTGGAGCCTCGTTCCCACTCTGCTGTCAGGAACACTGGTGGCCAGGTTATGTTCTCCCACGCAGGAAGTTGGAAGCACCTGACTGAAGATTAGACACCTGAGTCTCCCCAACACTTGGCCCAGCAGATCATAGACGGTGAAGTCTACAGTCCCTGTGCCCCTCCACCCCCCATGTTCACAGGGTTCTCAACCAGTGCTTAGCATCCCCCCTGTGGACTGCGATAAGGTCACTCAGCATCCCCCTGCGTGGCGTCCCGATAGCGATCACAGAGGCAACACAGTGAGAGCAAAGCCAGGGAGACCGACTGGGCAGGGCGAAGAATCCTCGAGTCCAGGATACCATCCTGGGAGCCTCAGAGAGAAGTATGCATAAGAAACCTCCTTGAAGGAGTAGAATACTTTTAAAAAGGAACATTCAGAAAATAAAACAACTCTCTGAAATTAAAAGTATAATATTAGAAATGGCAAGCTTAATCGGTTAGAAGATTAAAATTTAAGAAAATCTCACCAAAAAACAAACTAGTGGAACGTGGGAGGCAGAAGATAAAATTAGAGGGCCAGCTTGGGATGTCCGACCTCTGAATCACAGTTCTAAAAGGAGTAAACAGAGGAAACAGGAGGTGGTAATTTGAGAAAATATCCTAGGACTGATAAACATGAGGTTGTAAGATAGATAGCCAAGCTTAGTAGGTTCATATAAGACACACAATAGGGCTCTAAGTGTGGAAGTCGGTGCCCCCAAGGAAGAGGAAATTGTGGGGCCAGGTTCACTGTGGGCTTCTTTTAAACAGGCTCTAAAGGATATTCAGTTCTTCAAACTATGTGTCTATATAATTATGCATGTAATATGCATAAATAATCAAGCTATGCACATGCAGTTTTGATTTAAGTAACAAAAACTAAGGTAAAAAAAAGATATTCATAGATGTTCATGAAAGAAAAAATCTGAACTGCTAAAAAAAAATCTCAAAACCTAAAATTTGTTTAAACAGAAAATGTGACAAATTAAGAAGAAGGAAAAAATGTATATACATAATACATTAGGATGTGCAGGGAGGTGCATCTCTTCAGGATCTAGATGCCTTACTGTCATGATGCTGCCTGTGACTCTTTCCATCTCTGGGTGCTGCAGGCCAGGCGCTCGGCGCTGCCAGCCCGCCGGTGATCTGTGTCCTCACAACTGTCTTTTATTGATCTTACACAGGACAATCATGGAAACAGTGTGCACCTGGGCATTTTCTTTATGGGGATTTTCGTGAGAAACAGAATCGGAAGACAAGCAGTAATACACAGGTAGTCTTATTTGCCTTTTTCTCCTTTTTTGTCTTTTGAGGGACTCTAAAAAAACCCACTGAGCATCAAAGTTGTACAAATGAGTTGAGTCAGACCATTGGTCAGAGTTGAGCTTTTCTCAACTCAGTGAACATCAGCCCTCTGTGGGATTTAAGCGGTTATGGAGAAATTCATCTCACTTTTCCCAGAGTCCTGCTAGGGGGTGGGGGTTGGGGAGTGGGGGAAGCCTTCTTCCCACCTGATTCCAGGAAGGGCATTGTTGAACCCCCACTGAGCCAGAAGAACAGGAACTAAGGGAACTAAATTTTATGAGTCTGGCTGGAAACAGGCTCTCCAGTTGTCTCTTGCGGATTCCCTTTGCTGGGATACCCATGACGAATCATTAAATTCGAACTGGTTTCTCCCCCTTGTCCTGCACCCACTGCCTAACCACAGGTGTTAGAAAAGTGCAAACTAGTTTTTTATGTTCACAAAAGCGGATTCGTTGGGAAGGTGTGTTTTAAAAAAGCAAACAATTGGTTATAAAGGGCTGTGGTACTTTTGACTATTTTGATCCTTTAACCCTCTTTTCCATTTGACATGAGGATTCCCCGTGTCAGAGTGTCCCCTCAATTACATGCCAGTGGGCTTGCTCTGCATTAGTGACCATAGATTCCACGTAGTGTCGACGATCTAAAAAAATTACATGCTTGCTTTTATTTACGAGGAAATAGGGCCTGCTATTTTTTGGAAGAACAGCTTTACGGTGTGTGCATCGGACAGGCAGAGTTGTGCATTAGGGCAGGTGATCAAGGCTCAGTTTTAGAGAAAAAGCACAGTTCGCCGTCTGGAAGAACTGTTGGCCGGCTACATACTCTCTGGGCCAGCAGTTAATGCTTGTCATGTTGAGAAGCCCTTCCTACCAAAAGCTTCCTAATTGGCTTTTTTGTCCCCCTCGGTCCCCACCCTGCCATGACTTTTGTCCTTTATTTTCTCTTGCTCTTTGAACAGAGACATTATTAAAGTGTGAGTAGGGAGAGAGACCTTTGAGGTTACAGAATAAACTAGACTTTTGGACATATTTAGTCAATTCCATTTACCTACAAGAAATTACAAATTAATTGAGTAAAATAAAGAAATATGTACAGACTTGTAACTATAAAATTTTATGCCCATTTAAAGCTATCCAGGCATTTTGTCCCACGTACTTCTCCATAGCATGAGGGAATAAATATTCCATTGAACTGATAAGTTTCCAATGCATGCCCAGTGCTGATTTCAAGATAGTGGCGGTGATTTCTCCAGAGTTAAATCAATGCTTCATAGAAGAAAATAGCAATTTGAAAGTTTGCCAGTTATAAGCCACTCCAAGGATTTGTTCATTTCCTTAGGAACTTCTTCCAGGCCTCTTCCTTTAGTACTTATCATGGAACCCTTTACAGGGTGGAAATTCATGTCTACTATGTCATATTAATCATGCCACTAGGTGAAGTCAGTGGCGCAGTGAGGAGTGGATTCAGAGTTCTGGCAATTGACTTGACGGAATGGAGCCAGGGGAAACCCGATGGCTCTTCTCTCTAGAGACCTTCACTGAGAAGCGTGTAGTTATGAGGTCACATAGATGTGATCTGATGGGATTTCAAGTTGGCAAACAGCTGTGCTGAGCACCTGTAGCCAATATGGCCCCAGCAGATGCATATAAACACAGTTGGTCCTGGAGTCATGGAAAGATGATTGGAGGAAAATCTGGAAGCCCTAGGTATAGAAGTTATCCATCCCTGATGGGCAGAGTGAATGCGGCTGAGTCATGTACTCATTTGTGCCTAAACTGCCTCATCTCTGAAGTAGATGCCTTGTCTGCCTTAGAGAGTTGATCAAAGAACCATCAAAGAACCGTACTCTATACAAATGGGAGGAAATGTTATTACTTTTTAATTCTTTCAGCAAGCATTTAGTGCATGCTGTGTTCCAGGTACGTGGCTCAGTGCTTAGAATACGGAAATGAAGAAAGCGGAATCTCTACCCAGAGTATGGGGCTTGTAGCCTACTCTGGTTTCGTTAGGATCTAGTCACAGAAGTAAGCAATTGTAATGCAATGTCATAACTGATAGAGGACGACACCAGGTTCCTTCCTTGCATGTGGGTGATTGGGGATGGGGAAGGGCTTCCTAGAGAAGGTGACTCCCGGGCTGAGTCTTAAAGGAATCATCCAGGCAGAGGTGGAAGTGTAATGAGTAAAAGCATGATGAAATGAAGTCAGTGGCCAGGAATTATAGGTGGGGGCTTATTTCCCCTTGTCTGGTGGTTATTTCTGTGTATCACATTTTAGATAAGGTCTCCATGAGGAAAGAGAAGGATACATGTGTTTATATCACAAAAATGTAGGCACATTCAACACCTCCTGAGCATTTTTTCTGGGTGATATAATCAGTAATGTACATTACAACACAGACTCTATGCGAATTCTTCAGCCTAGATTCCAGGAACATAGGACCTTCAAATAATGTGTTCTTCCATCGTTAAAAGCCGGGATCATGAGAAATACTTTGTCAGTTTGGAAACATGAAAAACAAGGCAGCAGAAGTGACTTGCAAATTTTCCTCCTACTAGTTATAAAGGAAACGATACTTCATGAATAGCAGTATCTAGATATAGTTTACATAGGATTTTTTAGCTATTTAAATAGATGCATGTTGCATTTTCTGTACTTTTATGCCTTTTGAAAAGGAACATTTAGTTGTTAAAAAACCAGCTAAATTGTTATGTATAAAATTAGATTCAGCAGTAGCCAGGGACCCTCCTGTATGGGTTCATAAATGCACAGACCATTTAGGGGCAAATGTGGTTGCCTTTCTTTTGACCAGGTGGAATGATTTGGGGAATATCACTCATAACAAGTCGACCATTCTGGTGGAGCTCATCAACAAAGAAGAGACTGTGCTCTTTCACACGGTAAGCAAAGTGGACAAAGGCAGGGTCCTGCAGGCAGCTTGCTCTTGAACTTCTCAACTTATAATATCCTTTCTTTGTTCCCCTTACCTTGAGAGACTATTCTATTGAACTGAAACTGCCAATACTTGCCCAGTGCTATTGTGACTTAACTCGGGATGGCGGTAGTGATTTCATATTCAAAATGCCTCCTTTCCAAGCTGAGTATTCACTCTTGGATCTGGGTTCTTCCACCTGCCTTATTTGTGATGGGTCGCATTGCCTGGCTGGGCACGTTCCTCAACACTGTAGTTACAGCCCTCCTCAGGTGACCCCTGAGTCTATCACGTGGGATTTTCTTTTGCTGGCTGACCTGGATTTTCTGTCTGATCATAGCCCAAACCTGATCTGAAGTCAACTGAGCCATTTCCCTTCTGTTGAGGGCCTTTTGGAGAGCCAAGGCTGTTCATGCATCTCTCTGCCACTCATTTAATGATGCTTGGTGTTCATTCATTCCATGCTCTGCCTTGATTCATTCATTCATAAAGCACTTGGTTTGGAATTATGTGAAGACACACCAATTCATCAATGTAACCCCAGTGACTTGGCCATAAGGGATTCTTTAGCAGACAGCCTGGTCTTGTCATCCTTTGGCGGGCCTCATATGCATGCCTACCACTCAATTTCAGCATGTTGGTTTGTGGCTCCCGATGTTATTTTGTGATTGACAGGAAGGGAGGAAGGGAACATGCCCCTGTTTAGAAGAATCCTTGTCAAATGTGTATATAACCAAAGAAATGTTTATTTTTCTCTCGGTCTCTTTTTTTCCAAGGATGATATTGAAAATGCCAAGTATATTTCTCGGTTGTTTGCTACACGGCACAAGTTTTACAAACAAAACAAAATCTGCACTGAGTAAGTAAACATTTTGTCTGTCTTCTCAAGGGATGGTTTGGTCAAATTAAACTCGTGCTTTGGGGATGTTGGCGATAGCTTTTTCCATTTACTCTTTTCCCTCGCTCCTTGTAGAAGCCAAAGAAGTAAGTCAAAGCCGGGCAGGAGTGCGAGTGCTTTAATGATGGAGACTGTGTGGTGGAGTTAGTACCTATGCCTAGAGAGGAGATAATTCACAAATTGACTGTGAATATCTGACTGCCTGGATGGCTTGGCCCACTATTACTATTAGTGCCTTTCCGACCTCTGTGATGAGTTTTGGAGGAGCTGAGCCGTTCCCAATTTGCCAGGGTGTCCCTTCGTGTCAGATGTGGAGGATGTTCAGAAGCGTGTGACACAGTGACGAGCCAGCTTGAAAGGGAAGAAGCTCCTGTCATCCTCAGCCCCGTTTCGCTTACACAGTTGGGTAACCCTGCGTGTGCTTCTGGGTCATGTCATCTCCCTGTAAATGAGAGGCCAGGGTAATTAGAGGAAGACTTGGAAGACACTAATAGATATCACAAGTCCGTATGTGTGTGTTTTAAATTTAATTTGGAAATCAGGATGATAAAAGGAGTCTGATGAGGGAACTTAAATGTGACCTGACCTTGGATACAGCGTGCTGGGACTCACGCTATCGTTGCCTTTACCTTGAATTGCCTTCAAAAGGTGTTCCTCGGCAGAGTACGTCGGCTGTTGGGGCACCCAGAGTGTTTAATTTTGGTTCAAAGAACTTCGGGGATGTAAATGCAAGAGAGGGACTGCCTTTCCATTCCCCCAGTGGACACATTCAAGAGTGCGCGAGTGCGGTCCTAATGCAGTTCTGCCGAAGAGCGCGTTTTAGAAGTGCGTCATCGGGTGCTGGCAGACTTTCCTCTCCACACGCCGGAGGTGCTTTCAAAGCAGTCCCAGCAATTGGCCATGGTCAAAGTCTGGAAGTATATTTGATACTATTAGATCTGCCAGCAGAGTTTGCAAATGTAAATCAGAAGAGCACTGATCAGGGAGTGGCAAATTAAGTAGCCAGAGCTGTCTCGTGGACAGGCACGCGCACATGCCTTTCTTTTGGACAGGTTCCCTCTAGGTCATTTCTTTCCAGTTTTTTTTTTTACTTCCCATCACTATTTACCCCCTATACCCTGCCCATCACCTCCATCCACCCTCTTCCCTTCAATCGCCACACTTTTTGTCCATGTCCTTGAGTTCTCTTTGCAGTTTTACTTTGCAGTTGCCTTTCATGTGTGGGGGTGTCTTTGACATTAACAAGAATCCTATAGTCAGCTGCTGAAAGGTGAATTAAGAAATATGTGGAGAAGTGAATTTTATTGTAATAAAATTCTGGTTTGAACATTTCTCAGCAAAAGGATTAACTCTAAAAATCTATGGATTATTTGTATTTTTTTTTTTCCTGTGGTCTTTGAATATCAGCGGACGTCCCATATTCGACTGCAAACTAAGGAAATTATATTTTTCCTATTTCTGTAAGAGCCATTCCTTTCCTCTTCCTAACCAGGAATGGGAGTTTCCTCCCTTCCTACCTGATAAAAACTGGGACTCTTGAAAGTACTTTTTTTCCTTCTCTCACAGAGTTACTGCTTGTCACCTGCTGAGATAGCGCCAGGGAGTGGTTCCCATGATTCTTGACTTGGGGAGAAAAAATGTAGAGGAGAGAGGAAAGGGTGTTTAACAGTGGGTCTAATAACATTGTATTTGGCCACTTAAAAAACCCCCAATATTATTATATTGTTTCCATTATTTTGTTAAAAAAGGATATTTTTTTATCACCAAAAAGGTACGAAAGATGAAATTTCAAAATACAGAGAATGCTTTAAATTGAAGAATTTTAGCTTGATGGCCCACTCCACATGTCTTGGGTTTTTAGGACTTACTTCTCAAAGGCTCCTTTGATTTCAGTTCTTAAGAATTTGATAATATTCTTAGTCCCCACTCATTTCTATTTCTATATTAAAAAAATCTCTACATTAAAAAAAATCATGTTGAATCTCAATCTGGAAAAGATCTGATCAGATGGATATTTGCAATATGTATTAGCTTAATTAAAAATACCTTTGTACCTCAAGAATATATAACTTATTTTGGATCTTTTCATTTTACTGGCAGTATTTTAAAAATATTTTTGTTCTTATTATGAAAAATTTTTACGTATATACAAAGGTACAAGGAATACAGTTTTTAAAAATCCATGTAATAATGGTAAATGTTTGTCTTTCTTACTTCCCTTATAATCTTTCTTTAGAAATAACCCTCATTCTTCTAATATTACTTTGTAAAACTTTTTGTAAAAGTACCATATATTCCAAACATTTTGAAAATAAAAGAATAAAAGGAGAAACCCGAATTTTTCTTAGCTCTACTTACACGGAAATCGTGTTTATGGTTCACTGTTAGTCTTGCTCTCGTGTTTGTCTTATATCTAGTGAATAATAACCATTCTTATTTTTCACCTTTTTACGTAGACAATCAAACTCTCCACCCCCCATCAGACGCCAGCCCACCTGGAGCCGGAATTCCCTGGTTTGTATGAAATACTTAGTAATCGAGTAGCCTGTCTGCTGGGAGGGCGTGTCCTTTTGTTGCTAACTTGAGAGGAGAGGTGGCCAGGGCATCATGACCCGGTCAGATCGGGTGAGGATGCAGGAGGGCATCAGTCTGCCAAGTAGGTTGGATGCACACCCGCCCTGTCCCTCGGTGCCCATCGCGCCCATCACTTCCCTGAATGTGGCCCAAGGGGAGGTTCACTCCCTGAGTGAGTCTTACTCCAGGTTGATGAGGCCACGTTCCTGCGCCTGTAACCTGTTGTTTCTATCTGCGTGTTTTCATCTGTTGTTTTAATAAACTGTTTCTGGTTGTTACATGTAGACATGTCTTCAGATATAAGCTCCACAAATTCTTTTGTGCTCACTGCCGTAGGTAGAGCTTAGTAACAAATCAGAAAATGCTTTTTAAATGAGCAGAAACTGAATAAACCTAGTTGATGTTCTCAGGTCAGGTACTCAATAGGGAAGATTAATTGAACTTTTCCTGATTATAAGGGCAACAAAATTTGAATTGACCCACTTTTCTACCTAACATTAGCTTTTTAAAAAAATTTAAACTGTTCTCCTCCTCATGTGAATAAGGAGACACATGTGCTTTCTAATTTCAACACATGTGCTTTGTCTTAGGCTCTGTTCTATTTTAAGGATTCCTTAAGGATACTATAGTAGAAGGGTGTCAAAAAATTGATTTTCTTTAAAGGTTTCTACTTGTTTTAAGTCATAATTCTTTATTTTAGGTTATGATTTTTTTATACATAGTTAAAACAAACATGTGACCTTTTAATTTTTCTAGATGAATAGTTTCTTTGAGTTGATAGACAAATAAAATTGAATTTTTCTTTATACACAACAGGGTGTACCAGAATTGTATATTTTTAACTTGGCTTTTGAAAGGAAAGTTTTGAGGAATTTTGGGGGGAGGGGAATGCATAGATGTGAACTCCTAGAATTCTAGAGTTACGTCATCACATACTAACGCCTGAGCATCCATGGGCATATCGTGAATCTTGACCTCATGGACAATATCTGACAAGTACGCTTGCTCTGGAGAACTAGGGTCACTTGGAGCTCTTCTCCTGGAGTACCGGTAGGTTTGTTCATGGCACTGGCGTCCTTCCTCTTCTCTTTTGTGAATAATATTTTTATTTTCCCCTCTTTAGACCCCATCTGTTTGTATTAGTGAGATAATTTTTCCTTTCTGTCCATGGAACACTATGGGAGGCACAGTGTTTTCAGGCCGTCTTGTGATCTAATCTCATCCTACTTATCTGGGGAAGCTAGAGAGGCTTCCCTCCCAGATTAGGATGAAGTCAGCCTGCAGGAGCCAGATCACGGCTTCCCTCTTTCCTCTGCCCTCTAGGATTAAACCGCTTCACCAGGAGTTCCTTGGATTGAGTCAGAGTCAAACCAGATAACATTGTTTCTTTTGGCTTCCTTGCTGATAACCAGATGGCCACTGACTCCCTTTCTCTCCCCTTCTGCTGCCTGTATTATGGCATCTTACTGGTTTTTGTATTAGCAAACCTGGAAAGAAATAGAATAATATATTAGAATATGTAAAAGATGGACTAAATAATATAATCCTGAAATGGTGTCAGGAGGATTACTTATTATTGTCCTTTGCCTGCATACTTAATGCCAGCTCATTTACAGTCCCTTAGTTTTTGGATTTTTTTTTTTTTTAAATAAGAGCAAGAAAAGGCAGTGAGCCAGCATTGCCTGCCATGTATTTCCATTCCCTTGTATGAATCCCTCCCCACTGTGTTTTTTTTTAAGCCTCAAAACTGGTTGCCCTATTCTGGAAAAATTGAGTTGAATTATGTATTACTAAGAATTGGAAAAATATTTTTAAATTGCAACTCAAAACCCAGCCAAAGGAAATTTGGAAATATTTAGGAGAGCTGATATAATACCTTTTCTTTGGTACTCTGAACTTTCTTACATTAATTTCAATTCTTTATTTCTTCTTCCCTGATTTTTTAAAATTTTTGGATCCCTTGTCTTTGTTTGCTCTTTTGATGCTGAAGCATTATCTGTAGCAGAGGAAATGGTAGATAAGTTATTTGCCCAGAACTTTGGCGAGTGCTCATCTTCTGTTGAGAGATACTGAGAAAGTGTGACCCCTGCTGGCTTTGGCTTGTTTTTTAGTGTGATCTCAGTTTTTCCTCCTAAAGCAGCCACATTCCAATGAGTGTCTATAAGGCTAATTTTAAAATAATCAAAAAGAAATATAAGAGATCCTCCTGTTTGGTGGTTCACAACTTTAAAGTTTAAACTTGTTTGGTATCACAACTCTTTATTCAAACAAACTCTCACCTGGAACCCCAATATATAAATAAAATGGATCGTGTTTGAGGTAGGGGAAGGGAGGAGGCTTGGTTTGATTGACAGGAAGCTGAGACCTACTTGAGGTTAAATGATTAGATCACATTAGCGACTAATCGTATTTCCTTTGTTGGCTCTCCAAATGTTGAACTTATCTAAGCATGTTTTTGTTCTTTAAAAATTCTACTGTCCTCTGCAGCTGGAAGTTACTCAGATTGAGTCTAAAGGGCCATTTTTAAGAGCCTTATGGGAAAGATTCTTCACTGGAGGGATAGTTGGTTGACTGGGATTCTCTGCAAGGCCTTTTCACATTTGAGTCTACACGGGAGGGGCCCGTATGTGGTCTTGAGAACTATATGCTCACTGTTGTGCATTACATTTCTGATTTTTCTGTAAATTTGCGCGTGGGCCCTGCCTGAGACCTCCTGGCCCCTGTTTGAGGTTGATGGGGTGCGGGAACTGGGGTTGCAGGTGCAGCTGTGATGATGTGTCCGTGCTTGTGGCTCTGGGAGAGAGCCAGTGTTGACAGGATGAAACAGAGTGCCCCCTTTTTCTCACTATTCTTACATGGAACTTAATAATATATGTGTCCTGTGTTATTATTCCTTTTAAAAAGGCATGGGTTATACATCAGAGACTCTACCAAGTGTTCCCCCAATGTGATTGTCTAAGCATCATGCTGTACCCCTGAAACTAATACCAAAAAAAGCAATTTGTTTCTTGGAGATGGTGGGTTTCTTTGGTCACACTAAAAACGTCTCTGAACAGCCCAGCATTTCCTAGGGACTGTTAGTATATATTACTGACATATGAACTTTTGTTCAACATGGAGGGCACTGGGAGCTTTGCAAGGGTATTAGAAAGAAATCATAACGACATACGTGCGTGTTGATTGTAGGCTCTTTGTCTTTCTCACCTTGATCCAACGTCCTTATTTCTCCCGTCTTGTTTCTCCAGTCCTGACTTAGTGACGAGGTGAAGAGGGTTGGGTACCAACGAGGGGACGAGGGTTGGGTTAAAGGTAGATGACAGAGCAGCCCAGAGTGCTGCCCGGCAGATGCGAGTGAGTTATGGGGACTGTCCTGTGCTCGGCTGGCTCTCCGTGACAGCGGCGGCCGTTTGAGCTGAGACCTACTCGCCTGTGCCGTGTTCTCTCTTTCAGCCCCGGCAGCAGCCGTACATCTTGCCCCCCATGCACGTCCAGTGTGGTGAACACTACTCGGAAACACACACTTCACAAGGTAACTCTGGCTTGCCATTTCCCCTTAAGACAAACAGTTGATTACAGGTAAGCAGTAAAGAAGACTTTGTTGTGTTTTTTTTTTTTAGATGACAATGGCACTTTCATTTTTAATCTTGTGTCTGAAGGGCAGCAAGTAGCAACGTTGAGTCATGAAAAGCAAAAAATACCGTTTACCCCGAGAGAAAAATGTCCCCAGAGTTGGCTGCGAAGGGAGTTGGGAAAAGGCTGTGAGCAACATTCTTTTCTCCTCCCTCTCGTAAACGGGCTTGGAGAAGAGAGGGAGTCAGCGAAGCCCAATGGAGTGCTCTTCACCCTCATTGCCAGTATCCCGAAGCTTGTAATAAATAGTCAGTCTGGTTTTCACGGTGGCAGAGGGTACAGGCATCTGGGATAATTGAAAAGATACACAAATAATCTCAACCCTTCACATTAGCTATTGCTTCCCATCTATACCACCAGCCCCTTCCTCCAAGCCCTTGCAAAGGAAATCTGTTATATACCTCTTTTTAAACTCCTATACAAAATGTGTGAAAAAGCTATTCCAGGAATAATTATTAGAATGACAATTAACATTTATAGAGAAATCGCTCCCCTTAAGCACCCGTCTCACATTTGCAATGTATTGTCTCATTTAGTCCTCAGTGTAAACCTATGGCGTAGGTACTGCTGTTATTTCCAATTTATAAGTGGAGAATGGGGATACAGAAGGGGTAGGGGAGGAGCTTGTATGTGAAAATCAGTGTCTTGACCCCAAGCCAGTGCTCTTAGTCATGACACTTACTGCACCTCAAAGAAGGAATGGCATTAAACGTTGAATATTGATGATGTTAAACGGGAAGTGTCTTTCTAGGTCCTCATTGTTTTGAATCCCTCTACATTGTCAGCGTGAGCATGAAAACTAAGATAACTAAGGCTATTTGATTGAATACAACACTGCTGTGTATAAGTGGACTAGCAAAGTGAGCCTGTGTCTGCTGGAGGGGCACCAGCTCCCAGCAAATGGCAGAGGTGGCCCAGTGCAGCCTGGGGCTCTGTGGGCTCCTGGTGGAGCGTGACTGTCTCATCTCCTCTGGTCCGTGGCCACACCTCTCCTGCTTGGGCAGCTGAGTGTTTACAGTCACCTCTTCTGTTTTTCATCTTTTCTGCCTTTGTCCCTCTTTCCCTACTTTGCTCATGATTAAATCTGTAGTGTGAAACATGCATGTAGTTTGCTCACAGAAAAGTGTTTTGGTAAGAGGTTGAGGGGGTGGACATGAGTGTGTTGAAGGAACACTGGACACCTCAAATGGGCCTAACTTTACAAACCTATTTTGTTTTAATCTCTTTTAAGTACCTCTTTAAACTAGGATTAATTTATACATGGCTTGGCCTCCCAGAGTTTTAGGCAGTGGCTAAAAGAATGCCTGGTTCTTATTTTGCCCTCCAGGGGTTGCTGATGAGAAGGTGTTGGCCGCACATGCAGGCCTCCTGGCTGCACTGTTTGTCTTGTGCCTTTATGACTGCTTAGCAGTCCCTCTGGCAGAGGGACCTTTTTGATTGTAGCTCAGCTCCAAGTACACAATAACTTCATATCGATTGCCCTGTTCAAGCTCTTAGCTCTTTGGCCCCAATAGCCAGCCCTGTTGCTGAGCCCTGAACAAGGGACCAGGTCCACCCAACATGGAGGCCACACTTGCTGGCTGATTTCAAACCTCATGGCATAGTCGAGCATTTACCAAGGGGGTGTCCAGCCTTAGTGTTCATTCCTTTCTGTGTTTAGAGTCACTTCTTTTCAGTGTGCTTTCCAATGTTCCCTTCTGTAGCTTGGCATCTCATCCAAGGAATGTTCAGGTTTCTATGGAATATGTGGGCGGAGACCATGGCTTTGCACTTTTTATGACTTCTTTAGGTAAACAGTCACCCCCAGGAGTGTAAGGATGAATTTAATTGAAGCAGGATGGCATGGGGGTTCACGTGCCTTTGTTTGACCTCTTGCAGACAGCATTTTCCACGGGAACGAAGATGCCTTCTACTGCAACTCTCACAACAGCCTGGACCTAAATTATTTAAACGGCACCATCACCAATGGCAGCGTGTGCAGTGTTCACAGCATCAACTCCCTGAACTGCTCCCAGAGTTTCATTCAGGCATCTCCCGTCTCTTCCAACCTCAGTATCCCTGGGAGCGACATCATGCGTGCTGACTACATCCCTAGCCACCGGCACAGCGCAATCATCGTGCCGTCTTACCGGCCAACCCCCGATTACGACACGGTCATGCGCCAGATGAAGCGGGGGGTCATGCACGCAGACAGCCAGAGCCAGTCCCTGCGAAACCTCAACATCATCAACACCCACGCCTACAACCAGCCGGAGGATCTGGTGTACAGCCAGCCCGAGATGCGGGAGAGGCACCCCTACACTGTCCCTTATGGGCCACAGGGGGGCTACAGTAACAAACTCGTCGGTCCATCAGACCAGATGAACCCAAAGAATAGCTCGGTGCCCAGCAAACCGGGCGCGAGTGCCATCTCCCACACGGTCAGCACCCCAGAGCTGGCCAATATGCAGCTCCAGGGCACCCATAACTATAACACAGCCCATATGCTCAAAAACTATCTCTTCAGGCCACCACCCCCTTACCCACGGCCCCGCCCTGCCACCAGCACCCCGGACCTGGCCAGCCACCGCCACAAGTACGTCAGCGGCAGCAGCCCTGACCTGGTGACCCGCAAAGTACAGCTGTCAGTGAAGACCTTCCAAGAGGACAGCGCCCCGGTGGTGCACCAGTCTCTGCAGGAAGTGAGCGAGCCCCTCATGTCCACCAAGCACCATGGCACGGTGAATAAGCGCCACAGCCTGGAGGTGATGAGCAGCATGGTGCGGGGCATGGAAGCTATGACGCTCAAGTCACTCAACATCCCCATGGCTCGCCGCAACACGCTGCGGGAGCAGGGGCCGCCCAAGGAGGTGCCTGGGGGCCACGAGGTGCCCCCGCTGCCCCAGTACCACCACAAGAAGACTTTCTCAGATGCCACGATGCTCATCCACAGCAGTGAGAGCGAGGAGGAGGAGGAGCCTGCGGAGTCGGTGCCCCGGATCCCCGGGCTCCGTGAGAACATGGAGTACAGCGCTCAGCTGCAGGCGGCCTTAGCCCGGATTCCCAACAAGCCCCCGCCTGAGTACCCCGGCCCGAGGAAAAGCGTCAGCAACGGGGCGCTGAGACAAGACCAGGTTAGCCTTCCTCCTGCCGTCGTGAGAGCCAGGGTGCTGAGGCACGGGCCGGCCAAGGCCGTCAGTGTCTCCCGAGCTGACCAGCTGGCCGTCAATGGGGCCTCCCTCGGTCCGTCCATCTCAGAGCCCGACCTGACAAGTGTGAAGGAGAGGGTCAAAAAAGAGCCCGTGAAGGAGAGACCCGTGTCCGAGATGTTTTCCCTGGAGGACAGCATTATAGAAAGAGAGATGATGATCCGGGTAAGTGTCGACCCGCCCGGGGCACGTGTGGGAGCAGTTACACACGCTGCCCCCACCCAACTGCAGCCCCCTCTGCTCCTTGTCCATGAGGGAGTTCCCAGTGAAAGCGCACATGCTGTGGACACCGAAGAAGGTGCGAGCCTTCTTCAGAGAAGGTGGTAGGGCTTCAGAGAGTCACGTGGGATTTGAACAGGTAGTATTTTATTTCACAAAACCTTGTTTTTGTCCCTTCCAATAAATCTCCCATTCTTGGAACAAAGCGCAGTAATGGAGTTAGGACATTACAGGTTGGGGGTGTTGAGATGGGGTCTAGGCCAGCGTTTCGCTCTTTATTCAGGACCCGACTTACTGTGTGCGCTGTGTTACCTGCCCACACCTGTTGGCCTTTTGGGGGTTTTTCCCCCAGAGGAAAAAGAGCAACATCTCTTGAGCTTTCTGTGTTGATCTGTATGTCAGGATGGCTCGCCAGTATTGATAGAGCGTGACGTGTCCAGCTTGATTTTCAGATCTTGTTTCCATGGATGTGTAACACAAAGCCAAGAACATTACCTTAAACTTGGAAGTTTACCATTGAGCTTCAATTCCCTATTAACCTTAATCTATCAGGAATTCATATACATGTATGAGAGTACTCACGTACACATAGACACATACATATACGCATGGACGCACTTACAACATTTGAACATGCCTAATAGTAGACCAGAGAACCCCCTTTTCAAATGTGTACCATCCGGAAGGCCTATTATGGTGTCAGAGCGGGAGAGCACAGTACCAGGTGCGCCCAGAAAACAGCAGAGCGGGTTCTCTCTTACAAATGAGAAAATTGCTGGGGTGTCGCTGCTACGTTAAAAAATATTTCAGAACACCAGTACTGCTCGTCCTGGAAATTTTCACTCCTTTAAAAAGAAAAATCATTTCATTACAGCTAATCAAACCCAGATTGCTTCTCCTCTGCACGTACCACACGTGTACCTTAAGGTAGCCCGGCCTATTTTAGGAACTCCGGAACTGTTATAACTTAAAATTTGCTTTGATGGCGTTCCTTAGGCTTCCTTCATTAATAGGTCTTCCCAAGTCTTCAGGAGGAATCAGCCTGCAAAGAACAGTCAAGGGCCAATGTTTTAAGGAAGCCAAGTTCCTGGGTTCAGGAATCTAATCCGTAACAACTCTTGTTACTTGAGACAAACCCTAAGAGCACGCTCAGCCTCACGGTTCTGGTCATCAGTGAAGTAGTGCCAAGCATTGGGGACAGGTGTCGCTTTTTCCACGGTTTGCAAACCTGGAGGGAAATTGTGACTGATGTGCTTGCGCCTCTGGTGATCAAACCGCAGGGTGAGGGATGGAATGCGAGGCGGGTGCCTTGGGGGAGACTTTGTAATTTGGGGTAGAAAGGGATTTTCAGCACTTCTTGGCTCCAGGCTTCTTTAACACAACTTGGCAACTTTGCTGGCTTGATGTCTATTGATGGTTCTTTAGCCTCATTTTGGTCAGATTCCTCCACATCTTTTGTTCCCTGTATTAAACAGAAGACTATAGCCCAACCCACTGAGCAGGTTCCCTACATAGAGCTTCATGCATATCACCAAGGAGCAAGGGGGTTTCCCCTGGTGACCCCATGTGCGGCCCCATTCTGTCCATACGGATAGTAGCGAATAGCTGATTTTACCTTTAACTTGTTCAGGAACATTGTTACTCCATCCCTACGTCACTCTCCCCCTTGAAATTTTCCCCAAGTCGTATATTTGGGAGCTCAAGGACTGTACCCCTGGTGGGCTGATGTCTTTTTTTTTTTTTTTTTTTTAAAGATTTTATTTATTTAGACAGAGGGGAAAGGAGAAAGGGGGGGAGAGAAAGATCAATGTGTGGTTGCATCTCGCACCCGCTACTGGGGACCTGGCCTGCAACCCAGGCATATGCCCTGACTGGGAATCGAACCGGCGACCTTTTGGTTTGCAGGTCGGTGCTCAGTCCACTGAGCCACATCAGCCAGGGCTGGGCTGGTGTCTTGACCCCCCGAGCGGGGTTAGGAGACTCTTGAGGGAACCAGTGTGCCAGGCACGATGGTGACAGTGTCGCCTGGTTCTCTGTCTGGCTTTGTATGAAGAAACTCGCCCCAGCCTCCTCTCCACATCTCAGGTGCTTCTCTGCCCTCCCCGCCAATGGGCAGCTTTTGCCCACTTGTTAGGAACAGATAAGAGAAGGCCTGTCTGGGCCTCTCTAGGGTAAGAGAACAATGAGAAAATTTAACCTGATGGGAACTGGAGGGGGCAGGTATGGTGAGAATTTGCCCTGTGGCTAACTTGCCATAGTTCAGGAGCTCTCTGTCTATTTAAGGGGTGATTCAGCCTGCCGTCTGGGGAGCTTCTCTGTCTGGCTCCTGCTGCTGCCTAAAGACATTTAGCCCCCAACCTGAGATCAGCTGCAGGGAAGAGAAAAGGCCAAATCAGATCTTGGAGTTACTATTTTTTTCTTTTCTTTTTTTTATCTCTGGTAATAAGCTGATAGGGTGAGTGAGAAGGAGCTAAGAGAAGTCGTTTATCCCTGGGCTCTCATTTTTCACTAGGTGAGTTCATGACTTTTTGCCTTAGGCCCAGTTACAGTCACCTGTGCTGCAGGTGGGGCTGTCGGAAGGACCTGAGGCCCATTTTTCTGAAATTATTGCTCTCTCAAAACTTTGCAGAGTTGTGAAACCAATTCTCAACTAAAGAGATAATAGGGGGAAAAAATTCTCTCTCATAAAAACAAACTTAGAAGCAAACAAAGGGAAAAAAACTCAAAAATGTAAATTGGAATTTTTCTAAATCTGCCTGGGATGGAGAAACTAGGGTCACTAATTTTTTTTTTTTTAGTTCTCACCCAAGGGTATGTTTATTGACTTTTGAGAGATGGGGAGACATCAGGGTGGGAGGGGAGAGAAACATTGATACAGGAGAGAAACGTTGATGCGAGAGAGAAACATTGATCAGTTGCTTCCTGTATGTGCCTGGACTGGGGACTGAACCCACAACCTAGATATGTGCCCTGACTAGGGATCAAACCATCAACCTTTTGGTGCACGGAATGATGCTCCAACCATCTGAGCCCCCTGGCCAGGGCTAGGGTCACTATTCTTAAGACTATTATGCCTTTTGGCTAAGAGTTCTTCAGCAGTTTTCTCACATATCACAGTTAATCTCCTCTAAGAAGCTCCTGTTGTTTGCCAAGAGGGCCAGCCCTGTCCCTGGAAGAGGCTCCTTCTCTCAAGGGCATCATCGCTCACGAGTGCAGGGCCTGTTCTGAGTGCAGGTGGCACCCAGGGGATGAGTGAGGTGCCATGGCCTCCGCCACCATCCGAATAACCCTCTCACCCTCTGCCGCGTGCCAGCACCATGGCCCATAAAGACACCTCTCCCCGGGGAGTAAATTTATAAATGTTAGACTAAGAAAAACCACCAAAAGCCTTGAAAGGAAACCAGGGGTAGGGTGACCCCTTCATGTGCAGCAGCCAACAGAGCCTGCAAATTGGTTTCACTTCCATGTGGCTCAAAGTCTCCCTGTGCTTTATGAAGTCCCTCCATTCTTCTGACTTCTCTGACAAAATGATTTTGGAGACACGCTCTAACCGGGTTGCCTGAAGTGAGTAAAAGGAGGCACGTTGTGCCTCACCCTGCCAAGAGGGCGTGAGATGCCCCGGCAGTGGGCGGGGCACCGGGGCCTGGCGGAACCGGCCTCAGAGCACAGGGCAGCTGAGGGCAGGGAGGCCGTCCGAAAGCCACAGACAAGGGCGAGGTGTCCACCTCCAGCCTTCCCCTGTGTGGTCTGCTCAGCCCTCAACTCCATAGTCTCACACAGCTGGGTCTCATCTGTGAGGCCTCACCATAGTTATCGGGAGCCATGGCATCCACTCCATCCTTCACGAAGGGAGTGCCTGGTGGATCATCCTACATGGCCCCAGTCTTTGGTGGGAGCATGTTGGCTAAGTCACATCAGCTCTCATTCTGGGGGTGACATTTCAGGGATCGGAGGTTCAGTATAGGGTTAACATCCTTCCAGTTAGCCCCTCAGAACAGAAACTTGAGCAGGTTTTTGTTTACAATTTATGTATTCAGATCTCTACACAATGCATCAAACAGTGTTTATGTTTTTTTGTGGATTTTGTTTTGTTTTGGTGAGCCCCCTTTGCAGGGTATATAAATACCTTGATTGTACACTCCTTTTTTTTTTTTAATTAATTTTTCTTGGTGAGCCCTGTTGCAGGGTGTATTTGCACAGAGCCTTTGCTCCTGTTTGTTTGCTCTGTGTTCATGTCTTCCTCTATTTTAAAATAAGAGCTTGGGAGCCCTGTAGGAATGGGCGTCCTCAGCACAGTGGGAATTGATGGGTAGGCTGTGTTTGAATTTGCCCTGCTAATGGTGAGTGTCTGCATTCCTTGGCTGGGGAGTTACAGATTTGGGGAGATTAAATCACATTCCAGAATTCTCCTGGTATTATAAACAATGAGAACATGCCTTTTCTTGCCACAAGAATCTAGAGAAGCAGAAGATGGCAGGCCTGGAGGCGCAGAAGCGGCCGCTGATGTTGGCAGCGTTGAATGGACTCTCGGTTGCGCGGGTCTCGGGGCGGGAAGACAGTCGAGTTGACGGCTCCCGCATTCCCATGGACGAGAGGGTAAGCACCGGGCTTGTCAAGCATGTGACCCACTCCCTGGGCTCTTAGGATTCCAGAGCTCTCTCCTTGCCCAAACATGCCAGCACTAGGGTTTATTTGATGAATTAATTCTTCTACTTGAGATTAGCAAGACGTCGTCTAGCTGTGTTGTGCTAAGTGGGTCTCTTCCAAGGACCTCATGTTTCTTTGTCAAGTGGGCAGGGTGATGGCTGCCTAAAGAGACCGGCCCTTTACCACGTGGCCTTGGTCAAGTCACTCAGTGTCTTCGGGCCTCTTTCCCTTTTTGAAAACGGAGGAAGCTGAACAATTACTGTAGCTCTCAATGTCAATGATTTTTATGAATGATTACCATTATTTAGAAAGTGAGTGTTTTACCCAGGCATTTATAGAGTTCTTTCAGTATGCTGTTTAAATTGCTTGTTAGTGTTTTAGAAGTGAAGGAAGGTATCTCTGGAGCTCCTGAAATCGCTATCAGAGGTTAAAGAGACAGGTTGAGAGTGCTAATAACAGGAGGGTTTTAGATTCCTGTCAGAATATATAAAGCATTGGGATGTTTTTAAAGCCAGAAGGGACTTTAGAGGAATTACTTAATCCAATTCATACCTATTATTGGAATCAGTAGTTTGGCCATGGGAAAAAGAAAAGGAGAGGGAGTTTTAATCCTCAGAACTACAGGGTACCAGTATCACCTTAAAATCCAACTGAGTAAAATGAGCTATGTACGTGGAGAAAAGGGTGTTGGATAATTAAGAACAACAATCCCGTCACACTGAGACTTTAAGCAGAGGTGTTAATAACGAAATACCAATTTTGAATGTCAGCTCTTGCCTGGTCTTGCAGATTTGTCCTGTTGAAAGTATAAATGACAAGGACATTGGTTATTGGACAAGGAAAACTAGCAGTATGGTTAATAATAAGACCAAATAATCAAGCATTAGTTGGACATCTTAAAACTACCTATTAACACCGTTGCCGTCAATATTTAAAGAAAACTGGTTGTTTTGTTGGGGTTTTCGGATAAGATAATTCAGTGAGCTGAAGATTAATTTCTGTTGCAGTTCAGAACCCTGAAGAAGAAGCTTGAAGAGGGAATGGTGTTCACAGAATATGAGCAAATCCCAAAGAAAAAGGCAAATGGCATTTTCAGCACAGCGGCTCTGCCTGAAAACGCGGAGCGCAGCCGGATCCGTGAAGTTGTCCCTTATGAGGAGAATCGAGTAGAGCTGATCCCAACCAAAGAAAATAACACAGGCTACATTAATGCCTCCCACATCAAGGTGAGGTGGGGAGCGTGCCAGTAAGGCTTTGGTGAGGATGGCTGGGTCAAAGGTAAAAATGCAGGGAGAGAAAAATGTAGGACAGGCCGTCACTGTGCACCTTGGCCTGTCCCCAGACCCTGAGGGGATGTTTTTGAACTTCTGGGCTTTTCTTACTCAACTGGAAGGGCAAGCCTGTCTCTGCAGAGGGGAGGAAGTCTGGCAGCCGGCCATCGGGAGAGCATCAGGTCAGCTCTTTGTGAAGCTTGCTTGTTACCGAGGATTTAATTTTTTTTCTCTCTCTCTGGTTGTAACTCTCCCCAAAACTCACAGGAAAACCTTGAGTTGTCAGTTTGTAATTAGCAGAGGAGAGAGACTTCAGAAGTCACAGGCATCGACTTACTGTCATGGGAGTTTTTGTGATGTTCAAGAGCAACACAGCTGAGCCATTGTCCCTTGTAATGCTACAGGTGATGCATTTGACACCTGCAGTCCCAAAGTCGCCTCGTATTTAGAAGAGTGGACTAATTCAAACATAAACTGTGAAGCTGTGCTTGATAGTGAGTCTGCAAGATTTGCTACATCATTCAGTGTCTTACTGTCCTTACATTTTTGTTGCTATTTCAGGTACTTCAAACTTTCTTATCTCAGTGTTTCATAGACTTTTAAATTAGCTTAGTTTGACCCCAGTTAGAATGCAGCTATGGAAACTTGAGTACATACAGTTAAATGTCTCCTAAATAACTTCCTCAGTGTCCCTAATGACAGAACATATTTAAACAGCCTAAGGTTCGTGTGATTAGTCCAGTGTGATAGATAACCTTAGGAACCTTCATTGGACTTTTCAACTATAGCCAAATCCTCCAAAATACAGCCGGATGTCTGGCCCATATGTCAGTTACTACAGTTTTGATACAAAATATGACAAACATACTGAGGTGGGATGTTGTGTTTTTGCGCACAGAGCATAGATAACCATGTATTTTTTTTTTAAGTATCAGGAAGAACTGTCAAAAGAAATATGAAAGAGCACTATCATGGGTCAGATTACGTATTTCCCTCTTATTTTTGAGAGCGAGAACAAAAATAATTAAAAAACGAACCCAGGAAACTCTTCAGGTAACTGATGGTGGTGTCTTCCATGGGATTCGTTTAGATTAGGCAACAACGGCCAAAGATTTGTAGTCAAATAAAGAGGCAACTCATGCAGCTGCTTCCTGATAGAATGTCTATGAAAATTTTGCATGGCGATATTATCCTATGTTCTTCTTTTGGCCACATCTCCGCTCCCATTTTCCATCTGCTGTCTGGAAAAAGCTGTCAGTCGGCATCAGCTGGGCCCACGGGGTGTTCTTAACAGAAGGGCTCCCTTCCCCAGTGCTCTCCGGGGCCCACACTTCATCTGTGGATCCGGGTTAGACATGGGTGCGTTTAATAGGCCCACAGAGCTTGCAGGAACTTGTCCGTGTTTTTGGAATAGAGTCGTCTATCTTGCCAATGTTTTCTCCCTGGGTTCCAAACAGCCGTTAACGCAGAACAGAGATTTATTTGCTCCAGAGGTGGAATCACATCTGTGAAACCTACCTCAGTAGCATTGGTGGTTGTGTTTTTAATGCAGTTTTTAATACCCTCCTGTCAATACTTGGAATTTGCGGGAAGGCCCCAGGCAGCAGCATACTCGGGAAGTATTTATGGTTCCTATATGTTGGGTGCCAGGGAGGCTGATGTTGAAAATCACAGCTCCGATAACCCAGCTCTTAGCCAGCCAGCAGCTATATGGATGTTACCTCCCACCAGTACTTGGAAAACGGATTTCACTTGCCAGCTTTGACCTAAACATGCCTTGTGTAATCAGACAATAACTGACATTGTTTTTGCTTGAATCAAGCTAGTCTGTAGTTTCATAAAATAAATGAGGGGAAAAAGCTTGAAACAATGATCACTTCATTGCTCTTAGAACTATCTAGAGATCTGCACTGGGGATACAAGGGGCCTGACTTAGCGATGTCAAGGCTCAGGAACAGAAAGGGACATAGAAAGAATCCTTGCCAAGGCCACCGTTTCAGCCGGATAGCATGGCCTTCAGCACTCCGGGCACAGCTTCTTCTTTATGGTTTTTCTGCCACTGAAATGTGTAGCTGCAGAATCCTTCTCCCAAGATCACTCTGGCACGCATGTGGTAATGATTTTATTTTCCAAAACCATCTCATGGCGCCTCCAAAGTTCAGTTGGATGCCGTGGTACGCACAAGGGGAAGTTAACGACAAAAGAGCATGTGTTGTTGACTTCAGTGCCTGCGCGACGCCTCTCCTGTGTGTGGCACAACGGAGTGGCGGCCACAGCCGAGGTTCATGACACGCTTCATACCAGGTCAGCAGTAGAAAGACATTACTCCCGAAGTCTCTTCCTCCATGGCAGACTTCTTCCTTGTTTGACAGGATGCCATAGAGCACTGCTGCTCAAACTGCAGGTCACAATGTGGCCGTGGGGGGTAAAGTCAATTTAATAGTCAGGACCAGTTTGGGTGTTGTTTTTTTGCTTTTAAATAAGCTAGAATAGAGAAAAGAATGGAAATTACCGAAGTACAGTGCACATGGCAAACATAACTGCTCTTCCTGTAACAAACTCAGTTAGGTTACACACACACACACTCGTCTAATGTGTGTGTGTGTGGGGGGGATGTTTATGTATATGTGTGTTTTTGACATGCACTGATTTGTACATAATTACTGCGGGTGGCAGACAAACGTGTATTTTAATAGCATTTTCAGGTGAGTCCTCATGGTCTCAGGGTTTTTGGTAAAAGCACTGACCCATGCGGCTTGCCCAGCGGTCAGCAGGTGATTCTGTCCTGGATTTGCGGTTGCTTCACCGATGCTGTCCTTGGTTTGCAGGTGGTGGTTGGTGGGGCAGAATGGCACTACATAGCCACGCAGGGGCCCCTGCCGCACACGTGCCATGACTTCTGGCAGATGGTGTGGGAGCAGGGAGCCAACGTGATCGCCATGGTCACCGCGGAAGAGGTAAGGGGACAGCTGTCTGTTCCCGGAGGGGGTGGGCTGGCCAGAGATGGGCTGCTCCGTACTTCTGCGGCAGCACATGCGCCGCTAATCCTTTTCTCCTTGGCATGCACGTGTTTTCTTACGTCCACGTAATTTGTTACACTTTACAAAGATAATTTATTGTACTCCCATTTTCATCTGCTTTTCACTCTTTTCCCTGCATTGCCATGAACTGAAATCAAACGCACACACAAAGAACCTGCCCACTTCTGTGTGTTGAACAAAGCCGTGGTCCTTCCATCGGAATCCGAGAACGTGGGCTGCTCTCGGGACCGAGGCACCTATTCCCGACCTGGGCACGGCCAGCTGGCCTGCCATCATGCTTGTTGGCGGAAAAGAGACCAGAAGCTGTTGTTTCTGTAGAGGTCTTTATTCTTCAGGGAGAGAAAAAGATTTTTTTTCTTCCTCTGCCAAGTCAAACATGGTTTTACTGTTGTAAATAGAGAACTCTCTGTGGCATTATGAAAATGAGCACACGTCCCTGAGCCGTTCACCGGAAGCTTGCCGTCTTTGGGGGAAGACGTTTTATGTTTCTTTTATTGTCACATTCTCAATTTAAAAAAAAAAAATCTTAACCACTTCCTTTTGTTCATTAAATTTTACCTTATATTTTGAAGCCATGTGGGGAACTGGTTTCATGTGGTTTTTACCGCCTATATGATGTTACACACCCCTTTGCCAACAATTTTTAAAAGGTGAGGAACAGAGAGAATTGAAAAAAGTCACATTTTCTTCATTGACTGTTTCATGCAGTTGCTTTTCAGAACAGTCCATTAGAAGCTACTGGTGAAAGGGACTTCACCTCTTTAAAGCCACTTGTCCTTCTCTGACCTCGTCTTTGAACTTCCCACAAAGAATTAATGCCCCTAAAATCTCTAAGATAGTTGTATCTTGGAGTTGCATTAGATACAGTTGGAAGGATGTCATTCAGCTTAACTTAGCGCACCTTCTGTGCTAACCCATGGGCCACGGTGCCTACCAAGCAAGCACGATCGCTGTCCCCAGGGAGCACATGTCCTGGAGGGAGGGACAGTAAGAAGTGAACAAGTCAAGTAAGCTCAGACTGTGGCAAGTGCCCTGGAGAAAATGCAACCAGATAATGTGACAGTGACCAGGAGCTTCTTTAGATGGGCAGCCCAGGGCCCTCCGAGGAGGTGGCATTTGAGCTGAAACCGGAGTGACAGAAGAGGCGAGCCTCACCAACACAAAGTCCAGTGATCTGTGAGGCAGCCTCTGAAATTTGTAATTGATTTAGATACTCGGCAGTAACGTAAATTCAAGGCCTCAGGTAAATAAAAGAGGCAGGCTGCTTTGAACATACGAAGACTCGCTTCCGCCAAATAAATGAGGGGGAGTTTCTTTGCATCACCCAGGGACGTGCTGTTCTGTGGGAGGGCCAGCCGTCAGGGCTCGTTTAAGGAGCAGGTCCCCCGGCGCTCACTCCCACAGCACAGCCCTTATCCTCTGTCTCCTCCCACTCTCTGCCCTCGGTCCCCTTCTGAGCCGCCCCCCCCCCCCCGACTCCAGGGATTTCAAAACTGGGCAGAAAATTTAAAAATAGACCCATGGTATAAACAGTTGAGAATGCATATTCTCAGAAAAGATTTTACAATGGATGGAGAGAGAAAGGTGGGCCACCCAGTCGTTCTGTCTTTCAGTGGTCAGTTGAACTAAAACAAATGGGTCAGCCCGAGAAAAGGGTGATACTGACACTAGGTGATAAAGACTGGGTCAGTAGGCAGTGTGGTCTAATGGAGAGGGCAGAGCCCGGGGCTGAACATCAGAAATGCAGTGCCTGACCTGGAATGACTGCTAGGCTCCGTCACTCCCCTGCCTAAAGCCACTCCACCGCCTTTGGATGGCTTCCTGCTGTCTGCGATGTGAAATCCACCTCCCTGCCACGGACCTGGATGCCTTTCTGACCTCCTCTCGACCACTGTCCCCCACGCTCGCCAAACCGCAACCACTCTGAAGACCCCTCTGTGTCTCCGACGCCCCAAGCTGGTTTCCTCCTCTAGACTTTGCCCTGGCTCGCCTCTCTGTAACATTCAACTGCAGCTCAGTTGTGAATCTTTTACATTTTCCATTGATGTAACTACAATTGTACATCTTATTATGGGTCTTAGCTAAGATTTGCGGGATCTAATCTCTGATAGGCACTGCGCAGTGCTACTGAGGTACCGACTTAGAAACTATTTATATTTTTCTCTGTCCTCAGATTTTAAGATTAAGAGGATAAGAGCTTCCTTCCCCTGACTTATTTCCAATTTTGCTTTTGTGTGTGATTCAGGAGGGCGGACGAACCAAGAGCCACCGATACTGGCCTAAACTGGGTTCCAAGCACAGCTCAGCTACCTATGGCAAGTTCAAGGTCACCACAAAGTTCCGAACAGATTCTGGTTGCTATGCAACCACGGGCTTAAAGGTCAAGCACCTTTTGTCTGGGCAGGAAAGGACGGTGTGGCATTTGCAATACACTGACTGGCCAGATCACGGCTGCCCAGAGGATGTCCAAGGATTCTTGTGTAAGTTTTCTCTTCCTGGTGCTGGTTTTACCAATGGAATCAGTAGTCTTATCTGTTGGAGGTGAAATGGAAAGAGAGGATGCTTTCCCTTAAGTGGCGAAACTATTATAACGTTGACGTGTATGTCCCTTCATATAGGGGGTGTAGAACAGAGGAGACAAATGCATGTCATTTACCATGTCCTCTTTACCTTTTGTGCAAATAAGCTAAAACTGTGGTAAACTAATGATTCTACCTTGATTTAGAACTTTACCTACTCATTAATAATTATTCCGATGCATGCTACATGTCTGAACCTTGAGAACATTGTACTGAGCAAAATAAACCAGACACGAAAGGTCAAACAAATATTGTGTGATTCCACTTAATGAGGTACCCAGAACACACAGCTTCATAGAGATAGAAGGTTTAATAGAGGTTACCTGGGGTTAGAGGGTAGGGGAATAGGAGTTATTATTTGACTGGTACAAAGTTTGTTTGGAACAACAAAAAAGTTCTAGAATGGATAGTGGTCATATTTGCACTAGGTTGTGAATATATTTAATGCCACTGAACTGTACACTTAGAAATGATTAAAATGATAAAAGTGATAAATTTTATGTTAGGTATATTTTACCACAATAAAAAACCCCACAGAACAATAGAATTTTTTAAAAGACATTTCTTTTTTGCTCTCACAAGCCCAGTATTTCCCTGTAGCAGTAAGTTTCAACCAGGACCTGTGATTAAGATAGTAGAAATTATTGAAATCAACTTGCAGGTTTGAAACTTTCATTTTTGGAGTCATTCATTTACATACTTTTTCAGGATTTGCTTATCTTAGAAGCGAATTCACCCAGATTAAGTGCAGTACTCTATTTGAAAGGTCAGAGGCTGGGCGTGTGCCCGCCATGTGGCCCGCTCTGGCTCAGGCTCTTAGAACGCAGAGATGTAGCAATCTTTGTGTTAAAGAAATTCGAGGTCTCACAAGAAAGGCAGGCCAGTGATTACAGTCCAGGGCTGAGAGCAATACTGTCCTCTGCCTTTTTTTTTTTTTTTAAGATTTCATTTACTTTTTAGTGAAAGGGTAAGGGAGGGAGAAAGAGAGGGAGAGAAACATTAATGTGGTAAAGAAACATCAATTGATTGCCTCTCACACACTCCCAATTTGGAGCCTGGCCCCCAAGCCAGGCACGTGCCCCGACTGGGAATTGAACTGGCGACCCCTTGGAACTCAGACCCAGCGGCACTCACTCACACCAGCAGGGATCTGCCTTTTGATGGTGGCTGCAGAGCTTCCCCTTCTTTCCTTGCTTAAGTGTCCTGCCCTGGAGGGGAAGGCCCATTCCTTCCTGACCCAACTGGGAAGGAGGCCCCAGGGCTGTCTGCAGGTTTATTGTTGTACCTGCTACGTTGCCTCTTCAGCTGGTAGATTACCTGTGACCATTGTGAAGGGACTGTCATCTATATGTTGCACACTGTCAACCCCTCGAGTTTATTTTGCTGTTCTTCTAGAATGGGAGTCAGGGGAGGGAGGTGGGGAAGAGAGAGAAGATAGGTTTTTAAGGTACCATTTCACAAATTCCAACGGAAAGATTTCGATGCATACTTATTTGTTGATGAAGGTGTTTAATTTCCCATTCAAGTGGTACTGGAGGTAATTCCCCATTAAAGGTACTGGAGGAGGTGGACGCTGAAGGTAGAGAAGAGAAAGATGATTGGAATCACAGGGTCTAGAGTGTGATCTAGAGAGGGTTAGCGATTTGCCTGAGGTCAGATGGTTACCTGTAGCTCAGATGTTAATAAGTGAGGCCTCTGCAGAACTCTTCCTCATAGTAATAATCTTTTTATTCTTTTCTGGTGACCTTTTGCTAATTGATTGATTAGAATTTTCTCCAAGACGCAGAACATGGAAACAATAAAAGTAGATCAGTTTGATGATTGACTAACAGCTCTGGTAAAAGTTTGAGCCTTATAAGGTGGTTAAAATTACAGCCATATCTTTTAAATCCGAACCAATGGCAGGCAGGCCAGTCTGAATTACTGAGAAAATATAGAAAATATTTTTAAACAATAAATTTGTTAATTTACCTTCCTAAGAAACTCAGGATAAGTGTGCTGAGTGGGGTCTTAGAAATGTTGGCTCTCTAGACTTTGGAGAATGCGAAAAAATTTTTGCTTGTGTTTAGATTAAATTAACCTGGATACAGAGGACTGAGGCCAAATTGTTTTCCAGCCACCAGAGGTCTTTGCTGAGTGACAGCTTCATTAATGTGATTGCAAGAGGAAGCATCCATTTAAATCCAATTCCTCAGTGTTTTATTAAACTCCGCTTATTGGGGGGGCATCTGCCTTACTGGTCAGCATTTCTCTTACTTTTTAAATTTAGCACAAGAGAACCCTTGTCTCTTGTTTGGGAACATTGCCTTTTGTCAGACAGAATGCTCAATCACCTACTATATTTTACCCCCTGCAGAAAAATTGGGAAGAGACTTCCATGCACAGTATTTAGCCCACGTTAGTACCCAATAGCAACTGCTCTTTCTAGTCATCATGAGTGGTCTTTCCTCTTGTTTTGGTCAGTAATTTTACTTTACTGCTGGTGGTGCTGGTAGTAATAGTTGTTTATTTTGGTAAATTACTTCAGATTACTTTGTAATTAGATAAGCTTATAAAGGAAAATGGGAGTTTTTATTCACTGCCTGTAAACAGGTGCTTTCCAATGACTAGGCTGGTTTGCATGCACGGTTTTCTCCTCACCAGCCTGAGCATTCTCCCTTGTCTCGTGTACACTGCTGCATCAGCGATGAGATTTCCCTCAGCACCGGGAACCTTCAAGTTCCCTGAGCCAGCTGCCTCTAAGTCCCAGTTGCCGATTGACTCTTTCCAGTTCTTGGACCATTTGAGAATTACATTTCCACCCTTATTTTTTTTCTTTTTAACCATCATGAATGCCAGTGTTGCTGCAATTTTTCACTTGTGCCCCATTGGAGTTGTGAGCAGAGCCCTGTGCAGCCCTGCTGAGCTAGGATGTTGGAAGGGATAGGGGAGGTGGCAAGACCTCCGGTCCCAACATATTGCCTCCCGAAATGTGGGTGGCTTATCTTGAGCTACTCATTTAACCGTGTGGAACCCGCCCCCAAGCTGCCCCCGCCCCAAGTCTTATTTTAAAGTCTAAAAATGAAGTCAAGCCTCAGTTGACATTCACTCATTCGGTGGAGGGAAGGGAGAGGGGCAGATGGATGCTCTTCCCACCAGATATTGGCTCTGACAGGCGTGTGTTTCAAGGGGCCCAAGCTGGAGTTCTGATCCCGGTCTGCTAATAGTAGGAATTGCTGTAAGTAATGTCGAGAATCATCTGCTTGGGGGACTTTGGGATTTGCAGAGGGGAAAACAATTTAATTTTTAAAAAAGAACTATTTAATTTAAAGAACAAATTCTCCCATGGACTCATTGACTCCCAGCTGGTCCTTTCTGGCTCCAGGACTTGTACAGTGGGTACCAGCCAAATAATTAGTGTCTTGTAAGAACTGTAAATTATTGTCCCTTAAAAAAAAAAAGATTCCCCGTTAGGGTTTTTTTTTTTTTCCCCCTCCCTTGTATGCAAAGCCGTGCAGGACTTTGGTGACCAGATTTGCATTCTGTCTTGCAGCCTACTTGGAGGAGATCCAGTCGGTCCGCCGGCACACCAACAGCATGCTGGAAGGCACCAAGAACCGGCGCCCTCCCATCGTTGTCCACTGCAGCGCGGGGGTGGGCAGGACCGGCGTGGTCATCCTCTCTGAGCTGATGATCTACTGCCTGGAGCATAATGAAGTGAGTCACTCCGGGCTTCCTGAGTGCGCCATCTTGGGGACACATCTACAACCGTGGCCACACCTTCACTCGCCCCCTTATTTTCCATGGCCTCTGTCCTGATTGCCTTTGTCCCGACAAGAGCTTTTCAGACCCCTGATTCCTGCTTGGATTGTGACACTTACAGCCTCCTTATCTTTTGTCTTTCACCACCCAGTGTAGGCATCCAGATAATACAGAAGGAGAGATCAGAGTGTGAGATTGGAGCTGTTTAGAAAGTCTGATCTTGGTCGACATCTCCTTCCAGAAGTGTTTTGTAGACAGTCTGGTTTTATTGTGGGTAATTTTCCCTGGCGGGTTATTTGGTCACATGTAGTTTAGATGCGTCTGGCATGTCTGAGATGTGTTTTGGCCTGAATCCTATGTGAAAGCGTGTGGAGAGTAAAAATGGCTTTCATTCTTCAGAGGGGGTTTCTTGAAGGGGCGTTGTTGTCGGCTCTTGTCTAGGCTGGCAGTGGGGTGGACTCGCAGAGCAGGCCGACCCTCTGCGAGCCTTTGCCGAGGCCACACCCAGCTTTTCTCCGGAAGACAGGGCTGTGGCCGGACTGGCCGCTCCATGCGCGAACCCCTTCCGGCCGTAGATCAGGAAGTTTCTCTGTCGGGCTTTCGAGCTCATCGGGATGGAACACACAGAAGTCAAGGCCAAAGAACATCTGCTTTGCGGCTTTAAAATGGCTTTACCTTTTTTTTTTCCTTAGTTGGGGTCCTCATGGCAGCCATGCGGAGGGACTGGGCACATGTCTGTCCTCCTGCTCTGCAGGGGAGGAGGCCGAGGCCCAGAGACTATGTAGGGACTTGCCCAGTGTCACACGGCTCCGAAGCAGTGGTGCCACGGTTACAAATGAGGTCTTCTACCCCTGGCCCCCAGTTATTTCCGGTCTCCACTCCACCTCCAAACCCCGAGTGTCATTTGGTTCTTGTTCATTTTCCAAATTACACAGCCCGGTGCATCCAAGGAAACCTTTGAAGTGGTTCGATTGTTCTTAGGGAGGGTTGGGAGTGTTACAATATGCATTCTGTGAAGGAATTCATATGCTAATATATGCATTTACGAAATAGCATGAATGGTCTGGAAATTGTATTAACCATTACTTCACGAAATGTGTTATATCGTAATTTCCAGGAAAACAATAAATGCTAAGTTTAAATGTGTTCAAAGGATTTTTAAACTTCCCTGACTATAAAGAGTTAATTTTAGAAACTGTCAGTTGGTACAAATGAATTTTGTGCCACTGAAACGTGGAAGGGGAGTTTGGTATGATGTGGCCTATTGTTGGGGGCTGGGACGGGGGACAATAGACAGTTGAAACGACGTAAAGGAGATTTCGTCGTCTTCTGTGAGTTTTTATCCTTTCGTCTCCCATAAGATTTCTTGGTTGTTTGCTTCCCTGTCACCATTAGAAGTCTAAGTCTCTGATAGAGGGAATAGCTTGTCACTGAGTCCCAGATCCACTCCATGTTGGAAGATGGGACGAAATGAAGTGGAACAGGGGACCTATGACTCGAGCATACTGTGGGCTCTGCTGGGGGTACCATGGGCTCCATGGGAGGAAGAAGGGCCTTATCATCCCCTCCTCACTTACATGTCTCTTCCTCCCTCCCGCCCCCCCGTATCACTTTCTTCATCAGACTCCTCTTTTCTCCATTCCCCGTTCACGCCTCTGCTCCCCCTCCCTCCTTTTCAACTTGAGAACCTGTTCTCTCTATCTCGCCTGACATGAAGCAGTGTTCTCTTTTGAGCTCTGTGGAGACCCGTCAAAGGCCAGGCCTCAGGGATGCGATGACATGAAGGCTTATTGGTCACCAGATGTTACTGGCCCAGTAGAACATCGGCAGCCCACGTCAGCGCCAGCCTAGCACGGACTGAGGGGGTCGGCCACTAGGGCCTCGCGTGGATTTGACAAGGGCTCAGGTGATTGCGTTCTCCCTGGTGTGTCCAAACATAGCGGATTTCCTCAATGCCCAGTTGCAGGCCAGAACATTCTTTGTCTGAACGTAGTCACTCCAAAAAGGACTTCTGTTCCCATTGATATTCAAAGATAGCTAGATGACTCATGTTTTTCACTTCCCTTCCCCAGCACAAATACAGACAGCCTGGTCAGTCCCACTTCCCATAATTGCTCTTGGTAGACCGTGCGGGAGAAAAGAGTTCTCTACTTTGTTCTGCTTCAGGCCCAGCGAGTAAGCTTCAAACCCTTATTTTGGGAGAGGAGTGGAACATGTGTAGTGTGTTCATTTGTTTTTTTCAGCAAAGATTTTAACAAATTGTCTAACTTTCCTGCCATCTTTTCATGGCTGCTGCATTCACCCACTTTATGTTTTATTCTGTAATCCGTACAGTTTTCACTTTGAGGCCCATTGGTTTTGGTCACTGAATGTTACCTATTACATTTTAATGCCCATACATTTTTTTTTTCCCAGAAAGCACTAGTTTATGGTTTGCAATCCTTTCCCTTGGCTCCCTGGGTTTAGCTGTCTGCCCCAGGTTAGCTAATTGCAAAAGACCAGGTTCTCATTAGCCTACCAACAAAATATCTTGATCTTGCTGCTTTTCTGAATCAGTCACCCTCCTTCATAGAGCAGGGAGGAGAAAGTGCCCTGCGCGCGAGACTGAGCGAGCATCAGCTGCCTCAGGATTCCTTGGGGGAGGGACAATGGACATCAGCGCCCGTGGGAGTGAATTTTCAAGGCATCTGGAACTCTTCCCTTGAGGACCAGGGGGACCTTCTTTGTCTGGTCTCCTAACCTCACCTGATAATCTGCTGTCCTTGCGGCTGAGTCTTACAGGCTCATGATGGTGGTGGTGGTGGCGGTGACGATGGAGATGGATGGAAGCGGAGGCCGTGGCGGTGGAAGAGGTGGTGGAGGTGGAGGAGGTGGTGGTGATGATGATGACAAAAACAAAAATGTTACGATAACAACAGCTGCCCTGTATTTAGTGTTTACCACGTGCCAGCACTGTTCTAAGAGCGTTAAACTCAAGGAGCCATCGCAGTCGGCTCTGTGAGAAGGGTCTCATTAGTCCCCTCGTACAACACAGAGAAACTGAGGCACAGGTAGATGGAGGAATGTGTCCACATCCCACACCCCCCATGGGGTAGAGCAGAGGGGCAGCAGGTGATTGTTCCTGTTTCATTAACATTAATAAAATGATAAGGAGTGGTCTTTATTAAGAACTCACTGTGTGTCAGGCACTGTGCTAAATGCTTTGTGTGCATTTCTCTACGTGATCCTATGAGGTGGGTACTGTTTATGCCCCACGTTATTGCTCAGGAAGTGTCACTGACTTGGGTAGGGTCACAGTGCCATTGGAGGAAAGCACCATTATCCTTATTTACAGGTGAAGAAACTAAGGCCAAGAGATGTCACAGCACCTATTATTGAACCTTGATAGAGCTGAGAGTTCCAGTTGGGTTTAATTCCAGCCTCTGTGTTTCCTCTCTCACACTGACCTATATTTAAAATAGGACACCCAGGGAACATGCCAACCAGGTTCTCCAGCTACTGGTATAAAGCTTTTGGGGAAACCCAGAGGGGACCGAGTCCTTTGCTGTCTCCTGTCCCCACACGTGGACAGTGGGTGGATGCTTCTTGGATGAAGGGATGAGGAATGACCCAAGCGAAGCCTCCCATCTCAGTACGTTGTGCCTCTTCTTTTTTTGCAGAAGGTGGAAGTGCCCATGATGCTGAGACTCCTCAGGGAGCAAAGGATGTTCATGATCCAGACCATCGCTCAGTACAAGTTTGTCTACCAAGTCCTCATTCAGTTCCTCCAAAACTCCAGACTCATTTAAGGCGCGGACCCAGCTCCTGGAAGAGGGACCCAGTGCCATCTTGCAGCTGGGAGGCGCCTCCAGACAACGCCTGCTCCCGCTGCAGGGCCTGGATGGCTGGAGCTGGCAGGACACGGGCTCCCTGAGGATGGGCGCCAAGATCACTCATAAACACCGTGTATTATTTTATATGAGATAATTTATTTTTTTTTCCCCTTTGAAATAACTTTTGTGAATCATTGTAATGCAGTACTTTTCATTTGAACCACATTTTGACTGATCTGCATTGTAACATGTTGGTAGGGAAGGTGGCCTGGTGGGTCATTTAGGGGACAGAGGCACAAGGGAACACATCTCTGGTGAAGTTGCAGCCAGATGGGTAACCAACCTTGAAATTCATCAGCGTAACTTCTCATGTCTGAATCAAAGATGGCAAGAAAATGAATTCACCCTAAAATATAAAGATCAGGGCCAAGACCCTTTTCTGAAGGGAAAAAAAATACTATTCCCTTGTATTTGGGGCTGATGAGCCTTGATGGACATATTCCTCCCTTCTTCCTTTCTGTCCCCACCCTGAGTAGTCTTCCCCCCGCCCCCACCTCCAACCTTGAGTGAAAGATGCAGCAGCTAGAGGGAATCCTGCCTCTGCAGTGCAGCGATGCCATTGCCCAGGCTGAACGCAGAGCTTTGTTTGTATCTTTGTCAACCACCCCTTAATCTGGGCTCTGGGGCCCGTGTGTCCTTGCCGAGGGCTGCATCCACCATATTTGTGGCTTCTCCTTATGTGCTCAGTGGGCGCCAGGCTGGTGGCCTTTGAGGCCCTGGGCCAGGCCATCTGTGCAGCTAGGCCTCTTGCCTGATTGAAAGAATATAATGGACCAGAGTGAAAAGAGAGAGGAGACAGGAAGGCCCTGGATACTGTACTGATTTATGATGCATGTGTTAGACGGGGGCCTGAAGGTTGAGGTGCTGGCGCATTCTGTCTGTCCATCGGTCACCAAGTCAGGGAATAAGTTATAAAGGAAACGATTGGGAAAGATGATTTACAGGGGCTGTTTGACTCTCAGCAGGGACCCTGGCCAGCAGCCCCACCAAGTGGGACCCCACTGAGCTGGTACCATCTCCAGGCCTTGGTCTGTGAGAGCAGAACTAAGCCCACTTGGGCCCTGGAGTCGAAATCTTGGCCTGTGTGATGAAAGATGGTGGCATTGGTCTCGCCCAAAGTCCTGTGGCGGTCTCCTTTTCTCCATGCGCCCACTCTGGCCTTCTGTGCTGTTAACACTGCCTTCAGTGAAGCTTGGTTCTCACTTTGTCTCTTCCTGGGGCTTCATTGGTCGCTGTCCTCAGGATATCTTAGGTTATTCCACATATTTTCCATCTTGCTGAATTTGGGGGGATTTTCCTCTCTTCTCTAGTTTTTCTTGAATACAGCTTTTAAATGGTGGTTTTGTTGTTAGACCTGATCGCTGTGGTGGTACACCATGCCCTCTTCCACTGCTGTCTTTTTTTTTTTTTTTTTGTCTTCTTCTGAGCTGAAAATAGGAAAATACAAAGGAAGAATGGCATCAGATCAACCAGAAAGAAGAGAATAGTGTGCCTTTGCGACTTGGGTCACCACAGACCAACAGATGGGTGTGGACGCATTTCTCCATGAACAGCTTTGGCCCATGAATCAACTCGGTGTCACATCTGGCCACATGGTACGGTGATGTTTCTCTTGTTTAGACTCAGAGTATCTGGTGACGGAGGGCCTTCTGTCTTCTACTCCAAGGTCTAAAGAATCAGTCAAGGAGTATAACTTCAACGGAGCTCTGCAGATTCCGGAGTTTTGGTGCATATTCCGAAAAAGGAAGCCTTTAGCATGACATGTATTTGCAGTGGACCAGAGCTCACAACCCTCACTCTGAGACTGTCAGAACTCAGATCAGCAACAAGCGAAGAGGTATTTGTCTCCTCGGTGACATTCTGTCCCTGGGATAGTCTGCTGTGACGGTGTCTGAACAGGCGGCCTGGGGCTGGCTGCTTTATTGTCTGATGAAGACCATCAACATTTCTCTTTCATCTCGTAGGCCGCAGCGCGGGCACTGTTGACATGTCTCACCAGGGCAAGATGTAAGTCTGCTGTCTCTTTGAGCTCGTCACTCACGGTCCCCCCTTCGACCCATCCGCTGTTGCCACCTTGTGCTGTGGGAGTGTTCCTGAATGCACAGTATGCAGGAAAGAACTGGGTTTAATATCCAATTTCCCAGCCAAAGTTTATATTGAAACCCAAAGGGGGAAAAAAACACTCAAAAGTTATCCCACATCTTTCCTTTTGAAAAACAAATGCTTTGGGTCCTCCAGCACATTTTGCATTCCTTTTCCCATCTCCAGTGAATGCCAACCTCTCTCCTGTTCAATTAGCAGTACCATTTAAAGTTCTTTCAGTGGCATCTGCATAATAATTGCCCAGAGATGCTTTATATCTGGGAAGCCAGCCAAGGAATAAACCTTGAAGCAAAGTATATTAAATTAGTTATCTAGTTAGCGCTTTTGGAATGAGTTCCTGATGATGTATCAAGTCTGAAGCTGGAACTGTTGGAGTCTGTTGCTGTAGTTTGGGTTTGAAAGGACGAAATTAAAAATGGAGGGGGAAAAAGGACCCATCCCACAACAAAGACTTCAAACACTTTCAGGCTTTTGGTTTTGAAGCCGTTCAGTTGAAACATTTTCTTTCTTTCATCCGCTCTCATTTGGATGCATTGGCCCCCGTGTGCGGCCTTGTTGAGTGTGGTCACTGGGTTGTGGGCAAGGCTTGGTGTCTTTATCCCGAGGCTGAGCTGTGCCTGCGAGCTTTGCAGTTTCCTTGGGCTCTAAGAAGACACTGCCCCTCAGTAAGAGCCTCTGGTAGCATTTCCATGTACGCACTGCACAGGAGGTAGACGATTTGGCTGCAGTAGAGAGGGATGCCAAACATCAGTTTCTTACAGGAGGATAAAGCGGAATGAACTGCCGTCCTCACTCAGTGGGGAGGGGAGCAGTAAGGTCAGGGATGGGGAAAACTGCTCACATGGAAGACTTGGAGTAAAGTACTTTCAAGGAGCCTAAATACAGAGAATTTTCCTTTTATCATCTTTGTGGCCCTAGATTGAGGAGGGAAACTAATTTTTTAACTGTAATCAATGCCGTTGTTTGCCTAGGTGTCTGTCCCTTGGCTGCCTCGGCCCTGGACGGGACGGCTCTGTGGGCTCTGCCGTGGGGCTCGACCACTGGCCTGCCCGGCCCTCCCTTAACCTCCATCCTGTCTGCTCTCAGCTCGTGCAGGTCAGCTCTGAGCTCCAGGGGACACAGTGGGGCAGCATTTTCATCCAGCTGCCACTTTTCTTATCTTCCCCGGCTTGATAGGGTTGACCCACGTGAAGTGTCCGACAGTTGGACCGTATTTTACTTACCATAACAGAAAATCCACATGGAGCAACCTCATACATACAGAGTGCTTCTTCCCCTGGCATAGTATAGATCCCAGCTCACCAAATGTCCTTTCTTCAGACAAGTGCTGAAGCACAGGAAGCCCAGGCTCGTGGGCGGCTTGGCTCTTTGTGAACGCGCTGCCTGGCTGTGGTGAACTTGGCCTCACTCAGAGTGAGCTAGCCGCCTGCTGGGCTTGGAGGTCTCTCTGCAGAGACGTTAGTACCCTGTGGATTCTGCCGGTGGGGTTGGCCACCAGGCACAGCGCTGTGGGGCTTCCAGCTACTGTCCTTTCTGGATGCACAGTCTGTGTCTGCTGACCTCAGCCCAGTGGTTAGGGAACGTGGTGTCTGGCCCCGGAAGGGGTCCTGTCAGCAGAATGTGCTTTCTCGTCTCTCGCCGACTTCCAGTGTGCATTTGGTGGGGAAAGTGGGTGTGCATGTTGATTTTCTTTTGTGGGAGATGGGACAGCCACGTGGGGTGGGGGGCAGGTGCAGGGCCTTCTAAGCTGTGTGCCAGGGAGCTTAGATTCCGGGAAGGGACCCTTGTTCCTCTGTCCTTCATTCCACGTCAGTGTCAGGAATAGTTGAGCTCCCAGTGTAAGAAATTTCCAGAAGCACCAAATAATCACCGGTGGGCTGTTAAGTGGCCCTTGGTAGGAATTTTGCTTTCTCTTGTTTTGCCAAAGAGTCTTCTGCTGCTGTGTTAAATTGTTGCCTCTGGTTCTTATCAGTCACTTCTCATGCTCTTATGGAGGGATTTCTTTTTGTCAGCAAAATAACAGCCCATCTAGCACTACTTCCAAATATAGAAATTTGGGTTTTCCGTGGACACCGCACACATTTTCCAGTGGCCCACAGCTTGGTAGTTGTCTTGCTAGTTGGCACCATAGAGTGGAAATCTCTAAGATGCTCCATTGTGTTTGACGCTTCCCTTGAACTCTGAGGGAGAAAGCAGGAGAGTTCTGGTCTTTACCTCAGTTTCTAAGACTTTTGGGGGCAAAAGACCTTAGTGATGCATCTGTTGTGAGAAGCAGCAACGCGCCTGGGAGAAACGTGAGGTATATCCAGTGAAATTCAGCCAGCCCATAAACTCGGGTGGGTGAGCATTTTTATCCAGATAAGACTACCTTGCTTATTTTTTCCAGCCTCATACATCTGCATCTGTTTCCTCAAGGCCAAACTAAAAGGTTCCCTGTTAACATGCCCATGAACCTGGCAGTGAGTATCCGGTGTCAGTTGATTCTGTAGGACCGGATGGTTGACTGTGGTTCCATCCTGTGAGGGGGAGGGTGTGCATCGGTTCCTCCTGTTCAGAGCTCTGGCCACCCCTCCCATTTTACCAGTAAATTCAAGGACATTTCATTACAAGGCAGGGGGGCTGGAGTTGATGTGCAGCCTGAACACGCTAAGTGTCTCTATGGAAAACCTCCGTTCCTTCTGCCGCACTTGGGGCCATCAGGATCATTCTTTCCAGAAGGTTCCATAAGCTTGCCCAGGGAGGAGCTATGAATGGGGAGAGAAGGAAGGAGGTTCTTAGATCAACCCTGAAGTTGCTATCAAAATGTTCATGGATTCACAAATAACTTTCTGGACCCTAGAACGTCCCTCGCACTCCTACGTCCCTTTATGTGAGGTCAGACGCTATCACGGGGGGTGGGGGGGCCTCGGAGAGACTGTGCTGCCACATTGAGGTCTGTTTCATCCTCGCTCCAGGTTTTAACCCTTGTCCTTGCTATGGGTACAAAGCTTCATGATGCTGTGGCTTCCGGTGGCTGCGTGAGTCTGCGGCTCACGAACCCTGTCTCCTGTGGCTTGCTGGTGGCCCTCCCTTTCCCAGCAGGGGGTTCTGCTCATCCACCCTCCGTGGCTCCTGGAGTTGGAACCACAGCTCCCCTGCACCTTGGTTCCTCTTTCCTGCCTCCCGGAGGCCTGCCGAGCATTTTCCCCTTATGGCGAGTCACGCCTGTAATCAGGGCCCCACCCTGGGAGGACGCCAGGGCAGTGGCTGCAGTCATCCCTTGTCTCGTCAGGGGCATACAGGACTGTTCGGTGAGGTCACCCTCTTCCTCCGAAGACACCTCGGCGCCCCGGGCTGCGCCCGCCTCTCCTGGTTCTCCCCTTGCTGGCGGGCCAGCTCTCACCAGCCCACCTTCTTTTCTGTTCCTACCCTGTTAGGGCAACCGCGACACAGTATTTAATCTGTGACCAGATTAAACCAGTAATCTGTATTAAACTCTTGAACCTCTCCCAAATATGTAATCAGGAACTCTGACTTTAATTTTTAAGAGCTATTGAGTTTTGAGGCATAAGATCTGGCAAATGGAAATAACCAGAAAGGAAAGAGCCAGGAAGCTGCCCGCCCCCAGGAAGCTGCCCCCACCCACCCACTCTTTCCCTCGGGAAGAGCCCCTCGCTCAGTACCAGTGGCGGGGGAAACACGGATGGGTCACACGGACCGCCCTTCTCCCAGTGACGACGGCAGCAGCACCTGCTGTGTGTTGCGAGGTGAACGCACAGGGATTCCCGGCGGCTGCCCTTGGCATAGCAGCGCCTGTGGTCAGGTTGATTGGTTCCCGGCTTCCTCCTGAACCACGTTCCCTTCGTCATAGCCAATCTGATGACACGGGGGAAGCTCCGGGCTCCCCGGGAGCTCTCACTGCAGCCCGCTGTGGTCAGCTCTGCCATCTGCGGAGGGGCAGGACGACCTGTGTGTCCACTCTGTGGTCCGCCCTGTGTCTTCTTCCCCACCTGCCCTCCTCAGAAAGGCAAAGGCTTTCCCGCCTCACGGAAGGCTTCCAGGGGAAAGCTGGAAAGAGCGGATTTTGTGCCCCAGGTGGAGCTGTTTTGCCCTGAGTTCAGCCGGGTGGGTCTCCGCAGGCGGGGGTGCCTTTCTCTCCCTCCCAGAGAGGGAGTTCCAGGCCTTTCTCAGGGGCCTCTGACCTCCCTCAACTGCAGCGTTAGCTAATAAATAACCTTCATTTCAGCCTAGAGCTGAAAGCTGTAATTCAGAGCCATTTTTTTTCCAACTTGAACATTGTAAAATGTTACTGCCGTTTCCTTTCATTGGACTTTCTTGCCACTGTTTGGGATCTTAAAAATCTATCCACCTTACCCTTTCAGAAGTAAGGTTCCTCTTCATCAGAGATGATTCCCTGTGTATGTCCTGTGTCCCTTTAATGGTCAACTAACTTGTCTGAGGAGTTTGAAATGGGAAAAAAAGGTTTACATATGCAGATGACTATTAAATATGTAACCTTATGTGTAACTTGTGTTACACCAAATAACAGGTTTATCTAGTTTGTTTCACTGGACTACTGTTATGCTATTTACTTCAGTATTTTGATGCTTTCCTTAGTCTGTGTTTTATAAAACGTTGCAAATTGTGGTATCATTCAAAACCATTGCCATTTAATAGATTTCCTTTCTAAATGATATATAGACAAGCCCCCAGCTTAGAAACCAGTTTGTCCTTGAAGCTCTTGGGTAGCTCACAGAAACCTCTGACCCCCGGCAGAGCTGACATTTCGGGTTGTGTCAGCCAGAGCCGGTTGACTAGTACTGTGGGCTGACCTGGAAATGTAACCATCTGTTAGTTTCTTGCCGTGAGAAATGCATTCCAGGCTGGGACTTGGGCTCCTGAGTTGCTGCCTTACAAATGGAAGTCTCCTCTCTTTACTACCAGCTTGTAAGGGGAGAGAGGGAGTGAGGAATTTGTAAGACATTCCCTAAGTTGGGAAGTGGTTTACCAATATTCATGCCAACTCTACTTTGTTATAGACTCCCTCTAAATTTAATAATATTAAAAGCCTTAAATAAAACTATGCATGCTATTCTATATGCTTTTTTATATCAGTTAATAAGCTTATGCTTGGCAGTTTTATACACAGTAATGAGGTGTATAAAACTGACTTTTGACAGTATTTTTTGCACTGTTTCCTCTCTGTTTTTATAACGTCTTATTTCGATACTGTTCCTAAGTTGCGTATTGTTTGTTCTCACTGCCCTTGTCATGGCTGTGAAATGTTTCATATGTGCCTTTACAAAGGTGAGATCTTTATTCTAACCTTTTTTTTTTTTATAAAAGATATCTATTGATTTAACATATGCAATAAACCTTTTTTTTTTTTTTCCAGAGAAAACAGTTGAATTTTCTGTCTTCTGTACTATGTATGTTTGCATGGGTTGAAAGTATCTCTTTTTGGATTATTTTCCTAGGCACAAGTGCCTGGAAACATCTGCTTTTTGGTTTTTTAAAGCCCATTTATCGCTACCCACTTTTTATTCCTGTGTAACTTGATCATACTAAATAGTTAGTTTGACGTTTCCAAAGTTGTCATTGTTAGAAAAATAGCCAAATGGGGCGCACATCAGGCAGATGGAGTGAGGACTCCCAGCGACGGACCCTTCTCCCAAGGCTGTGGTGGACCTCGTTGGGTGCCAAGTCCTTCCCCCACCTGTCAGTCACTCAGAGCCCAAACTGTTGACCTGGAAAAGACAGGCACCAGGCTGCTAGAGAAGGCCCAGGTTTTAGTTTTTGTCTTTCAACTTGTATCCATAGCACAACTCATCGCTAGTGCGAGAGGTGGCTGCCCCACGCCTGACTTTTTGCAGTCTGTCAATGGCCATCGACATACACAATGAGCCCCTGGTGACGACGGTGGACACAGTGTCTTTGCAAAGTAACAGGCAGTAGCACCACGTCTGCGTCTGCAAGTAGCCCACCGCTGACCCTATCACTAGACCAGGAGTCCTTCCCCTACCGTAGGGCCCAGTCGCGAAAGTGACAGTACTGTAAGCCTGGTGCCAAGAGGTGGCAAGGGTCTCATTTCACAGACAATTCCGGTGTATGTTGACAATGACAACAAGACAATTACAGTTCTATTACAGTTCTTGAAAGAAAAGCCACATAATATTTTTAAAAGATGGTAATAGAGAAAATGCCTATGAAAATGGAGAGCGGTCCAGTAGAGTGGCAAGAGAATAGGTACATACACTAATTTGTTTTTATCTTTCATGGACTGAGTATATAGACTCAGTTTATTTTCTTTGGTTGACAAAAAGTGGTTTTATTTAATTTAAAGAGAAGACACTAACAAGCACTTGTAGACCTGTTTAACTCCAAATGGAGCGGGGGAAGAAATTTTTTCTTAATGTAAGAGAACAAAAGATGAATACTTTAAAAAAATACAAGTAAACACGCAGTAAAATGATAAAAACAGGATCAATCATGCCTATTCTGTGCATTTACATTTTATTTAATTAAAATAAATGGGGAGAACTCATCAGATTTAACCAGTTAAGAAACAGTTGGAGGAAAACTCATAGTAACTATGGAAACATCAAATCTATGAGTTAAGGTGAATGTATAAAACCTGTATAAATGTAACTAAACCCTTGAGGCAAAACATAGACAAATTGATAAACTCACCACATGCTTGGATAGAAAGACTTGTTATTATGAAGAAGTTGGTTTTCTGTGCATCCCTGACTCCAATGCAGTTCTCGGAAATATCACAACAGTATTTGGGGTAGCGGGGTGGTGAGGAGAGGTCTCGAGAGGACTTGGCCAAATGACCCCCAAGTCCTTTGGAGGGTTAAACATGGGAGAATGGTCAGAAAACATCAGAAGAACAAAGCAGATTAGCCCTAGTGGATACTAAAAGTTTTACAGTGCAACAATAATTGCAAGAGTATTTTCCTGGCAAATCAATGAAAGGAAATAGTGCAAAAATAAACCTAAGTCTTACGGGAATGGTAATGGGAACATTTCAGCAGGGGGAAATAAATCATTTAACAAATGATGCTGGCGTAAGGGGCTAGCAATTGTGAAAATTAAAGTTTTTAAAGACAATTGGATCTCTTTCTATGAAATACAACAATTCCAGATCGATTAAGGACTTCCATAAAAAAATGGTTTTATTTTTTCATTTAAAGATGAAAACAATCTGGATATAGGAAGTGTGAAAAATAAAGTTAATGGACAACCAGGGCAAACATATTTTCTGTACAGGACGAACTAATATCCCAAATATATGTTGAGCTCTTAGAAGTTATGATGAAAGGTGTGAATAGCAAAATAGGCAATTGCTATGAATAACAACTCAGAGAAGAAACACAATTCTTAAGTATATGAAAAAAGTACCCAATCTCATTAGTAAATGCATATAAAACAAAGTATTTTACACAAATTGGCAAAAAAAAAAAAAGTTTTCAGTAGTGCTGTCAGGAAGGTAGAGGCAAACAAGTACTACAAATATTATATCCTTACTGGTACCTGATACAGTTTTTTAAAAAGGAAATGTGGCCATATTTATTCATATAAAAAACATGTGCACTTTTTGATCCTGAAATTCCACTCCTAGGAATCTATCCCCCCAAATGCTACCACATGTCAGCACAGTTATTTGTCTAAGATTGTTCAGTGTGGCGTTGTTTATAGTAACAGCAAACTGGAAAAGCCACCGGGGTATCACAAAAGCATCTGAGTCCATTGCAGCTGAGCACTCAGTGCAACGTTCTGCCTCTAAAAAGAATGAAGCAAATCTGTAAAGGCTAATATGGAAAGAGGTCCTTGCTGTTAAGTCAGGGACGATTACAAAATAGGCCGGTACCATTCTGCTTTGTGTTTCTAAATCTCTCTGTATAGGTACGGAAAAATTGGGATCACATATGCAAATGGTGACGGTGGTTTCCTCCGGGGAAGGGCACTGGCGGGGAGGAAGGACAGCGTACTCTTTTTTCTGATACATTTTTTTATTGTTTTAAATTTATTGAAGAGTTTTTACTTTCCTAAGTTTCATAAAATGTATAGAGATGGTGGGCTAGTAAGCTTATTTGAGGCCTAGCTACAGAGTAAATTAGCTTTCTTAACACACAAAGCTCCCCAGAGCAAGGACCCTCCCTGCCTTACTCATCTCTCTGCACTCGGAGAGCTATACAGACTATTTTGCACATAGTAGGTGTTCAACAGATGTCTTATGGCACTTGACTGGACGACGGAAGGCATCCAGCCTGCTGGGTCCCACTGTGCGCTGAACTGCGTGTGAGGTGCGTGCGGGTGTGTGGAGATGAGGAAGGAAAGATAACAGCAGATTTATGGCCCTTCAAGCTGTTTGCGTATCATGCATAAAAAAGCTTGAGTCTGAACTCTGTCAGGCCTTAATTATTACCTAATGGGAAGTTCCTCTCCTTGGATTACGAGAAACAGCCCTGTGCCTGGAGCACGCCTGGTCCTGGGCCTTGGGTCCCGGCAGCAGTTGCTAACAAACAATCCCCAGGTTGCTACCTTCCAGGCTGTGGGGAAGCTGGATTCCTGCTCTCCGGTCGCCTGCGAAGAGACCAGTGTTTGCTCAACAACACAGAGTTGGTAAGGAAATTTTTTTACTCCTTCTCAAGCTTACTGTGGAGAGTTTCCAGACAAGGAGAGGACGGCACAAACCAATCAGCAGAATGAGAGATGGAATGTCTGATTTCAGACAGAGGAGGAAACGGCCAGGAAGTGGGGCACGCATGAAGCACCTGTGGGCCTTGAAGAGCGGCCAGGCGGCTGGCAGGACCCAAACGGCCACATGCTCCGACCGGGGGAAGGGGCCCCGGGCCACTTACTTGTTCTCCCCTGCATGTAGCACCCCCCATTTTTAAATTTAATTCATGCATTTCCTCGTTTTAATTTTTTTTTCCAATCACAGTTGACATTTGATACTATATTAGTTTCAGGTGCACAGCATAGTGGTTAGCCTTCCACCTGGCTCCGTATGTAGTTATTGCAGTGTTGACTGTATTCCCTATGCTGTGCTGGGAGAGTTATTGACTGTTCTGACTGCTATTTGACTGCCATTACTGTATAGTAGGTGTTTAATATAGGTCTCATCGCCCTTGACTGGACGAGGGCAGGCACCCTGCCTTCTGGGCCTGGCTGTGTGCTGTGAACCGCGCGTGAGGTGTGTGCGGGTGTGCGGCCATGAGGAAGGAGAGGTAACCGCAGTCAAGGGAGGAACTTCCGCTCCCGGTGACTGTTTAGTAACTGCCCGTTTGCATTGCCTAATCCTTTCCACAGGTGTGTTCTTTTCCCTTCTCACATCTTCTTTCTTCCTTCATAGGCACTGTATTCAGGCTGCCGAAGCCCCCCGCACTCCCATGCTGGGGGAGGGATGGGCGCCCTGGCTGACGCAGAACATGTGCGTCCTCCACGGCACGAGGAGGCTCGCACCGCCTCTCTGAAATCCTCCCCACAGACAAAAGGAAACACATACTTCGGCTACTATTACCTTTTTTATTCTATTCCATCATTCAGGTGTGTTCAGAACATTATAATTATAGGCATGAAAGGAAAAATAATAACATTTTTTAAAACTTAGCTTGTCCAAAGTATAATATATGAAACCATGCCATCATCTCTTAGGGAAAAAGGCAGATTCAAAAATGAATGTGATCTTAAGGTTAAAGAGTAAAGCCAATTCCAAGTATGCTGTGTGAGGTTTAAGTGCAAATGCTGTTTTCATTACAATGAGTTTGCAGAAGTGCCGGAGTGACATATAGGATTTGAAATATTCAAATCCTTGAGGGTTTCTGCACACGCACGTAAAACTGCCACGTTGGCATCGTTTCAGTGGCTTTCGATTTCCTGTTTGATCTCAGAAATGTACGGGTGATCTTTGCCGTGAGCCACCTCCATGATCGCCATGGCCTAGGAGAGAGCGAGACACATTGGGGGTTAAGAGCCCGAGGGGAGTCCCCTTTCACCTCCACCTGGGCTGAGGGTGGATTCAGGGTGGACTCCCTGCTTAAGGTGAGGGATGCAAACTGTCTTTCAGAGCCTGTGCTCTCCTCCTCCAGAATCTGGCTTCAAAAGAAAAAAGGTCAAGATTATCTAGGAACCAAAGAGTCACCTAGTTTCTATTGCTGAGTAGAATACTCTGCAATGGTTGAGGAGATGACAAAGAGAAATTGATTGCGTGATATGTTTGCCCCACTATTCTGAAGATGTCAGTACAAAATGCTTTAGGGACAGAATTACTTGACTACACTCAACCAAGTAAACGGGTAATGCTAGAATAGGAAAGTCCACAGTGAACTTGATATCCAACCTGTTTTGATTTTAAGGTAACATTAATAACCTGTGAGAGAGAACTAAACTGTTCTTCCCTTTTAAAAAGTGCATGCTTTCCTGTTAATACATAATCTTAATTAAAAAAAACAACTAAAAATCCAGTGCAGGTTTCATTTGAGGATGCTAGAGAACATATTCAATAAGATTTCTTTACAATGAGGGGAAATAAAGTGAGTTTCCAGTGGCTCCGTTGCTTCCTATCTATGTGACCTTGCGCAATTTACTTAACCACTCTGTGCCTCAGTTTCCTCAACTGTAAAATAGGAATGATACCAACCTCTCAGAGTTGTTAATGCACATAAAGTGTTTAGAACAGTGCCTGGCATATAGAAAGTATATATCGAATATCATCCCTAAAAGTTTATTTTGCATTTTTTTGTATTCAGCTATATTACTCACAGATAGAAAAACTCAAATTACTCCCATTTTCCCAAAGAGGGAATTTTTGATGGCTGCAACCACGGCAGCTTTCCCTTCTATTGTGCCGTTGTCCTCCCAGATCTCAGACCAAGCGGAGGCAGGCCAAGGAACAGTGCCGGTCTTCAGGAATCACCTGTTTGGTTGTTCTTTAGGAATCACCTGTGAAATGCCTCCCTTTACCCTCTGTATTCATTTTGTGACTCGTGTTCCTTGGTCAGATCTACTCTACCCTTCTTCTTTTTCTTTTTTTCTTAATGTGCTTATTGATTTTAGAGAGGGAGGGAGGGAGGGAGGGAGGAAAGAAGGGAGAAAGAAAGAGAGAAAGGGACAGAAAACATCCATGTGAGAAAGAAACATCGATCGGCTGCCTCTCATATGTGTCCCAACATGGGATCAAACCTGCAACCTAGGTATGTGCCCTGACTGGGAATCGAACCCCCAACCTTCTGGCGTACTGGACAGCGTTCCAACAAACTGAGCCACACCAGCCAGGGCTCTCTGCCCTTCTTTGACCTTGTATTTCAGTACCTCCCAGCACTTTGCAGTTGTGATCTAACTGGTCAATTTCCCCCCAAATCACTAAGGCAATAAATATGTTATCTTGGAAGACAAATTCACTGGTTTAAAAATGGAAATGTTATGCTTGACTCCTACTCCTGGCCTGGCGAGTCCCTGATCCTCCCGTGTGGGATGCGGGACCTCACTCCCATCTTCCTGAATAGGGAAGATTTGGGGGAATCTGAAGCGTTCAGCATTCAGGTTAGTCAGTGGCCCCAACATTTACAAACATCATCTTACAGGGGTAAACAGACTGTCCCAAAGATTACATTTTACCAACTGTTAACTTCTACATAAAGGACAACGAGAATCTATTGGTACAATCAAGCTGCTGTCCGGTGAGGGTCAGGGCCTGGCCCCTGGCCCACAGACAGCACAGAGCAGCTGTCAAACATTGGGGTGGGGGGTGGCAGATGCTGCCCAGGGTCCTTGCTTCCCTTCTGTGTTAGTCACAGCTTTCAACTGAGAAAGATCCCAGTTTCAGTCAAGACCCCACTATGTACCCAAGGCTAATTACTTAACCTGTTTGCATCTCAATTTCTTCACCAGGAAAACCCATCTCATTTTTGTAGTAATTAAAAGAAAACCCACATGTCAAGGTGCTGGCATGTGGCCGGTACTCAGTGTGCGGCGATGCTGATGATTAGGTACAGTTCAGAAACCCTCCGTACCTCACTGCCTTGATTTTACCACAGCAGGGCCTCATGCATCTGCAAAGCCCGAAGGGCAGACAAATGGCACTTTGCCCCACCACGGGCTCCCGTCCCACCCGGTGTGGCCTCTGTCCACTTCCTTGGCTTCGCCCGGGACGGGCGGTGTGGTCTCCCAGCCGCGGGCTGAGTCTGCAGTCACGGCCGGCCCCTCGCAACGTGCACACCCGCTCCTTGAGCTTGGCAAAGGCTCAATGACGCCAGTCCTACCTGCCAACCCACCCCCTCCCACCTGGAAGGACAGAGGGGCTCCAGCACAGTCCTGCACCACCCCTTGTCACTCAGCCTCCTGAGGGAAGAGGAACGGACGCTAAAGAGGCCGCCCGGGCACTGCGCGGCCTGTGACCCCATGTTGCAGACATACCTTCCTCAGGGCTCTCTCCCCCGCAGCTCTGTTTTCCAGGCCCATGTACAACCTTCCCAGCTTCAGCCACATGGAGGCCACGTTGAGGGAGTACAGTGGGTAATGCTTGCTGGAAGAAAAGACAGCAGGTCACCTGGTCAATGGCCACCCAGCCGCCCACAGGCCGGCACAGGGAGCCACACTCTCCGTGGCAACCAGGCCTCCCCAGACCCTCGCGGCCTGGGTGGGGCATGCGGATGGCTGGACCCTGCTCAAGCACCGTGGACACAGTCCATTCTATGCACTTAGTGTGTTTCTGAAAAGCTCCACAGACACCGCGGGGGAAATCCTACACAAAAACATTGATCATCACAGCGTTCATTCCCAGTCCCAGATTTTCATTTTAGGTGCACCCAAAGCAGGGCTCTGGGAAACCATCTTTCCAGTTAAATTCCCTATTATGAGGACATTGGGCCTCTCCCCTCATATTAAAGAGACAGTGTATTTAAAAATATACACACACTACCAACCAACAGCTCCCCGAAGTCAGGAGAGTGCCTCCTATTTGTTCTTGACATTCTTTCTCTGTTGTTCAGTAGAGAGCTTTATACACACGCAGGCCGTACTGGCTGTCTGGTTTTAACTGATGGCTGACAGACGGATGGGCTCGCCTGGGAAGGAGACCTTTCCCTAGGCACTGAGACCAGGAGGAGGCTCACGGGCCAGACTCTGTGTGTTGGGGTGTGTGTGTAGGAGGTGCTTATTTACAGCCTCGTTTGTACTGCTCTACCCTCAAAATCGATCCAAAAGAGACACATTCCGGCTGTATTTCCGGGTGGGAGCCAGGCCCTGGGGACAGTGCCTTCCTCCCCAACCCCCACCTCAGAAGGCCAGAGCTGGGGTTCACTTTACTCAGGAAGGGCCCAGCAGAGCTGGTTCCTGCCAGGACAGGAACCACAAGGCGGAGATGATCACGTTCATCCTCATCTTCCCTCCCTCCTCCTCCCTCCCTCCCGATCTCACAGAGGAAAGTGTGCACCAGACCCCAGGACTTTCTTACCCACCCCAGGAGGAAGGATAGGCTTTAAGATGATTCCCAAGGTAGCAAATTCTAAGAGCGGATTTTAGGAGCTGCTGCCCCTTGGGCTCCCCCTGCTGGCCAATCAGGGCAGTGTGGGGTAAGCAGAGGGCCAAGTTGGCAGTGGACATTCAGGCCAGACATAAATTCAACAGTCCCTAACCTTAGAATGTAAACTAAGGGCTTCTCAAATTCCTGAGAAACACCTGGGGTGCTTCTGGAAGACAGGGATTTCAGGTCTGATGCCCAGATTCTGACCCACTTAGTCTGGGGGAGATCCTGTCCACTCCTAATATAAAGGTGTTTAGCCAGCACCCCAGGGATCAAAGAGCCACCCCAAGCCTGAGGTGGCTGGTCAGAGCCAGAGGGCAATGTCATGACCTCCACCTGTAACCTACTCTAAGGGTTAACAACCCTCTCAACAGGGAACTTCCCCATGGCTGATAGTCACCATTCCTGTCCATTAAACCCCAACTTGTTTTCTTCAAACCTAAGTGGGATATTGAATAACCACAGCCAACCCGATGGTCCCAGAGGTTCCTCAGTTGCACACTGGGCCGCGATTCAGAAAATCAGAAGGGGATAGTGTGAATAGTGATGGAAAAGAAAGAAACGGGTGGCGTTTTAATACTGGTCTGCATGAACTACCACGGGTGTAGCACCTGGGTAGGGCCCGGCACGGATCTGGCCCCAGCAACCCCCGCATAACCTCAACCTGCCAGCCTAGGTTCTCTTCTGGATGGCGGAGGGAAGAGGCAGGACCTGATGGAGCAGCGCCCTGCCCCTGTACCTCCGGATGAGGGCGCAGAGAAGAGAAGGCTGGTCTAGGCACGTTCCAACACGGGCAGGGAGAGGACGAGGCTGCCTAGGTATGCATTCCAAATCACCAGGTGCCATGCCGTGCTACGGCGATCAGAAGGGCCATTGCAATCACCTGTAGGGCTTAATGATTTTCTGTCCGTATCGCAGGGCTCCTTCCCAGTCCTGCATGTACAAGCAGACGCCCATGGCCTGGTACATCATGTGCAACATGTACACGTTACTGTCCTCAAACACAGAGCTCATCTTCTCCTGGCTGAGCTCGCAAATCTCCAGCAGCTCGCTAGGGGGTGCTCTGGCGTCAAGGAAAGGACCAGCCAGCCCACAGGCTTGGAGACTTCCCAAAGCAGGCTGGGTTCAAGGAGTCATTCCGTCCCCGCTCCACCTGTACCCTGACCTTCTGAAAAAGTAAATTACAGAAAGCCAACCAAAGGGAAAGGAATCACATTTTTCTTGGAGAAACAAATAGGAAAATCCGAAGCCCTCAACTGGTAAACACAACTGAAAAATTTTAGCCATAAGCAACAGACCCTCGGTTCAGCTGTAAACAATGTGGATTAGAATCACATATCTCCCATCTTCAGTTCAATTTAAGCCCTCACCTAAGCTGAGCCGAAGCATTTTTAAGGATGAAGTCCCCACCATGGGAAAGTTCTTTCTCATGCTAAGAAATAAATGTGCCTTTCTCCAATTTCCTCTCACTGGTGTTAGTTCTTCCCTTAGTGTAAATCTATTGCCTTTTCAACACCAAAGAAAATGCTTCAATATCATTGTTAAGAGTATGGATTGTGGTGGCCAGAGACATAGGGCAAAATCCGGATCTGCCATGGGAAGCTGTGTCCCTTGGGCAAATTATCTGGCATCTAAGACTCTGTTTCCATCTACTACAAGGCAATGACCTGGTGCATGTCCTCGTAAGAATCAGGTGAGGCAATATAAGCAAAGTCCTCCCCCTGAAAAATGAGCACTTTCAAGGAACTGTTCTCCATAGTTTTAGACAATAAAACTCTTCCACTGCATTATGCTTTTGATCGAACTAGCCAAACAAGGAGAAAAGGGATCAACATTTTAAACTGCTATGGTTCACTCCAAGTCATGGGTGGTCAGTGAGTCTCCACCCAATTACCAGGGGACATTCTTCCTTCAACATCCAGCAGCTGAAACCCAACCTTCTGCTCCCTCTTCCTGACTCTCCAGCGCCTCTGACAGGTAAACTTCCTGACCGTGGTAAAGGATATATTTGTAGTGCTTGGCTCTCCGGAACTCCTCGATGACGTTGCGGGCGTATCTGACCATGTCACGGATGGCTTCTGCCTTTGGGGGATCATTGAGCTTCCGGATTTTCACCTTGGCCTTATCCTGAGGGAAATGTCCACAAATTCATGGTGTTACTTCCGACAGAAACCACACTGATGGAGACACCTCTCAAATAGTACATTCTCCCAGGCAGAGGTACAGGCCTAACCACTCTAACGTTACAAAAGGATGAAAGGAAATCAAGAGATGGATCTAAGAGAAATTCAATACACCATTACCTTTTTACAAAAAAAAAAAAATTTTTTTCTAGACAATCTGCACCTAGACAGGACACCTAGAATATGTTTGCTACGGGCAGATCAGTGTGTTCAGACATCTTCGAATCAAGAGGATAGAATACAGAGGGGCGGCATTGACAGAAAAATTTGGGCGAGGCCAGAGAAAATTCCGCATATTCTGAAGAGGCTGGGAAGCCTGACAGTTATGTTCATGTGCTCCCCCACCCCCCTGCCCTCTCTTTTGAGCAGCCATTTCTTTTCAAGAAATAGCATCAGGGCAAATGCTTCTCTCCTTGGCACAGTGTCATGGAAACATTTTCATCAGGTTTGAACAGAGGCCTGGGACCGGCTCAGTGGGGTGGGTTGAAAGGATCAGAAACACAGGGGCAGAGACACCCCGAGTGACACAGGGATGCTGGTTTGGCAGCGGTCCCGAGGCACCCAGGCCGGCCGGCGCCTTTGCCGTAAGCGCTATCGGGGGGCTTGCCTTGTCTCTGGTGGTGCACTCCTGGCACTCGCAGGTGAAGAAATAAGAATCTCTTAGCCGGTCATTCCTATCTTCTGTGGGATACAGGAGGTCGATGTAGCTGGTAAAAACCTAGGGGGTCCAAGAAGTGGGCGTTGCAGTCTGCTGCAGGCCAGCTCGCTCCTCATCCATCCTGCGGCTCTGCCCGCCCTTGTGGCGGTGTCCTTGCAGGGACAGACGAGAGGACGCCACCGCGCAGGATCAGCACGCTTAAACACAGCAGCCCCCTAGCGTTGTCTACCTCCTTGTGGGCGTCAGGGGAGAGGGTTCTCTTCCCACCTACTATGGAATCAAGGAGTCCCCACAACAGGAAATGGGAGCACTGGAAGCAACCCCACCGTCTCCCTCCACCAAAGAGCCAGCTGGGATTTGTCTCATGGACTGAAGCAAAGCCCCACTGGGCAAAGGCTCTGCTCATCCGTGGAGCTGGCCCAGGGCCGTCTCTGCCTGCCCGTTCCCATTGCGTGAGTGGGGACGGCTCGGATGCATTACTGATCTGTTTCCCTTTCTCCTTCCACCTGCTGGCAGTGGAGCAAGAAGCTCGGCTGGGTGGGCCGGGGCGCGTCGCAGACGGAGGACGCAGCTCCGAGGACACCCGCACGCTGCCGCCTCACCCAGCTGGGCCAGAGAGCGAGGACGAGTCTTCCCTGGGGGCTCATCGCGGTCTCCCATCCTTGCTGTTCTGCTTTTGCTACCGGGGTCTGTAACTGAGACTTGGAGCATATGGACGAGCCGGGCATTTAACTGTCCATTATCTGCTCACTGGGACGGCATCGCTGCTCGTCCCACACCATCAGGCAACTGTCTGACTGCACAGATGGATGTCACAAAGCCGTCAGCGTGCCAGGAACCTCCGGCACGGCAGGCAGGCCAGCCGGGGCACCTGCAGCGGCCGCCGAGCTCTCTCCACCCCAGAGGGCAGCAGTGGAGGCCTCGCAGCTCCTCAACACCCTGGGCAGCGGGCTTCTTCCTCTCTGAAGGGCAAGTCTCCCCCAGAGCAGCGCCTTCCCCAAGATGAGGCTGCTGCGTTTCAGGTTTGTGAGAGCACACGGGGGCAAGCCCTGCCGGGTGAGAGGCATGAGCCTCCTGCCTCTTTGAAATGACGCATGATCACATCATGCAACACACAGAAGGGCCCAGAAGATGGCGACAAAGGCCGCTCAGTGCCACAGCTCCAGGCCCAGACAGCCGGTCTGGTTGACGCACACCGCTCTTGTCTCCCGTCAGCCCTGAGTCCTGGACACTTACATTCTCACTGACTGCACATGTCTGTCTCCACCAAAAAAGCATCTGGGTGGTCTCCACCAGACCTTCGGAAACCAAGGCGCTGTGGCCCCCAGCACAATACCCTCGTCATGGTATGTTTAGCAAAGAGGAGGAAATCTCAGTTCGGCTGAGGGTCAGCTGACAACTTCTGAGTAGCCAAGGCCTTCATCACTCGGATCACTGCATTCCCACTGAAAATCTGGACATACTCCTTAACAGAGTATTAAAGATTATTGAACTGAAATTTAATCTACAGTGTGTAATTACAATCTCCAGGAATGCATGTATTTTATTTTGTATCATTTACACGAGAACACACAGCCTACGTCTAGCGATCTGCTAGGCCGGCCCTTTGAAGGGGAGCCCCCTATACAGTGGTCATAGAATCACCGCATGGGAAGGGACACGGGAGCCACTGAGCGGTGAGAGAGCACATGGTTCTCTCCACGTCCCTGTGTCAAGGAGGGGAGCTGCTGGAGCCTCCTGGCCACAGCTGCTCCCTCTGTGCCCTCTCAGTGTGTATACACCTGGCCACCTGAACAACATTCCTAAAAAGCAAACTCTCCGAAGTTCAGATGTGGTTTTGAGAGGACTCGGAGCACTGATACGGCATTTGGAGCTGGGACTCTAGAGCTACTGCAGGGCTGCTTTTTTTCTTTTAGAGAACAATGCTTCTGACCTTTAGAGTGGGGGAGAAAAATAGGCCAAGATTCACTAATTACAAAAACAAAAACAAAAACAAAAACAAAAACCTCAAACTCCATCGGCTGGCAATAGGAATACAGAGACTGTAAAGGCAATCCCGAAGTTCATCCTGGTCACGCTGGCAGTCTCCTTTTTCTGTACATCTCTATAAATCTCTGTGAGGAATTTCGCTCAAATTTATTCTTTCCTGTTTTTTCTTGGATGGAAATGGCGAGCACCACATGGAAGCCAGACGCACAGGACTCTGAGGCATGGGTCACAAATCTGAACGTTAACCCTGGGAGGCCTGAGGGCGGGCATGGTGTGACTGCCGGATCGTCCCCCGCCTGTCCTGTCCAGCGGTTTTTCGACACTGCCTTTCCAAACTGTGGCCCCCGCCGCCCGTGGCCACGCACTCACCTCCTCTCCCTGGTTGATTTCCTGTACGGCTCTCACTTCCGCCAGGGTCCCCTTGTAGGTCACAATGACATTGGGGCAACAACTATGATTCATCAATGCAACGCTGTCAATCAGAAAAGAAAATCCAGTTTTCTCAGTGAGACAGACTATCTGCGTAATCCTTGGCTACTCACTCGCTAACTCCCAGCAACTTGATCTTTGCAGGACATGGACAAAAAAAAAAAAATCTCATAGTTAGTCGGCCATCATATTCTAAGAGGTTTTACTGCATGCATCAGTCATCTTAAATCTTCACAATATTGAAAAGTGAAATGTGCCCTTTGAAATCGTGCTATCTAAGCCAGAAAGAAAAGGCATGCTACGGAAAAATGGCAACAACGAAAAAATCCCACAAGAATTCCTTCCTGTTAGATGGAGGACTTACAGTCCAACACCCACCGTGATCTGCTACTCGCTGAACACTGTTCAAGACAAACGGGTGGTCATTTCCAAGCCGCTTTTTATTAGTGGCTTATTTCCAACACGTTTCCTTCAGATGTTGAGAAGCCGCCCCCGGGGGAGGTGCCAGCTGCCTGAGGGAGGGCTTGTGATCCCCCGGGGGCCCTGGAGGAGCCCATTCGACTCTCGGCACCTCAATTTGCTCATCTGGAAAATTGGGACACGGCTGCACCTGCTGCTCACTGTCTGCTTTCAGGGACGGCGGGGACAGAGAGTCGCCTGCGCGAGGGGCTTTGAGCTTTCTGATTATATCAAGGTCAAAGTTCTGAGAACAGAAATTTCTAAACTACAGGGGAAAAATGCTTGATCTCTGAAAATGCTGCCTTTGAAATCACAATGCCGAACTGATTTCAGTCCAAAGGGATTTTTCCCCCAATTAAAACTGCCTGGAAACTGGGGCTCATGTGGGCACTCATATCCGTGTGTACCATTATTGCTCTGGTGGCCACTGTCACCTGCCTGAACCCTCAGCCACCAAAACCTCTCTCCTGTTTTGCCCCAAAATTTTAAAAAGGCACAGGGGTTGTGTAGCCCCTGCTGAGGGCGAGCTGCCCGGGGTTTGCCGTGGACGAGGGGGCAGCCCCCCCCCGCCCACTGCCCGGTTGCTTGGAGGGCTGAGTGAAGTCTGTGGCTGGCCTTGAACCTGGGACAGCACGTAGTGACTTCTCTGTCCTGTCCTTAGGGTGGGCCACCTGCACCATGCATCGCAGCCCGTACGTACGGCTTACTGGCAAGTGGTACACCCGGAATGGAGGCCTAGGAAATCTGATCAACAAATGCACCAAAAGTTAGTAATGGAAAAGCAGACTTCTAGGACCATCTTGCAGAAGAAGTATTAAGTGTTCCATTGCAAGACAGACTCCCCAACATTTTTTTTAATGAAGATGCGGGAAATGTACTAAGGGTGAAGAACCTAAAACAACTCCTGCTCTTGGTATCATCGTTTTCTTGGCAATCACTGGAAAGGCTGGAACCTCAGACAATGCCGCTCTGCACCTGCTTTTGCTCTGACTCAAGAAGCTGAAAGAAGAGCCACTGGAGTTCACTTCAGGCCTGAAGGTGTCAATACCAGCCCCTTGAAGAGGGTCTCATGGCCTTTCTCCATGGCTTTCCTCTTTTTCTCCTTCCTTTCCCAAGGGCAGAAGTCCCAAAGAGCTTCTTCCCAAAACACTTCTTTCCTTACTATTGGACCTCAGAAAACCACAGACAACACCATTTATTACTGTGGGAATAAACGTTTTGTTTCTGGGGTTCAGGGAAGCCTGTGACAGCTGCTTAGGAGACACAAACCTATACAGGTTCTTTGCCCTCCAGACCCGTATGATGCACCGAGCTGGTGACACCGGGCACCCCAGGAGCTCACATGTCCTCCACGCAAATGCAGGGCCATGAAGGTGTCCTACAACTGCTTCAACCTACAGCCCAAGGCCCCTTGATATTAAATATTAAGCAACATCACTTTAGACAGAATAATCTACAAGGTGGGTTAATTCAGACAGGGGATGCAGGAAGGCTCCTTTGCCCATCTGTGAAGCCAGGGCTTGTCTTCAGGGCACTGAAGCATTTTGAAAATACTCATTGCATCGAAAGACAATGGCAAAGCCATTCTTGGTGACGCGTTAAAGTCAGAGCCATAAAGGCCTCCATCTGTCCACTGCCTAGCCTTTCTTCAGGTACTTGAGTATTCCTGAGGTACGGAACACTACAGCGCTTTGAAACTGCCCCCTAGCTCACCGCTTTAGTCTACGGTCTCTCCAAACTGTGCTGTGTCTACACTGGTATTTTCATACAGGACAGATGGAGAAGAAGCTCATATGTTCTTCACACAAGCCTACGGCCAATTGTTGGTTGGCAATTAATGTTTCACTTTGAGTGCAAGAAACCCAGAGATTTCCATAACCACAGGTATGCAAAAAAGCACATTTCTCAGCAGGGCACACTATAAAATATTCTTTAATAACAGCTCTCGACCTAGCAGGACTTAACAAGTAACTGTTCTCTTAACAACTACCTTTGGATCCTTAAACGTAGGGGAGGCATTTTGAAATCTGGCAGAATTAAAAAGGTGTCTTAATTCACTTAGAGTTTCATGTCTGACACATGCAGTTAGGCGGGTTATTTTTTTTAAAAAATCAAATGAGTGTGAAGTAAGTAAAAAGGAAAGAAATGAAATCAAACTCAGCCTACTCAGGAAATATTGCTGATCCCAAATGAGAAAGTTCTTCATCTTCAATTGTGAAGCCATTACAGTTAACCTGCGGTGAGAAAGGGGGAGAAAGAGGGAAAAAAAATGAGCTAAATCTTGTCTGGATAGAAGTCATTTCTTTAATTTCTGACCTTTAACAAATTAACTAGGAAGAAGTTCTGGTTTAGTGATTTTAAAACCTTTCTTTTGGCCAATGTGTCCTTTGTTCAAACAAAATTTACCGATTAGCCTCGTGTATAAACAAATAAAAGCAGGCCCGTCAGGGGGAAGCACCCTTAGCCTCGCCCGCCTACCTACCTACGCACAGTGGCCAAACAAGGACACACCACTGAGGCCCAAGGACTACAGTCTGCACGTTGGAATGGGAGTTAGTGTTCCTGGAGTTTAATCCCGTTCTGCCCCAGATCTGTAGTGTGATCCTGGGCCCACCTCTGAGTCCCGTGTCCTCGATCTTCTCCCGTTAAAAGAGAAGCCACTTAGTGTGGCTTCCCATCCCATAAGAGGAAGTGGTAAATAGGAAAGCCCTGAAGATGGCCGCTCTAACTGCCCACGCCTTGAGAGGCAGAGGGGCCTGAAGCTAAGGAGCTGAGACCTTCCTTCATGGCCAGCCAAGTCAACCACTGGCCACTTTCTTATCCTTGAAACGAGATGTTACACTGGAAAACAGCCAGGGCAGCCCTCCCCCTTCTGGGAGTCTACCTGCGTGCTAGCAGGAGTGTACACCCCCTCGATGTTATGTTGTTCCATAAATTCACTCTGTTCACAAACTCTCTTCGAGAACTTTTACTGGGCACTGTGCACACAGGATGAACACGCCAAAGTCTGCGCGCTCAAGAAACACCCAGTCTGTCAGGAAACAGTTCAGTGGACACTTTCATTTGCATCTGGAGTTTCAGAGCTGGAACGGGACTCAGTCTCTTTCCTTTTCAGATGGTGAAACTGAGGTCAGGCAGGAGCAGTGACGTGCCCAAAGCCGGCACCAAAGGCCGACAGCCCTGCTCCTCCCACGCCACCAGCAAGGCTGCCTGTGAGGGGGGCCGCGCTGAAGGGTTTCGCCCCGGGGGCTGGGCCACGTGCTGCCACACCCTGGACACCCTGCCGGTACATCTCAGGCCAATGAATGGGCTTTTGAAAACTGACGCCTGTGGAGCACTTGCTCTGGGCCAGGCCTGGTGCTGGGGGCTGCATGTTCATCCCTTCTTACGTCTGCGGTACTACGCCGGCACAACTCATTTTACAGACGTGGAAACGGAGGCTCAGGGAGGTCAGTGACTACGTCATTTGTCCAAGGCCACGTAAGTAGCAAGCAGGGAAGGAAGGAGTCAGAATTCAAACTAGACATTCTAACAGCAAAGCTGTCAGAAACACACCTTCCTGACACTATACCAACTTTCTTTGATAATCATTCTGATCCATGAATGTTGATATGGTGATTTTACTTAAAAAATTAAAGGGCCAATGTCAAAGGCTTCGGAATCTTGGTACAGAGAGAAGTAAATGCTATGATGGGTTTAACTTACAGTTTTTACAATTCAACATATTTACAATTTTCAACATAAAAAGAGGTTACTGAGGGTTAGTAGAATAATACACAGTCTTTGAAATCCATGATGTTGGGCATTTCTATGTAGACGACTTAGCATAATATTTGTGTGTGTGTGTGTGTGTGTGTGCCAACTTCCAGTATCCTAACCTATTCTGTCATCAGGACATTAACCAACTACCATTAAGCAATGACCATCATTGCTTAATAGGTAAGAGTTTAATTAGAATTTTCATTCATTCAACAGAGTTTACTGGAGCATGAACTCTAGCACCTTAGTAAGTACTGAATGATCTATTAATATATACAGTTTCGGGCTGGGTTCTAACATGCCTCGGCAGTGTCTGGTACCCACAAGATGACAGTAAATGTTTACAGAATGAATGAGAGAATGTAGCAACAATTTTCACAACTGCTCTAGGGACAGGTAACTTTGAGGGCTGGGATGCTTGTTCCTTTGCCTCTTAGACTCCTCCTCTGCATGGAGCGCAGTCTATGACTCCAAAGGCCTTCAGCCTCGAGTGTTTTATGACCACCAGGCACTTTATTCCCTCTGCCTCCTCCACTTCCTGTGCAAGAGTGAGTGCTTCCGCTGCAGCAAAGGCTCCTATAAACGCAGTCATCACTGCTCCTTGCTTGGAGGCGTGATGGTGTCTCAGTCAAATTGCTTAGCCATTTTCCTGACAGCTTTCCCTGCCTTCTGAAATATCCCTAGGGGAGAAACGTGAACTTGGGTGTTAAGAGAGGTGCATGGGCCATCGTCCTTTTTTCCAAGTCAAATCAGGCGTAAGTGCCTTGCTACAGCTATTCTCATAATTAGCATTTAGATGGGGTGTAGACTGCACACCAAAAATACATTTCCCGACCATGCATATGTTCCCAGTGATTAAAATGCACCTCGGTGCTGCGGAGGGAGTGCAGCCGCCTTCTGCTGCTGCCAGCTGCAGCTGGGCCGCAGGTTAACCCACTGCGCCCCCACGGACCAGAGAGGGACGGCGGGCGCCGGGGCTGGAACAGCCGCCGTGCAGCTGGGGGCCGAGAGACAGGGCCGCAGCGAGGTGTGAGGCTGGGGCAGCACTTTTCCTTTTTGCTTTAGAGTTTTCTTTGGGGATGCTGAATGTCCCTTTTCAAATTTACAGATGAAAAAAGATACACACACAGATATGTTATATATCTATATATATATCTATATAACAAATGTGTGTTTCTGTGTATGCGTATTAGTGTGTAAACACAACCTCAGAATGGATATGGTTTGATGAATATGAAGTCTCTAAAGGAATTAATTATCTATGGTTATATATGTGTGCGTGAATATACATGTGTATTTATGTATATGTGTGTACACATATATTTGGGTCTCTTGGATTTTTTTGAGTCAGTTCAAAATTCAAAGACTCCAAGTCATTTTCACCATGAATATACTTCTGCTTACAAGATCAGGTGCCTTGATTCTTGGTTATGAAAACATGGCCCCATATCCACTATGTTACCGATGAGAGGTCCCATCAGCAGGCATTGCTGGTTTGAGCGAAAAGTTATCTTTTTTTCACAGCTAGAAGTGAGGAGAAGACATGTGTATTTTTTTGACCTCTTTTGTTTTTCCTAGATTAGACGAAGCACATAACTACGCTTCATCTAATCTAGGAAAAAAGTCGCTTACCGGATGTTGAAAAAAGATATAAAAGAAGTCAATACCTCAACTTTCCATTTTTTCCAAAATTCACTGCTGTAGGATGCTTAGAAAAGTACGTTGTAAATCATGATAATATAAAAAAAAGGAAGGTTTCCTTTAGTACTACTTTAATACCTGTAACTTGAACCCGTTTTTTTCTTTATGAGCAGCAGCTTTGTTGGTTTTCTAATTGACAGTCACACACCAGAAACAGCTACGTATCAAGGACGTCCTTACACTGCTAACAGTCCGCTCCCTTCTTTCTCATGTGTGGGGCTCCTAAAGTGGGAACGTTGTGAGTGCCTCTTAATCTTCTTCTTTTTAGTATTTTCTTAAGTTACACCTGCTCATTGTAGAAAATCTAGAAAATTATCCAGCAAAAAAAGCAAAAACTTTCCACTGCTCAGGAGATGACCAACTGTGAACTTCCATATCATTGTTTTGCACATATGCAAGTGTATTTTCATACTATACACATTTTTTTATCCTGTTTTCACATTTAATGTTATCTCATCAATGGTTTTCCATGTCTTTAGACATTCTTTAACTTACAGTATATGCCATAATTTATTTACCAAACTCTTAGCAGTAGCCATTTATAATATTTCCTTGTTCTTTTCTTTTGCTCCTTTTTTTGGTTTTAAAGAGAACCCCACAATAAAAAAAAATCGAATGCCCACCTGTGCCCAGAACCTCTGATTGCCCCCTGGGATGCATTCCTGGAAAGGTAACTACTGGGTCAGCGTGTACACAGGTGAGGCTTATTCTGCTCTAAGGACACGTGTGAGTTTCTACCCAAGCTCTTTGACATATCTAGAGACCCAGGTTCCGGCAGGGGAATGTAGCTTCTTGCATCCTGGAGCAGTAGTCCAGTATTTCTCTCTCCGGGAAGGCCACCCTCAATGACACGTGCGGCTTACAGGGGAAAACACAAATGCATTAGGGGAAGCCCCACGGAGCAGGGGTGCGGGAAGGGCCGCCCTCGCAGTAGCGGGGAGCCGAGGTGCTGGCCACACTCTTCCCTGTGTTACATGAGCCCAGCCTTAGCCTTTCCCCGTGGCCGCTGTCCAGTTCTTTAATCGCTTATAACTTGCTCTTGTCCAGAAACTTCTCTAATTTTGTACTAAATTGGGTTTTGGTAAACGAGGCTTCTCCAGCCATTCCTGACAAGGCTCCCGGCCCCCGGGGGCTGCTCCCTGTGAGGCTGTCCCTCCGGGGACGATCAGAAAGAGCGTCTCTCTTGAGGACATCTGTGTTTGCCTCTGCTCTATCAGGACAGCACTGGCAGGAATAAAAAACACTGCTGTCAGAATGGAAAGTTTAAGAGAAGGAAAGTAAAATGTCATGTAGGACCCTCAGGCGGTCTTTTCTCTTCAAAGAGCGAACTGGATGCCGTCACACTAGGGCCCTGGCCACGGGTCTGTTCTCACAAACTCTTTCAGTGACAAGAGGCAGAAGGAGGTGAACTTCCTGAGCTGCCGCCGTCAACTTGAGGGCCTGCACAGAACTGACCCTGATGTGCTCAAGGTCACCTAGCAGGGCCCTGCGAGACACGGTCCAACAGGTCCAGAACCTTGTCCTCGCAGAGGCCATCCCGTTATGACTGCTCTCCTTCACTGAGTTGGCTCTGGGGACAGGCGCTCGGGCAGGGAAAAGCCACACCCGGTGTCACCTGAGGCTGCATCCTTACCTGGGCGAAGAGTGTTACCAGGCTCTCGTTGTCGGGGAATTCGAGGTGCTTGGAGTAAAAGCGATGCAGAGCAGAAATGTCACCCTGAATCAAATCCTTCTTCTCGTTGTCTAGTTTATCCAGATCTGTGGGCAGACAAACCATTGTTCACCAGGTAGAAAACTCCAGCCTTTTGGCTATACCCTTCTCTTACTATACATGGCAGGGAGGGGAGGGGAAAAAATAGGTGGAACCCCCCAAAATATTCTTCCCCATCACTTCGTCGAACTGATGAGCCTGAGGGAAAGAGAAGCATGCCATTTCTTTCTTCTCTTCCCCTGGAAGTCACTCAGGACAAGAAATTTCAAGTGACCATTAGCAATGAGATCGGAGATGCGTGGCGATGACTGAGAACCAGGCTCAGTCCAGGCAAGCCCCCCCCCCCCGCCCCCCCAGCTGGCCCTGCAATCTGTGTCACGGCCAAGAAGCTGGAGAGCCCCTGATTTAAAGTCTTTCAGTGAGGACATCAGCTGTTCATAGGACTGCAATTCAGCAAAGATCCAAAAATATTCAGCGTGCCGGGAGGGCGCACAAGAGGCAGCTCGGGATGCAGTCGCTCACCCTGCAAGCTCCCACTTCCCCTTAATTACTTCCTAGTAGTCCTGTCAACTCAGACAAAAACGTCAGTCCCACTTTTCAAAATAGCACATAAGTCAAAACACAAACGATTAGTTATAAAATCACGAGCAGCCCTGAGACAAACTCTCTCTTCCTGTCTCTGGTCCTGCCTCGTGCATGTTAAATGTCCACGTAAAATGACTCCTCCGCCGGTCACAGGAACTTACGTGATTCAAACTCCTTCACGGCTAACAACTTCTCTGAAGGTGTCCTCTCTGGGTGGCTTTTCTAGTAATTGGGGAAGAAATCACACAATTACAGATTTTAACGACCAGGGCAAAATGCGCTTTCGCTTTTACATGAAGAAAAAAACAACCATTCTCCATGAAGTAGAGAAAGCTATCCAAGAATCCACCACTGGGGCTCTGAGAGTGTTTGCTCAATGTCCAAATCCCAAAGACTCCTTTGAAAAGCTTTTTAAAGTGTCTGCCATGTTCCCAACACCCCGATAATGCTATGCACACAGTAGTCTCAAAAATGCTTGTTATGAGAAAGAACAGTGGCTAGAAAACAACTTTTTAGGGCCCCGACTTAAAAAGCACTGAGCCTACAGATGAACCATCCTATTGATTATTTCGCCTTCTGAAAAGGAACAAAATCAAACCCCCCATCCATTTTACACTTTCTTTAAGCATAAGCTAAAATGATCTCCAATTCTGTGTTTCAAAGGGAACACTTTGGGTCGTATCTGTGAGCCCAGATTCGCTTTAAATGTGTTGCTGCCTTTGTTCTAGACATCCCAAGAGGAGCTAACAATAGTAAACCTGCTAGGCTTTGAGGACATGAATAAACTTGGTGTTGACAAGAGTTCAAAAGCAGAGCTCAAGAGCTGGCCTGAGGCACGTCTTTGTAATCTGGCTATTCAATTTGGGGATACAGGTGGTCTGGCAGGGCGCTCTCACCTCCCTAGTTAACATGTTAAGCTTCCCCCTGGTAGTTGGGTAGCCTGTCTCCCCTAATCCTTTGCAAGCTACTAGAATACAAATGGTCTGTTTTTTTAATCATCAAGTCCTAGGGAGATGAAAAGGTGGCCAGGTAACTTTTCATTTAATAGACTATTAGGAGTCGCAGTAATTATAATAAAAGTTGAATGAAACTGGTATAAACTCATCATAGCATTCTGAGGACCCTCCTGGTGCCAAAACATTTCAATAGTTCTTTTTGGGAGCAGGAATCTTCCATTCACAGGGTATGTTTCTGTAAGATTAGCAGTTCATTTTGCCTGGGAAAGCTTTTCATTCAGGAAAGCACAACAGCTTCTTCTGAATTCTTAACCACAACACTATAAATAACATCACTGAGTGTGGTAGGTAGGGGGCCGGGCGGGGGGGGGGGGGGCGGGGGGGAGGGGATTAGCAGCTTGGTCACCCAATCCTCCCTGGACGCCTACAGATCTAATTGGACGGCTTATTTACCCTGACACCTCACCAAGTCACACCATTTCCCCCTCCCCCTTCTTTCTGACCAAGGACCCTGCAAATACTTAGAGAGAATTGTTAGGATCCAAAAGTTAACCTCATCCAGGGAAAACAAGTCCGATTACTCCATCTGGCTCTGCAGGCACCCTGCAAGCCTCTCGTTACCCTGAGCAGGCACAGTGGCATTTCAGCAAGCACCTGACCCAGCTGAACATAACAGAACGGTGAGCTCAGAGTTCGGAAATGATCTACTCCTGTTTACGCTGCCCAGGATCCTAACTTAGTCTGGGGACAGATATGTGGTAATCATTAAGATCACATTTGGCTTAGATTTTTTAAAAAAGTTTTAAAAGGGGAGGTCCAAAAAGAAGAGGTGGATGAAATTTTAGCTTTGAAAGGTTTAGCCCTGGCTGCTGTGGCTCAGTGGATCGAGCACTGGCCTGTGAACCTAAAGATCGCTGGTTCAATTCCCAGTCAGGGCACATGCCTGGGTCACGGGCCAGGTCCCCAGCTAGGGCATGTAATCAATGTATCTCATATATTGATGTTTCTCTCCCTTTCTCTGTCCCTTCCCCTCTCTCTAAAGATAATAAAGAAATAATAATTTAAAAAAAAGATTTACAGAACCAAGGCTCTACCACCAGCTGATTATTAGCAAGCAGCTCCATGGACATAAACACCTTGTAAGCCCCACACGGCCTGCTTCATTGTCACGAGGGCAAGTCCTGTGGCGGTTTCCTCCCCTCTTTTTCGCTTAGTCCTCTGGAGATCAGGCATCCCACTGACGCGCATTCAGTGAGGGCAGAGCAAACAAGGGGAGGACAGCCAGTCCTGGCAGCGTCTTTGGAGGGAACTCGTCAACTGTCACATTGCCTCAGTTTCTCCTGGTCCACTCCTCTTTCTCTTCTTTCTCTTCTCCCTGCCTGTTCCATCCCACCCCTTACCTGCCTACACAGGGCAAGTAAGGAGCCAAGGAGGGCAGAAATTTGCACAGGATAGGGGCGCAGGGTGCCCTCTCTGAGTCAGGCAGGAGAGAGGGAAAATCTCAGTGCTTCACAGGCCAGTCGGGTTCCCTAGGATGCGCTAATTATTTTCAATCTGGTGCTCATGCCTTGAAAAGCCATATTTTTCTAAGCAATCCTATCTCATTAAAAAAAAAAAAAAAAAAAAAAAGCTTAGAATTTAATAGCTGTGGCCATGTTCCTGGCCTGGGGTAAGCGACATCCTAGTTGCATAGGGCAAGTGACAAACCAGCTTACACCTGGAGTTCTGTTCCCAGCCCTGTCCTAATGGATGTGACAGGAAATGGAGTCCAAGAATGACTAACAAGAAATGATCACCATAGGCCACTTTCTCATCTCTATGACCTTTAAGGAAAAAAACAAAATAAAATGCACTTGAATGGTATCCCATGTCCTCACCTGTTTGGCCAGAATCCTTGCAGTGAGCCTTACAGTCTCTGAGGGATTCCAGTTTTCCCCAAAAACAACCATGGGAGAACATTCCAGCTTGTGCATAGGCCAATCTTCTTTCTGGGAAGGTTAAAAAAAATTATTAAACACACACATACTGGAATGAAGTTCAAGAAGAGAGGATGCAACAAGTCCTCCTCGCTAAGGTCAAGTGAAATGTGTTTCCTTTTGGAAAACAGGACGATGCTCACAACAGCTAGAGATAAAAACATCCTTTAAGGTAGATATGGTTGCATAACCTTGACTCAGGCCTGGCTAAGGTTGTCAGGATGAGAAAACTCGCTTGGTGTTTTTTCATGAGCGTCTCCTGTCTTTCTGCAGCCTCTCATTATTCCAGGCACACGCCTGCCTTTCCGTTATCTGTGGGAGCGGTCGAAGCGCAAGGGTGAGGGCTCTGGGTCTGGGCCATGGACGTGGCTCCGCTGCCTTGCCACTCTGTCCTGGCTCTGGTCTCACGTGGGGGCACGCAACTGGGCTTGATGTGCACAGCAACTAGTCCCCTCCGATAGGCGACAAAAGCAAAACACGGGGAAGGCTTCGTCAAGGGCCCTCAGGGAGTCCGGCGGGGGCACCTATGGGGAGTGTTTAGGCAGGCAGACGTCCTGAAGACTCGTTTGATAAAGTGGGACAACTCTATTCCTTTCTCTCTCGTGTCTTGAAGCTTCTGTGCCTGTGTTGAGGGTGGAGGATACACGCTCGGGATGGGAAGGGTGGAGAGGCCGTGGGGTCCCGGAAGGCCGAGGGAGGTCAAGGACACAAGGTGCTGCGGCCACCATGGGAGAAGGTCAGGGGCGGGGAAGACGTGACCAGGGCAGCGCTGGTGACGGGGTCGGTGTGGGGTGACTGAGAACTGACTGACACCTTGGAGGTCATCGCTGACTCTGATAAAAACCAGGTGTGGCAGCGTCAGGGGGTACCAGGCTGCCGGCAATGGACTCAAGAGAAAGAGGGAGACATGGAAACTGGGAGACGTGGGGCGAAGGCTTTGAGGGGTGAACGGTGGGAGGGGATGACTTTTTATTTGGGAAACATCAGAGCACGTTTGTACGTGGATGGGAGCCTTCGGGCTCTTCCTCACAATGGAGGTGGGTAGCGTCCCTTCTCCCCTCAGCCTTTCCTCCCAGAAAATGGCAAGCCCATTCTTGCGGGTGCTCGGGCCAGGCACCTGGAGTCCTCCTCGCCGCCCCTGTCTCCCTCACATCCCACATTCCACTCCCTGTCAAAGCCAAGCCTCGGCCTGTTGCGGCCCTGACGCCTCTCCCCGCGGTGACTCACTCGCCTTCGACCCGGCCGCCGGCTTGGGCCCTGGACCCGCACCCACTGTGGTCGGCAGCGCAGCCAGAGCCGTCCACCTGCTAAACAAAGCTCCGCTCACGCCACCTCTGAGCGCAGAGCCTCCTGATGGCTTCTCGCCTCAGAGCGAAAGGCAACGTCTGAGAGGACCTGCGAGGCCACGCGTGAAGGCAGTCGTCGCCGCCTCCGCAGGCTCCTGACCACGTCAGCCACACTCTCCTTGTTGTCCTAGGAGCAAACCAAGCGGGCTCCTGCCTCAAGGCCTCTTGCACGTGCTGTATTTCCTGGCTAGAACCTTCTTCTCCCCCGTCATTCCATGTCTCTGCTCCAATGGCACCTTTTCAAGATAACCTGCCATGAACACCCTCCCAAAAACAGCGCTTTCCCCATCACTCCCCCACTTCCCTTGCTTTCTTTTCTCCTTCGTACCTCTCACCACTTGATAGATCACATATTGATTGTTTTTTTGGCTTAGTATTCCTTCCCCCGCTGAAGTAAAGGAACTTTGTCTCTTTTGTGCACACCTATAATCCCAGAACCTAGAACAGTGCCTGACTTTTACTAGGGATGCAATAAAGTTGCTGCGTGAACGAAGATGACTATCTATCCCCATCCTTCCACCTCCCTCCCAAGAAGGAAGGGCACAATGTCACTTAATGACTTAATGCAGTATGTGACACAGACACTTGGCTCAAGTTCTGTGCCAAGATGTTCTGCAGAGTTAAACAATGCCATGCCAAATATAACTAAGAGCCAGTAGAGGAAGAAATGACAAGCTACGCACCAGGGAGAAGAGGATCTGTTTATAGCCAAAGCCTAAAATAAGGGCACAGTGAAGAGGTAAAGAGGTAGGAACAGGTAGGTTCAGCTCCCTGCAGGCAAACCAGCTCCCTCCCCAGATGCACAGCAGAAAGAGGAAGACAAAGAGGGCTTCCGGCTGTGGGACACTGAGGAACATGGGGAACATCAGGTGGGGACAGACAGACGAGTAATTAACAACTGGGAACAAGCGTCCACTACGACCCCGGGACCTCTAAGAAAAGGCCTCCTTTGCAGGACCTTTAAGATGGTTTTCTGCCCTGGCTGGTGTGGCTCAGTGGATTGAGTGTGGGCCTGTGAACCAAAGGGTTGCCGGTTCGATTCCCAGTCAGGGCATGTGCCTGGGTTGTGGGCCAGAGCCCCAGTAGGGGGCGTGCAAGAGGCAACCATATATTGATGTTTCCCTCTTTCTCCCTCCCTTCCCCTCTCTCTAAAAATAAAATAAAATAAAACCTTTTATTAAAAAGATGTAGGTGATATCTCTGGTGTTTAACAACGATGAGCTCCTGGGAGAAAGAAGTTCAATATCAACATTTCTTAACGTGACTCATTCACTATATATCCATATGCTTAATACAAAGTTAATGTTGCTTTAAATAGCACACAATGTTGACATTTACTGACGTAAATGTCCTCAAACGGAAGGGCCCGACTGCAAGGCACCCTCTGGGAGGAGGAGCAGAGCACCGTCGGGCAGGGCACTGCTCTGTGGCTGGGAAACCTGCATTCGTAGGCCCGCCCTGCAGCGAAGCAGCTACGCGACACAAGGCAGGCCTCTTGGCCCCTTTGTGTCCATATCTGTGGCTGTAAATAACATGACCTCTAAGTTACATAGCAGGTCCTGAATTCTGGATCTATGACTTTGTCCCTTCCAACAGTGATAATCAGATCCAAAGCTTGAAGGCTCCCAAGAAACATGGGACCTTCAAAGGACAATCAGGCCTTCGTGTCACTGCAAAGGGATGTGTGGGGATCGAATCAGCTCATCCACAGGGAGCACTTAGGACAGTGCCTGGCACACATGGTGCCCTCAGCGGACGGCAGTAGCTGCTCAGTGATGGGTTCGTTCGTTTGTTCATTCATTCATTCAATAAGCTCTGCAGTTGCCCCAAGAGGCAGGGATGGGAGATGAAATCTTTGACTTTCTGTAGCTTATGCCTTTATAAGAGCACACGGTAAAGGCCAGAGTGCCCACAATGTGATACAATCGTACCCAGCAGTTCATCAGAGAGCTGGATGACTTCTGGGAAGTGTAGCAGCATCATGTTTAAGTTTCCTCTAGGAAGATTATCGGAATAATGATAAGTTTTCCCTTTTTATTGAAAGGTGATGGCCCACATTATCTTAGAGAATCTCAGAGAGGCAATTTACCCTAGTTTTACACATAAGATACTATAAACAATCAGATTGGACAAAACTGGAAAAAATTAGGCTATCCTTTTGTTTTGCTTTTTTTAAAATAGTATTAGCACTTTCTTTGTACACAGAGTGATTCTGCAACCCTTTATGCTTTTTAAACATGTCAGTTTTTCTAAAACTTTTTCTCCTATTTTTCTTCAAAATTCAAGCTATTACTCCTGCCCTGATTGCAACCTTTATAAACTTTTATGTAAACTTGGCTCCAATTTTCCAGAAAAATAATATACAAATAAGTGCACAGGAAGGATTCAGAAAGATGTATACCAAAGTGTTACTAGTGATTTTTTTCTGGAAAGGTTAGATTATGATACTCTTTCTGTTCTTGCAGCCTGTACTTTGAGTTTTCTACAATAAGCACAGATAATTTGTGCAATAAGCTTAAACAAGTAAATTTATGCAAAAGTAAGATATGGGCTCTTTTTGTATCTTTAAATTTCAAATTCCTTTTCAGCCAGTGTACTAACTGCTCTGTCTAACTTTCTATTCATGGACAAAGAAGCTTAAAGATGCATCGGGAGTTGCAAAATTGTCTTGTGGTGCACCAGCATTTCCAGTGCTGGAAGAAAAGAACTATTGCCATCTCATCCTGTTTTCTGCAGAGCAAAGGCTACATCGTCTTTCTGGCTCACGAGAGTGGGTTTTTACTGCCAAGTGCCCCTGCTCTAACTCTTGCATTTGGTATCTCTCTAGTTCTCATGGTGCCTTCAAAACAGACACAGCCCCCCGGCACACACGTCTATGTGCTTCCCTTGAATGTGGACTAGTAAGAAACTGTCGCACAGTTTCTGCGTTCCGCTGCCACCGCCCTCCAGAGGAAGCGCGCAGACGGAAGCAGGTGCGGACTGACGGACAAGCTCCCACAGCGACGGTGATGGTGGACCCTGCAGAACCCTCAGCACGAGGACGCCTGCTTTGTTTTGTGTTCCCCACAAGGTGATGGGGTGCACTCGGTCATTCGTACACATTTCTTTCCTACTGTAAGACAAACAAAAATGTTTCTAAACATTATTTTTAAAATGAGTGGCTCAGTTTAAGATGCTTCCTGTGTTTGCAAGACCGAGGTGAACAGAACCAAGTTTGAACCTCCGATTCTGGCCCCATTCACTCGTCACCCATAACCACGATGGGGGTCACATGAGCATTTCTGAGACATTTTCTGCACTTCCTTTTGTTTCTAGATGATAAGAGTCAAGGGCTTCCTCACATCTTTAGCCACATGCTCCTCACACGTGGTTTGTTGTTGTTTTTAAATCTCGGCCATGGCACGCCCCTTCCTACTTTCAAAACCACTCATATAACCTCATCACCTCTATTTATAAAACACAAACAGTTTTTTTTTCCATTTGTTAATGTGAAGAAATAACACCCTAGAAAGTTCTACTCCCTAATGATTCCTCTAAAACTATTGACTTTCTACAACTATTTTCCTAACAACGATTCTCCTAAATATATCATGGTGCAATTTAATGACGTCTAAGTGAGTTCATAATACACTTGGCTTTCTAGGTATATTTATAAAAATAAATATAGCTCATGAAAACACACGGGTGACAAAACAAGCCTCACTCAAAAGGGATTTCTATTTCATTTGTATTTCCTCCCATTACCCTTTTATGCATCATCAATTACAAGCTTTGCTCTGGCAGGATCACACTGAGTCAAGTGAATGGAGAGGAGAAAGTAAATGGGACAAGACGCAGCCAAACTGGGTAACGTACAGCAAAGTGCTACAGCACTGATGCTGGTGAGACGGACGTGGGGAGCACGGGCATGGTGCCTGGGATCTCCTACGGCCCCGCACCCCCCGGGAAGGAGGAAGCCCTCGGCAGGAGTGCGGGGCTGGCCCTCTCAGGGAGACTCCTGGCAAAGGTAACAATGGAAGGGGCTCCTCCATTAAAGGCCACTTCTCTCTGACTCCCTCCCGCGGTGCCTCTCCTCCAGGGCCCTGAGGGTCCTGCACAGAGCTGGAGAGTGGTCACAGTGCTCCTCGGCAGTCCAAGGCTGGTCCCGGCTCTGCCACCGTGTGACCTTAGGCAGGTCACCAGCTACTGTGGACCTGCTTTCTTATCTCCTGACAGGCTGGACCTGAGGAACGTCATTGCCACCCCACCCTCAGCTGTAAAGTACTGACCCCCTGAGGATTCCAGGCGGTTGGGGGCTGCCTGTGAAGAAGGCCTGCTAACGACCAGGGCTGAGGGCTAGGCTTTCTCAGGTGACGATCACGCCAGTATCTTGTTTCCGCCTGTCTTACCCTGCAGCAGAGCCTCCGCTTCCACCCCGCCAAGCATCCCTCAGGCGGATTCCTGAGGATGGTTTCTTAATCTGGAGCAAATGCCTCAAGTTCCTCCCTAAGGGCTGTACCTACAAAGGCTGAAGCCCTTTCTGTACCATTTGTTTGTAGGCACTTCCTGTTATTTAATCCTATGGCCGCTCTACCTCATTATAATACATTGCCCTGCACCTGCGCAGTTCTTCCGTACTAACGGGTAGAAAACGTTAGAGACCACCAGCCTCCTCCTTCAACCACAGCGGGCAGATGACACCAACATGAAACTTGCAGGTCGAAGCCAGCCTAGCACCCCTAGAAACAAGGTGCTCTGGGAGCTGCGTTTTCACTTGTCACCTAAGAGGATCCTTAGGGCACTAGATACATAACGGAAGCACAGAGGAACTGAACTGCACAAGTGCTCTCCAGGGCTGAGGGTGCCCCGGCCCATGAAGTGGGCGAGGAGCGGGGAAGGCTCCACGTGTCATGAGGCTGAGCACAGCAAGCCTCATGGCCTGTCGTGGCCTGAGGCCTTTGGATGAAACTCAGGAGTCACAAGACTGTATCCTCCATCCTGGGGTTCCTTGCTTGCCAAGCAACCTCATTATGATTTAAGCATTTGAACAGCTTGACTACAGGAAGAGAATATATAGACGGTCAGCTGCCTGTTGTCAAGAAATAAGCAGGCACACAGGTTGGTGTGTTTGGTTATTGCGAACCTCCCAAGAGAGGGCACCCCTCACTGAGTGCTCTTAAATGAGGTTCTGAGTCTGCAGGGCTGGGGGACCAGGTCCTGAAGGCAGGGGAAACCACGTGGCCACCTCGAAACTCCCAGCATGGACCATAATGATTCATTAAGATACTGCCACCTGGTGAGGCCTGGGGGACGATAGCTTAGCAACATGCTCAAGACAACCAGGGGTAACTCAGCACCTCTTGCATCCCGATGTTCTCTATTAACGCAGATCTTACAGTTAATCAGAGAAGTGAAGACTCACTTTGTATTGTAGCAAGCATCAGCCACACCGTGCACACCGCTAGTGTTCTCAGGGTCTTACAATCTATCGTTTCTCTCAGGTTAAAAAAAAAGCCCCTTCAATCTAAAGTATACTGTATACTTTATTCTTTGCATAAACCTGAGCTTCAGTCCCGCCTGAATTATTGCAACATTATTTTCCATAAGCCCTCACACCTGTACCCAGTGTGAGTTTATACAGAACTTTCATATCTATCATATCACTTGGTCCTTATAGTTCATTATGACGGGCACTACTGTTCTTCTCTACATTTGAAGGAACTGAGATGAAGGGACGTCCTTGGCATTGCCAAGTTCACGGAGTTAGTAAATTGCAGAGCTGGGCTCACATCCTCCTGCTAGTCTGGGTTATATCATCTGAACTGAATGCGATTTACTACTTGGCTTCTCTAAAGAACCAGAAGGTAATGAGTTAAATTTTCTAGAAGTGTTTAACTTAGATATAGAAACTGCTAACTTGTCATGCCTGGAATCACATCATGGAAGTCCAAGGGCTCGCGATGTCTCCAACGCCACAGCAATCTAACCACGGAATATCCTAGCCGCACTTGGTGGGAGCCAAGTATGATCTCTCCTCCCCAAAAGAAGGCACACTCCCCCAAAACTCAACTCCAAGCCCATTTTCATTCTGTCCCCGGGCTGACCGCCTCCGCGAGGCTGCCTGCCGTGGGACGCCCAGGGAGGCGGACGGGGTGTGCGGCCTTCGGGGCCAAGGGAAGCCTTCCCTGGCCAATGGCACAGCTGCGCTTCATTCTGGCGAGGCCCCGCTGTGACTGGAATGCCACAGTCAGATGACATAAGGGCTAGCAACCTCTCCCATTGCTAAATAGTGCTCTTTGGGGACCTTCAGGGGCCAACTGCGTAGGGAGAGAAGAAGGAATCAAGCAAAATAGTGGGTAATCAGAGTACATGAGGGGGCGGTGAATGACTCCAAGTCACTCCCTGTCAGTTGGAGCCACTGTTTAATAGCATCAGCATTTCCTCAAGTGTATGAATAGGGTTCCATTAAAAAAAAAAAAAAAAGACTGGGGCGAGCACACAGAGGTCAAAGGTCACAGTCTCCCCAAATTCAGATGGTCAGAACTTGGGACACATTTTCCGGGGAGTACCTGTGAACACTGGGAAGCTGGTATCTAGTAGGAAAGTCTGGAAGACACCACGGCTAGGCCCTCGACGAGTCTGCAAGACCTCCTGCAAGCCCCTCCTTGAGCTTCCACTCCCCTGTGACAGGAGCACCAAACCAGACGGCGCGTGGTCTGCACGCAGCCAGCCTCCGGAACCTGCTCAGCCCTGGCTCCAAGTCCAAGCTTGGAGCGGCCACCCTTGGCTGGTCAAAGGCGCTGCCAGGGGCTCACCCAAGTCCAGCTGGAATCGGGCTGGGTTCAAACAGCCCAAGGGGGATGCGTGGCCTGCTAGAGGGGTTTATAAAAAGACAGGCCTGCGAGGTAAAAATTTAAAAATTTTAAAGATAGCATCTTAACATTTCTCATCCGTCATCTCTGCACATTCCATCTGTTGCCGGTGGCCTTGCGGGCAGACTGTCAACCTTGGAAATACACCTGCCTGTGCCCAACATGGCTGTCCTCGTGCCTTTCCCACTTCGCCTCCTGCTCCTTTCCTTTGGTCCTACAGGTGGCCCCCAAATGTCACTGCCTTGGTCCTTGGCCAGCACCCAGGAGTGTCCAGCCACGTCCTCTGCCACAGCAAAGCTTTCCGGCTCTGGCTGCAGGAGGGCACTGGGGAAGCCGTGACAAGGAAGAGAAGGATGTCGGGGTCCCGATTTTCACAGGAAACAAGGCCCTCCCTGCCAGTTGGCCCGGCACCTACCTGACACTCCACATCGCAGTAAAATGCCTGCTTGCATCTTCCACATTTGGACAGTCCTTCCTTCCTTAAAAACAGAAAGGGCACTGTAGTGGCGAAAGGCACAGAAACGTGAAGCTGCACATTTTATCACGCGATAATCAAAGCCATCTGGCCGGGAAGCAGAGCCAAGATTCCTCTTACCTTGCTCTCCCACTGGTTAAGTGGCATTTTCCCAAAGGAGGTTTTGACCAGATTCAGTCCTTGAGGAGGAGCAAGCTAGTCAAACAGTACACACTCCGACATTTCCCGACCCTGAGAGCGTGAAGGGCACTTTCTGAAACGGTGAATGACACGCTCTTGGACTCGTGCGCCCGGCTTGGGGCACGCAGCTGTTAACATCCCCTGCGCTATTACTCAGTAGTTTGGGGCAACTCAAAGGCTCTTAGATCCTGATTTCCTCACCTGCTAAAGAGGGACAGGCATAAAACCGTTTTGGAGGCTTGATTTCATAAAGACAGAGGACTGGGGCACATTGAAAATTGCATTGTGAGTGGCAGCTTTATTACTGAGAGATACCAGTAATGCAGGAGATAAAATTAAGTATGTCAGTAATGCGAATGTCCAGAAAGCTAAGCTTGAAAATAATGTGACCCAGCAGCGGGGATACATCCTTGAATAAAATATGATTGGATGTGACTGGTCCATACACCCACTTTCTCAAAGTGTTACTGAGTGATTCTTCTGCCTCTTCCTAATTAGGTCAGTACTCCCCGTGTGCTGCCATATTATTCGCTTCCCATAAAGGACAGGGATTTTGTAGCTTTCCAACTGCTCCGTGTGAGTGTGTTTGTTGTGTTAGATAAGCCACGGCTTTTTAAAAAACCGTGAAGCTGCTGAATTAAACCGCACATGACAAAACTCTTAAAAGATTGTTTGGAGGTGGGGAACAACCACGTCGTTTCAGTAAGACCACTGCCTGGGAGGCGTACCGTCTAGTTCTCACGCACGGCCCTGAAGCCAGCTCGCTGACCTGTAGCAATGCCAATACCACGCGGCGCCTTCTGCTGCTGCCTGGGGAGCCGCGCTGAGCTGAGTCCCCTCATCGCCACCCCCTCCGCGGCACCTGGAGGAGCTGTCATTTTAGAATGTGCGTGGAATCACGCTGCAGAAGCCTCTGTGCTCCTCGTCAGCCAGTGGCAGTCACCACTCTACTCCCACGGAATCCAGAACGCGTGCCAAAAATGCTACTGTTGGAATGGAACAGGCTGCCTTGCCGTTTTCGTGACAGCGCTTGGATTCCAAGGAGCTGCCTGAAGAATGGGTGGGAGAAAAGCACATCGTGCCGCTGAGGCATAAATAAATGTTCCAGGTTTGCACACCTCAACAGTTCGCGAAGGGACCCACCCACGGGCATAGCTGAGCGTCTTCTCTGGCCTGAAATACCCCCGAGGTGGCCGCTCCAGGGCTCCAAACTCTGACTTTGCATTTGGACACATAAAACAAATGAGATGCGTGTTCCTTGCGCTCTTGCACTTTCTAACTAGGGAAGAAGGACAGAAGGCGCCCTCGAAAACAACCCCAAAGTGACATGCAAGCAAATGCTCAGGGATGAGGACCCTGAAGACACGCCGGGGGATGGAGAGTAAGGCTGGGCAGAGCCAGGGAGGAAACTTCCGAAGCTCTTTCCCAAAAGAAGTGTGTTTGCAAATGGATAGCGGGTGGGCCAATGCCACCCCATAAAAATGTCTGAAGCTGTCATCTGCTAATGTTTGTTTGTGCGAGGGTGGGGTCCCAGAGTCCCTGCCCATCTGACCGAAGCTGTTGACTCTTCCCACCAGCCCACCTTCTCCCCACCCTCAGAAAACAATGGAAAATTCCTGAACCCAAAGCCCATACATGGACCATCAAAGAGCCTCGGAAAAGTCCCTGATGGGAAAGATTAGGAAATTATCATATAAATATCTTTATTAGCTCTACACCATAGAAAAAAAGCAAGGATTATAGATAGAGGTTCTCCGACACGGAGGCCGGCAGTAACGTTAACACGAAGCAAGCCTTGTTTTCCGCTTCAAGGTAACATCCCAGGGAGAGCAAAGCCAACTGGGCTCTGGTGACCTAAGGAGGAACTCCAGTGGGATGACATCGAAAATAGAAATCTCCCAAAGGCCCTGCTTCTCAGCACAGCCAGTCACCAAGTCCACAGCCACTAACAACAAAGAAAAAGGCTGTTACGGGTTGGTAATGTGTTACTACATTTTTGCTATGGATCCCAACGCTTCTCAGGTTGTGGTCCGTAGACCACTGGGGTCCCAAAAACCCTGTCAGGGAGCTGGTGAGGTCAAAGCCATTTCCAAAATAATACAACAGTCTTGACGTGTTCGTTGCAGAAGGTGTAAGCTGTCAAGGCGCCTAGAGGGCGGAGCTTCCCAGGTGTTAGCTCAGATCGGATCGGTGGCACCAAACCGTGCCGGTGGCCATGGTGTTCGCCACTTCCCACACTCTCAGAGTAAAGGGGGGAAAGCCAGTTTCCCCTCAGGATGTCCCTGAGGAAGCAGCAACACCATGAATTTTATTACAGCTCGACTCTTCGTTACATATCTTTGTGATACTGTGAGATTCTGCGATGGAGCGAGAATAGCGCCCGGTATGATGGCTGCTTCCAGGGAAAGCCTCTGGGGCCTCTGGAGTCGGAAACCGAACTGGCCACTTTTTTCTCACAGTGCCATGTTTACTTGAAGGAACAATTTTAGACCAACGGTGGTTACCCAAACTGGAGTATCTGGCAGATATGTTATTAACTTACATGCAATTAACTGATAAGACTATTAAAATACCCTTTCCTCTCCATTACATATCTAATTGAGGGTGGACTGTCTCCATAGACTTCAGCCCAAACTGCATACTGCCCCAGACTGAATTCAGAAGCATATTTTCAAATCCAGCTGACTTCCGGAAATCCAGACATGAAAGAAATTTGCAAAACTGTAAAACAATACCACTATTCTCACTGATTCTTTTGTTTTAGAAAATAGTTCTCCAAAAAAATGTTAACGGCAATGGCTCTTGTCTAAATGAAGAGACAATTTTCTCAGTTTTAACTTCAAATATGGCAAACATTGATAAATATAACTCATGTGAACAAAAGCTCTTTGACGATCTCAAATTTTAAGAGTATAGAGGGGGTCTATGACCAAAAAGTTTGAAAATGGCTGATCTATCTTAACAATTCCATCAGCTCCATGAAGAAGAGTCCCATTTTTCAAGTGAAGATAATGAGGATCCCAAAGGTGAAATCTCCACCCCAATGTGGCCATTCACATGTAGCCAGCAGAATCTGAATTCACACGTCCGGGTGCACATTTTGTCTTTGCCACGCACGAGCATCTTTCCTTGAGCAGTCTAACAATCATCCAGGAGCACATACTACATGCAGCAAAATCAGTCTAGGTGTTTGATAAGCTAGCGGCAGTGACAAAGCACAGGTAAAGGCATTCTTTACTCCGGTCTGCATCACGCCCCAGCTCCACTGGTGGCCCATTAATGTTACTGCGAAGATGCAAACGGAAGGATCCAGGATGATCTTGCAAAAGGAGATCTGGGGAGGGAACACTTCCACAAAGAGGGTCCCTTGACCAACTGTGACACGGGAATTGATTTCACTTGGCATGGGTTGGAATAAAAAAGGACTGATTTTGTAGTTAGTCTGTACAAAGACGGTCCCTCCCTGCCCTTCAGTGTGGTGCATCTAAGTGTTCCTCAGACAGCCACTGGGCAAGTCCACAGCAGATCATGTCCTCTGCGAACCAGATGACAGGACACTGGAGCTGTCAGGCTGACTTCTCTGTCTGTATGCTTATGGAGTCAACTACCTGGTTATCTGGGAACGTTCTTAAAAAAAAAAGACTTTATTTATTTATTTTTAGAGAGAGGGGAAGGGAGGGAGAAGAGAGGAAGAGAAACATCAATATGTGGTTGCCTCTCACGTGCCCCCAGGCATGTGCCCTGACTGGGAGTCAAACCAGCAACCCTTTGGTTTGCGGGCCAACACTCAATCCACTGAGCCACACCAGCCAGGGCTGTGAATGTTCTTAGACCCTCCTGGGCCAGGATGCCTTCTGAGTACAGAAGGAGAAAAGTTACTGATAGTGAATAGCAAGAATCTACTCTGATCTGCTTTGGTATGAGCAATTCTAGATGAAGTTGGGTGGGGCTAGAGAGGGAGGGCTGTTGAAATTATCCTGACGCACGCTTTGGTTCTTTTCAAAGCTAGGCAAAGATGTAAACTTCTCATAAGACTAGTGAACTTTTCTGTAAGTCAAACTAAAATTTGCTGAGCTGGTACCTGCATTGTGTGGGCATGTGCCGGGGAGAGAAAGGAGAAAGAGATCCTGTGTTTGACCATTGCTGACTGAGAAGTTCTTCCAGAGAGAAACTTCATATGGGAGATCTACTTTCACTGGAGGCGTATACAAGGCATTTGGAATAAACTCTGTTCCTATAGAAGACACGGCCGTAAATCTTTCATTTGCCATGTAACTTGATCAGAATTGTCCAGGTGTGTGGAAAGGCTGCAAAACAAAGAAAATAAAATTCCCCTCAAAGAAAGATGCATAGAGATCACTCGCAGGAATGAACTGAAATAGGAGGTAACACAAAAGGAATGGAACTCAAAGGAAGAGAAGGGTGAATCTCTAATAACGTCTCCGAATGTTCAACCTTGGCGGCACTTGCCCTTCTGGGCCTGGGGCAGGGCCCAGCCGACCTCGTTTGATTGGTCTGTGTGGGGGTCTTTAGAAAGCTCCCCAAGGGATTCTGATGTGTTTCCAGGATGCCTAGGCCTATTGTCATCTATTGGGGTGGAGTGTTTTTTGAGGGGAGAATTTGGTGAATTGTTGAAGCATATTTCTCTGCAATGCAGATTTTTTTTTTTTTTCCCCAAAGTAACCTGTCTTAACAGTGAATGACACACACTGGATGTGGTGTTAGGTCGTTGAGCTACCTTGATGATGAATGTTTAGGTGGGAATCAAGTGGAGGACACTGTATGGCAAGACAACGTTCTAGAAGCCAGGAGGGAGTTTTTAAA